ACTGAACAATTATTGTTCAGTCACAGCGTCTGCAAAGTATTAATGCTATTATAGCATTAATACTTTCAACTATTTTGAGATTCAAAATTTAAACACATTCGAATATAGAACAGTTCCAAATTCAAAATTGCCGGGAAATATGGAAAAGACAGAACTTAAAAGGCATGCCTAGTATTTGGAACACAATATATGTATGTTCCTAATGTAAAAACGACCACATTAAGCTATAGGGATTCCGTATATATATTAGATATATTATTATCATATCTATAGAATGACAGTCCAAATTACACCGGTTAATTATATAAAACAAGACCTTGAAATTGATGACGTTGGTTTATATATCATTGCTACTACTGTGAAACGATTCATAATACCGTTACATTTTAATAACGATATCAAGTTCTGGCTAAGTGTTTGAAGAAGTAAATCATACATTTCAGTAGAAAATGTGTAAGTAATAACCATCAGAAGATATATTTTGTTGAACTAAATCTATCTGTCTAATGTTCCAAAAACTTTCACACTAAACCTAGCTAAGCGTAGATAGATTGCACTCTATTTATTAGACTTTACAATTTTATTTATTCCATAAGTAGCATTAAGAAAATGTCTCGTGGAATATGAACTAACTGTTTCTAAACTATTACAATCATTGTTTAAAATGCCTTTGAGCTCAACAGGAGTTGATGCATGCAAATTTAGAAATGAAGTTGAAAAATAACTGTGCTAGTCTTCAAAAACATTTTTGAAACCCGTTATAAAAACTCATAGTACTCGTGGTGACGGATTACCAATACGGAGTGTCACCAACCCTATAGATAGATCAATAGATAGATAGATCAAAATATAGATCAAGGATAACCCCTCAGACTGATTCTCTAAAAAATAAACAAATCCTTATTATCTTATCAAATACGGCATTTTTTCTCATCATTTTGTCCATTACGATAAAAAAAACAAGTCCCCCGGCAGAAATAATACTGTGTCGTGGGAGACTTTACAACTATGTGTGATACGGACACAAAGAACACCCAGAGTACCAAATTCAGAACAAGAATTTGTGTCACACAAAGTGTCATTCCATGTGAGGATCCCACAACTCTCCGCTTAGTAGAAGGGACGAGGTGACCGTCTTAACCACTACGCCATCCGTGCAGTCAAATATGTTTTAATACGTTAAAATATTTTTTTTAAGTATTTTTAACAGAGAAGAATGTAAAATTTGGAGTATATAAAGTTTATTTATAGAAGCAGTGCAGTAGGATAGTAATTTTGACAGTTCAAATTGCACCGATTACAATACAATAAAACGAGAATTTTCAAAACGATCATCTTTAGTTTAAATAAATGTATTAGTTTTTAAATCGTTGCATGAAATCGACTCGTGTTGGGAAAAACCTGGGGCCTTTTTATTTTATTTTATTATTCTCTATCTCTGTGCTTCTATTTTAAAATTTCATAAAAAAAGGTCGTAGTATTCTTTTTTTTTTATTATTGAATAGGAATAACAAACATCTACAACATACAGTTTACAAAATAATCTAAACAAATATTGCACTTATGCTATATTGTAGCCCACAACGTTATTCACAAATAAACAAAAATAAGTATGGAATACAGTATTAAACACGCTCACATTTGTACAGGTTGGAATACTCATACATTAGTTTCTTAGTGGTAATTATGAAATTTAGAACAAGGATTATTGTCAATGCGGTTATGTTATTTTAGTATAATTATTTAAGCAAAAGGCCTTTGAACTTGCTTATTGAGCTGGCGAAAATATCAACATTAATAAATATTTTGTTGTGAGTATCTAACATGCGACGCATCGGCGAGCGGATACCAGTGTTGGTACGACATTTGTTCACTGAAAATAGTTTGCCTGCGCACACTTTACCTTCTGGGGACTGTATAGCATAGCATATTATTTAATTCAGTGCAGTTAAATTTGTTGTATTTTTATTGCAATGTATTAAATATACTTATATGTAATTACTTGGTTCAAAATTATACTTGAAACTTAAAATCTGTGCAAATTCTTGAACGTAACATAACTTATCTATCTTTCGCATTTTAGTTCGAGAGTGGCAGTAAGTAGCTACATAACAAAAATGAACCGTTTTAGTACTATCGGACTAATCAGGATAAGGTTCACTCTCGTGTATTGGTTTTAAAATACTTTAATTATGATTTTGTAAGTTTTTCTTTTAAAAAAACTGCGACCCTTTTTGGATTTATATAAATATAGCATTATTAAAAACTTGTCACATACATCCATGCATAAACAACTTTAAAAGCATGTCTTTAAAAAAACTTTCGCCTTGTCGCTCGCAAAATGGCGGCTTAAAAACCTTTAATAATCGGGGTAGATTTGATGCCCAATGCATGGAAGTATGTTTATTACCAAATCTTAAAATATTTAAGAAACTGTGCCAAACATTCCCATTGTGATTGCGAAATAAATATTGTTATAATGTAAAATAAATAAAAAAAATGTAGTTGTGAATTCGGCGTTGTGTTATCAATCATTTTTGGGATAAAGTTGAGAGTATAACTGATTGTTCGTTATATTTTAAAATTTTAATTGAAATATATTAATTTAAAAGATCTATAGTGTTTTATTTTAAAGCCATAATGAAAAGATATCCTTTCTTTACGTGTGGAAACGATAAAATCTTTGAAGGTGGTCTAGACTGCCTCATTTTCAACATTCCAAAAGTGGTTAAAATATTATCTCTTTTTAAGAAACTTTCAATTTTGTTCATATTTTAACACTAGTTTTCTTTGACGCCGTGATATCACTCCAGTCGACGAGGTTCATGCTCACATGGCAAAAGTGGTAACTATCGACTGAATGAGATATCTTAGAGCAGTTACTAAACGTTTGTTAACTTGCCTGCCTGCACCATTGATATAATACTTACATAGATGAGTAATTACCGCCTAAAATCGTTGCTACTGCACATATGTCCACAGGCATAAGCGTAGCAAACGTCAATTCATTATTCAATGTGGCGTCGCCCGAGTTGAACATAGCGACACATGACAGTAACAATCGCCAAAATGGCTAAATGCGTAGTGAAAGAATGCGATTCAAGGTCACAAAACATTAATAAATCATGCGGAATTACTTTTCACGTGTAATTTTATGGTTTTTGTATTGATAATATCGTAAATAAGGCTATAATTGAAATAAAACACTGATAATTGTAATTTAGAATCAGTGTTACCATTAAAAAATCATTTTGGTTTTCCCACATTAGTGGGAGAATTTATAATTTATGAAATAATATGCTTTATACTGTTTTTAATCATTTTGCCAATAATAATAAAATATAGGAAGAACGGTAGTTGTTAGGGCTGGACCGATCCCTTTTTTTAGGGACCCGTTGAACTTTCACTGCGAGCTTGGCTGAAGTGCTGGAGACTTTTGTACAAAAAAATTAATCTATTGGTTTTCTTAATTTATTATCAATTTTAAATAATAATTGTACAAAATAATAATAATAATAAATGTTTATCATAAAAATAAAAATATAAAATAAAAAAGTAAATAAACAATTTTTTTTTTTATAAATAAAAATAAAATATTTTTTATTTTTTTTTATTTGTTTTTTAAATTATAATAGAATTTGCAATACACCTTATGGATTATTTATTATCAGTACAAGTTGATCATTCACTTTTATTATTAAATGCTATTATTTTTACATACGTAAAAATAAGATTGTATCATGAAAGTAAAATACACAAACTTATAAAAAAGAGTCTAAAAGACAATTGTATACAAAACTGATGCTTCACAGCGCAGTTTGATTTTACACTGAATATAAACCCTTTTAACCAAATATTTCCAGTTATTTTATTATTTATACCTATTCTATTCAATTCGAAATATATTATTTAGAATATTTAAATTAATTTATTTTATTACAAAATTGTTTTAAAAAAAAATTGTTTCTTAGTTGTTATGGGTAAAATTTCATACGGTAGTCAACACTGGCCCACCATAGTAAAGTTATATCTTTGTGTAAATGAGACATAAATATGTTTACTTTCAAATGTTTAGTGGTATCAAAGCTACGTCGTCAAAGTTCAAAAGTGGTTACACTTTTTTCGACGTGTGATAATGAGGTTTGCTTCTCTAGTGTTGTTTTAACTCAATGGCCTGCACATAATAAATTCGAAGCTATAGTGAATGATCCACTGTACCCCGTGTTCCACTGTTACCAACTTCCCCTATATAATTGTCTATTCGAAGGACAAATAGTAGGCGCTGAATAAGGATTCTGTCAGGTATTCCCATAAGTGCACCTACCTCATTCTTTTTCTGCATCGCCCGATCGGTCGACTGGCAGAGAATGCCTTAGGCATTAAGTCATTATATATTTGTGCAGAAGTCATAAATAAATTAAGTTCACATTTTCCCATCCATGTTTGTTAGTTATTTAATTCAAATTCCCGCCAAGATTACTTGACACAAATATTTACCGCCATTATCAATTTACCTTAGCAAGAAGTTCGTTCAAAAACAATGGCAAGTACTGAACTTCTGTGTTTTGTAAAAAAATGATTTTATATAAAATAAAAGTATTAAAATCTGCTATATTACAACATAAATGTTTTTCATAACAAATAGTTTCAAGAAGCAATTATGTAGCAACTTTTAGTTTAAATTGTCATGACAGTGGCCGTATGCGTGTAGTCTTGTGCCTGCTTGAAAACACAAAAAGTTGTTTATAAAAAAAAACCAACATTTGTATTGATTTTCGCAGTCCTATCCCAGATTTTTTCTGCGAAAATACACCTAGTTTTTTTGCAAATCAGTTATATTTTGTAGATATATCAGTGAAAGACGAGATTGTCCTTTTGTTTTAAGTGGAAATTAATTCTAAAAACCTACTTTTTACACTGTGTAGCCACCCGTAACGATATTTCTAAAAAATACTTTTTCTCGCAGTGTTTTAGTATTAAATACAGTGTTTTAGGTAATAATGAGTGCTACAGCGCAGCAAAAGTCCCTCGTCAGGGAGAGTTTATTTCATTTTATCACTAAACATGCCCCGCATGCCGACCTAAATGTAATTGACGATGTAATTCTGGTGTATGTGATTTCAATCTTACAAGAGGCTTCAAAGGACCCCTGCTTCGATGTTGAAGGTAAGAATTGTCTATAAATATCTTAATGGTCATCTACCTGGAAATCTTATTATGAAAATGTATAAATATTCAAACATTTCTAAACTGTAATTTACAACTGACCTACTACATATGCCTATATGAAATATTCATTGTTTTTCTTCAGTGTAGTGTGTCTACTGAATAAAGCAATGTAGTTGCATAACTCAACACGCTTGCCCTGGATGAATTATATTATATTCTGCTCAAGAGACAACCTTGGTAGGTGAAAATAATAGATTTTGTCACCACGAAACTAAACCATTATTATTCTTTGAAAAATATTTTTAGTGGTGATTTCTATAAAATTAAATAAGTTATTGTAAAATTAAAAAATACTAGTAAAATATGAAATAATATGTGTGTGTACTCATAATGTATACTATGACATAATAAATAGAAAAAAGTTGTATTGTTATTGACTATTGTCTTGAATATCCCATTGTTGAGCAAATATCCATTTTCATTCACAACATATATATTAAAAGCTGTTAGTTTTAACAGCTATTAAAAAAATATATACAGCATTTATTGTCAATATATAATATGTGCAATGCAGAAATAATCCTATCCAAACCCTGGTCAAAATAGAAGGATTGGCGTTTCACTATTATTGATAGTAAGACTGCATGGATGGCATAAAATATGTTTATAAAGTCGCCCGAGATACAGGATTTATTCTTAGTGCAAGCATTGTCTTAAACTCATCTTAAAAAAAAGAAAAAAACTTGTACTATTATACTTTATCTTTTGTTTTTATTTTAGGAAAAAGCTCTAACATCCGTTTAATGACATAAGACTTTTTAATCTTAGAAATTTTATAATTTTGAATAATGCTTGCTATCAATAATTTTAAATAAAACCTTATAGATAGTATTGTTAAAATATTTGTTAATAAGGAATAGAATAATAACACAAATTAAACACTTGTCTAAATAAATATTTCTTTTTTAGACCCAAATACCCAAATACCCAATACCCAAATATTTAATAAATAAATATACTAGTAATCTGTATAAATTTAAAAGTTTGAGTAATACCTATCAGAATAACAAATCAATATGTTAATCAGTTTTACACAATGATATTTTAGGAATATGTTACCATACATACATTTATTAATGCATTATAAAACAAAACATACAGTTTTGTGTGGTATGATATCCCTTTATCTTTATTACCTCTTTGTCGTAATTTGTGCACTTTCGAAATACACAGGAAGGCTTTTTATGAATTTTCTCGAATTAATTAGTACATGAGGTCACTCGCAGTGGTCCTAATTAGCACCCACACGTTTTGTGCGTTGGTGGCGTATCTACCTCTTGTTTATATAATATTTTACATATGGAATTGCAAATCAAATATATACCTCTCTGTCTGTTTTCATGTAATTTTTAAAAATAGATTATAGACTTTTGTGAGTGGTACCTAACTAATCATATTCATTAAGTGTAAGAGATAACTCGACATTGTAATGGCAAAATGTTTTACTCTTTGAAAAAGTTGTTGGGTCAAAAACTAGTGGAGCATTAAAAAAAATATGTGTGAGTAACGTATTTATCAACAATAGATCTAAACACTAACAATCTACAAAATAAAATTCTAACTGAAACGAAAAATCTCTGGAAACTTTTTCACCACATTAATAAAAGATACCAAATACATAAATGTTAATATAAGACTGCACTCATGGCGGTCACCTCGCTGCTTTCTACTGCGCGGATTGTTGTGGGTTCGATCTTCACATGAGACAAGACTTTGTATGATCCACAAACTGTTGTTCTGAGCCTGGGTGTTCTTTGTTTCTGTTTCATATATGTTTGTGAAGTCCCTCGTAACACAGGATATATTCCTACTGCGGGCGTTGTTTTTTTTAAAAGAATGAAGAATGTCTTATTTCATTTTCAATATTGAGCAATTAAGAATGAATCAATATATATGTTGAGTATTGTATGCAATCTAGTGGATGACTAACAGAGAAAATGTAATAGAGTGTAACCAGCATTGGTACAATATAATATGCAACTCTTTTTTTTTGTGTGCGGAAATCCCCTCGAATACCACCCTCTCTCTCCGCACCATGGCCGCAATCATGTTACCGAGCGAGAGAACTCTCATGCCGATGGCCGCCACGAGGCCACGCCTCTGCTCCACCCACACGGGCAGAATTGCCATCGTGTGGAGCGCCGTGTCCACGGTCCGACCATCGCAGTGGTGGCACTCAGGCGTTGGCTCCTTGCGCATCAGGCACAAGTTCACTGATACAGAGACGCAAGGGCTCTCGCCTCCAGCTGATGGCCAGCACTCACTGCGGTCGTCGCAGTAGTGCGACGTTGCTGGCCTTTATGGCCCCCGCCCATACTGGGGCCCATAAAGGCCCATGGACCGCACAACACCTGAGTAGAGTCTCCTGCAGGAGTCATCGGGTCCCCTCGTGTTGAGCAGTAGCCGCGCCCATGCGCGAGCCGCTCCAACCAACTTACCAGACCTCGGAAATGATGTCCGAAGTCCCATCGGCCATCGAGTACGAGCCTCAGATACCTCATCGAGGGCTCGATGCAGATGCGATGCGAACCATTTTAAGCAGTTTCCTTGTAAAAAAATAAAGCAAAAGGTTCCTCCAAAAAAATTTGTTGACTTTTGATGCTCAATTCTAGTAATCTTAAAGCATTACAGAACTAAAAGTGATTGAATTGAGGCTGAATTATGAATTGACTGAAAATGGGTGATTATAAAAAATACAATTTGGTATTAGTGGGGTTTTAGTATAATCTCAATCTAAATCGGAAAAGCCGAAAATTTATTAATAAACACAAGTTGGACTCTAACGCCTTTAGCAATAGAATACAATCTTATTTATTTGTATTTTGTAAATGTTTTTTTATAAAGAGATGGAAAACTTGAAACAAACACTTTTTTTTTTTTTTACGTGTGGAAATCCCCTCGGACCGTCACCCCACCGGGGTTTGCGGCGGGGTGGTGTGTCGGACTCGGACCGACTAAAACCACACGGTGTGCCACTCTGCGCCTGTAATAGGAGGGATCCGGGAACAGCTGTTATTAAGACATCCGGACCCCTCCTAGCGCCGGCCCGCTCCTGTTGCGGGCTCCGTCTCAAAAAATTTTTTTTCTTTTCCTCTCTTTAGGCGACGTCCGGCACACGCGGACGCCGCCCCCTTGCGGCTGGCCAAAACTAATGCGGGTGGAGGGGAAACCCACCCCGTCCACCCGCGGCCACACTCAGGGCGGCATGAGGCGGTGATAGGCGCGCCTCCGCCGCCCGGTTTGCCGGCGGCGGATCGGGTCCGAGTGGAGGTCGTCCTCCCGGGCCTTCTCCGCCGCCTCCTTCTGCGAGATTACTTCCTCGCAGAAGGTTGCGACCGCGGTAAAACAACTGTCGCTACCGGCCATGGAGCCCAAAATAAGCCTCAGTTTTTAAATTTACACAAACCCTTTTCAAGTACCTTCTAACTCAAGCCGAAATAAACTTGTGGAGAGAGGCACGGCCGTTATGTCCCGCCTATACAAAGGGAGGAGGCTCCAACCAGGCGAGATGACCATGCCTGGCAGACCGCGGCCTAACGCTTGATGTTGGGAAGTTTTTTTTAGTCTGGCTAGAAATACTGTCATAATTAAGAAAAAACATAATATTAGGTACATTTGAATTTAGAATCTGTCTTCATAATATGAATATTCATTGCGTTTTCCTAATTTCGCGCCAATCAGTGTTAAATATTTTTGTGATATTCCATGAATATTTATAAAAGAGTGACAGATTTCAAATTCAAATGTAATATTATGGTTTCTTTTTTTTGGTCTCTTTTTCGTAACAGTATTTATGACCAGACTAAGTAATTGACGCAAGAACTTTCTTTATAAAATGCATTAGTCTTTGTTGTTTAATTTTTAGTATGAACATAGTTTTCCAATGAAAAGTCTTTCATGATTAACGCCCATTTAATTTAGAACAAAATTCGTTTACTTCTTAACACCCCTTATCTGATCATAAACTTATAATGTGTGGAAACCACCTAGTCATCCTTAAGGGGCTCGCAGTGAAGTAGTATGTCGGAATCGACAAGAATCGAACTAGAGTAACCTAGGAAGAACCCCCACGTTTGAGTAGGACTAAGCCTTCGACACATTGGCCAGGCTCGACCGGAATGACACCACGGCCTCACAGAAAACCGGGGTTAAGCAACTCTTTCGTTACTTTTTACCGCTCATTTTGAAGGGGGAGGGGTCACAAAAAGGCAGCAACACACTTGTGACTCTCGAGTTGCAGGTGTCCATGGGCGGTGATAAACACTTACCATCAGGTGGCCCGTCTGCTTGTTTGTCCCATATGCTATGCAAAAATAAACACTAGGAGTATTCGTCATTAAGCGTCGAGAAAGCGAGACTGAACCGAACTGACTTACCGGAACCCAATTCTCCTCCCTCTGGTTCTGGGGAGAGGGCTCTAAACACACTTGAGTTGCAGGTGTGGATATGCAGGTGTACTATAAAAAATACTCGAAGATTTCTCTGGTATCCATTTTTTTTAACAGCAAAAATTCGCGAAGGCTAAATTAGACTTATATACTTATAAATATTATTTTGTACTGACTTCTAAATATAACTAAACTCGTCAGAGTTGAGATTCCAAACGGTGTTTACCTTTTAGTTGAAAATTGTGAATAAATCTGCTTGTGTTTACAGTGCGCGTCTTGTGCATATAATTATTTAATGTTATTACAATCAAGGTAAAATAGAACATTTGTTGAGAACGAGTAATTCATGTCACTGCCAAGCAGCCTAATCATTTAAAAAATCTTTGATGCTATTAGTAAGCATTTTGAAAAAATTAAGTTTTATGAACGTTTTAAATTTAAATATACGTCATGTGTATACAGTGATCTGAGAATTAGTTACTTAAAAGTTTGTAGCCTCAGCGGTTAAAAGTCATAGCTCAGTAGAGCCACCCGACACCTGACCAGTACCGCCTCGGCTCGCGAGTTTGGTATTCTTTGTATGGAGTGCTATGGGTACTCGGTGACAGCACGCTATCCTCGAATAGTTCACGCACGAGGACGATACATCGACTGTCGTATCGTTTTCTGGTTAACAACGCGGCGTCCACCCGTCGACAACGATTGGACACCGAGTGAGGCGAGGTGGTGCTGGTTACGTGTCATGTGGGTGTAATGAGCTATGACCTTTAGGCTCTGCGTTGATGAATCAGTCAGTCAGTCAGGGCAAGTAATTTTATAAGTATAGACTAGAAACATATTAGAAAAATCTATTTCCATACTGAAGCATTTACACGTACAGTATATTTTTATTTACTGGAATAAACATTGATCTGCCCTTTCATTAACATATGACTCTTCTAAAGCCATAAAAGTATAAGTATAAACTTGGGTTTCCAGCCAGGTTTCAATCTGTAGGGAGAGATAATGCTTATAATAGACTACGATATCATCATATCAGCCGAAAGCCGTCCACGGTTTTACCTGTTCCTGTTCTGCACGTATCCAACGGCGTTCCGCGACCTTCACAGGCTCGTCGGACCACATTTTGGAGAGCCTACCCACGCTCATATCACTCTATCCCACTTTCACAACTCGGCGTGATTGTCTAGTTTACAGTTTAGTATTTTAAAAAGTAATTCATGCAAAATTGCTTTTCAGGGTTCATTGAAATGATGGCAGCTTATGTTCCGGAGTTCGCTACCATCGACGCAGGTATGGTGTGCGCATGGGTCCTTGATTTAGAAGCGGAGTTACGTGTCAGCAGCGACGAAACGAAGTCGCTTTCCAGTAATGGTAAGATTTCTTATTATACCTCGTATATTTCTGCTCCCATGAACCTACCAATTAATCAACCGTATTGTAGTACTCTCAAGCGAGTATCAATCTAAACGAGTTGGCAAGAACGACACGTATCAATAGGTAACTCAATACTCTCTGCTCTTTTTCCAAACTTCTCATTTCAAAGCCTTTCTTTTCCTCTACTGAAAACTGCAATAATCAGACGAAATAATTAAATAAAAGCAATATAGACAACTATCGCTTTCCCTAGGTTCGCTTTCTTTAACAGGTACTAGCAAACACGATTATAACTTCGCCTGCGTCTCTCAATTTTTGCAACATTTTTTTATTGATACGTTGGTCGTAGCATGATGTTATTTATCCTATAGCCTTCCTTAAATGGGCTATCCGACAGTAAAATATTTTTTCAGAAGTTCCTGAGAATAACGCGTTCATCCAAACAAACAAGTTCTTCAGCTTTACAATATTAGCATCTAGTTTGAGTGTTTACTTTATTTTATTTGATACATTGCAACGTATCTGTCACAATGCCAGGCCTTTCCTTTGATGCACGTTTTGGAGTAATCGGCCTAATTGTTCTTGCTCAATCATTTAAATAACCTTTTAAAAGTTCTAAACAATTGAATGTAGAATATCTAATTATACAACAAGGTTTTTTATGAGGCCTGTTTTCCTCAAAAGTGGCTTAGAAAACGTTAACAGATTCCAGGTTTAAAAACAAAATGTATCATGTTTCAGATGATTCTGTTGACGACAAGATCAGCCTAACTCTTCAGAGTTTGAGCGAGATGCTGCCCGCAGCCAATACTACCAAGAATAATAGGTGAGTAGATTTTTTTTGCTGGCCATTATTAGAACCATCTCACACCAACAGAAATACAAGCGCACATGCTTGGATATACACACCATACAGGCATTTTGAACCACTCTGATAACTTTCTTTTATTCAACTAACATACTCGAATGACTTCTATGAAAAAAATCATGTCATATAATATATTGTCTGTGTAAGTTTTATGTAGCCGTTTTACATACCTATTTTTATCTTTATAGCACATGTTATTGAATAATTCTAGCTTTGTGGACTCATACGTATAAACCTTTAGATCAAATATGATATGAGCAATTTTCGCTTCAAAAGGGGTAAATAGAATTTTCTTCACGTGTTTTATAAGTAGATGTAATCCAGTACTGAGTAATAATAACTGTTCGTACAGCTGTTGTTTTACTGTAGACTTATACTTATTTAGTCTTTAATATTTGTATGTTATCTGCGATTGCGATGAAAACCATATCTTTACATAGTATAAAATGAAGCCGCTTTTTGTTCGCTTAGATCTTTTAAACTACGCAACGGATTTAAATGCTGTTACCACCAGTAGAAAGAGGAATTCAAGAGGCGGGTTTATATGTATCATACATTCAAATTATAGCAGAGGAAATCTGAGAATTTCAAAACGAAATCGTGAAAGACATGTTTTGTACACTTATATTGCAAACGCTGGCTAAACCTTACAAGATAGATCAAAATAATGTAAAAATCTCTACAAAAAATCTGCAGTGTTATATGTTTATCTCCTAAGGATAACCCACAGTAAACATTTTATCTTTTACACATTGCAAAAAAGTAATGGGTAATTTGACTGCACGGTTGACGTAGTGGTTTAAGCGGTCGCCACGCCGCTTCCTATTACGCCGAGTGTTGTGGGTTCAAACCCCACACGGGACCCACAAATTGTTGTTCTCAGTCTGGGTGTATTTTGTGTCCGTTTCATGTACGTTTGTAAAGTCCCCCGCGACACAGGATATATTCCTAATGCGGGGGCTGTCTTTAAAAAAAGAAATACGCAAGCATTATTCCTAGAATACAGTAGTATTTTATTACTGAGGTAAAAGGTGTGCAAGTTTAAAATCAAGCCAATCATTCCCTGCCAGATCTCACTCGAACTCGGAGAGTTCGGAGAGCGCTGAGGGAACCCGCCGCCCTCTGCTCAGCGAAAGTGACGAGCACGCTGATCTGTGTCGCTTGCTGCATGAGATGTTCCCCAACTCTTGTGTTATGGAGGTAAATACTTTTGCTGAGATGAACAAAAGCCTTAACTATGCTTCTCTACAATAATAATTTAACATTTACTAATAACTTCAAAGATTTCAATACTTAGCCCTACATATTTTTCCTGGAGAATAGGTTAGTCAGTTCTGTTGAGAGAGCTGCCAACGAACATTGATACCACAGTTCTTACCAGTGACCCAATACCACATGGCACATAAATTCAGTGAGGCCCGAACATAGTCAGAGTGCCAAGTGCCACATCGGTATGTGGTAAATTACGCTTTGTTTAAGTTCCTATCGAGTCCGAAACTATCGAGCATTCATGAGTACAACAATTTTATAGTTGTCAATGCCTAAACTACTTAAGCGTTCATCATGAAATTTTGCATACACGTCATCCAGGAATCCAGAAAAGGCTAAAGACCTTTCAATAAGAATTCATCCAAGACATACCACTATAATCAAACGATACCTAATGTACCAACTCGTACATTAACACAAGTGCAGCGGCGGGAAAAGTTTAGTCTTTAAAGGTCTACACACCAAAGCCGGCGGTTCAAGCGTCGACCTCATTCTGTAATAAGGTTGCCCGCGCCGGTAGCACCTCTCTCCATGTAGTTGCCCGCCGGCTTTCAAGGAATAATGACGTCATGTGCTAGTGTTTTCCATCAACTTAAACAATATGGAACGAGACGGCGAAAATAGTTTTAAGCTAGTAGACTTCTATCGTTCAAGCTAATTTTCTGAAACCGTCGAGTTCGTGCCGGCGGGTGTGTTCTTTGGTGTGTAGACACCCTTATCCATACTAATATTATAAATGCGAAAGTGTGTCTATCTGTCTGTTACTTCTTCCCGCTTAAACAGCTGAACCGATTTACACGAAATTTGGTACAGAGATCGTCCGAGTCTACATAGGGTAGTTTTTATCTAAGAAAACATCCTTTAAGCGGGTGAAAAGGGGGGGTGAAAGTTTGTATGGGGAATCGATAAAATCTAAACCGATTTAGATGAACTTTGGTATGAAGATACTTTGATTTTTGAGAAAAGACATAGGCTACTGTTTACCGATAACCGATATTTACGCGGGCGGAGACGCGGGCAAAAGCCAGTAAATATATAAACCGTGATCATCACATAACACTGGATAATTCTCCAGATCAAGCACTGCGTGTCCATCGCCCACGGAGACGTGGAGCGCGCGGCCGCGACGCTCCTCCACCGCCGCGAGCAGGGCCAGTCGCTGTCTCCCGCCGCCCTGCACAACGCCATCCGCACTCCGCTCATCGACGACAACGAGCTCAAGACCAGGATCATTGAGCGGTGAGGAACGTCACTGAACGGTAGATTAATAAACTGCACGGTCATTTAAAAAGTCACCTCGCCGCTTCCTACTACGCTGAGTGTTGGGGGTATGTGTGTAATGCCCCCCGCGACATAGGATATGTTCCCACAGCGGGTGTTGTCTTTAAAAAAAACCAGAAGAGAAACATTGCTTGCTTTATCGTCGCATATATTGAGTCATCGTGCCCTAAATTACGTTTGCCTAATTGCGGTCTCCACTCTGACATATGTGAAAGTGGGTTAGTGGAGACCGATGGGTCTGGTTACAAGTTAATTTTTTTTAATAGCTAATCAAAAACCTTAGGGTCATCACAGATTAGGCAGCAAAATCCTAGAGCACATTTAAAATGGGAATTAACCCATTAAAATAAAGTTGCAAATCGTATACATACTATTATTTTCTAGTTCAATTTGTTATATGTTGATTAACAAGATATGTTTTATGTTGTGCTTGAATATTGTGACACTGCTAGATCTGTAATTTAATATAATTATATCTTTAACATTTCCAGTTACTCATACGTGGATAAGAATGCAGAAACCAAAGAACACAAGCCGCTCGCCCCGAAGATCGAGCCGAAGAAGATGGTTCGTTACCGGGACAATAAGATTGTGTCCCTCAAGGGCGAGAGGTACACTGAGGTAAGAGAACGTAATTTGACCAATATCTAAAATAAAAAACGGCGTCAGGAGTTTATGGAACCCCGGTTGGAACATAGTTCCTTTCGCTTTTTGGTAGACGTTTGCTATAGGGTCGGAAAAAAATCTTGTTACTCTTTATCCGGTCTCTTTCCCATCCGCTCAGAGCGTGTAACGTGCGATAAATAACTTCGTTCCAATAATAATAACTTGACTTATCTCACACACGTCCATCTGAGCCCAAACTAGGCAGAGCCTGTGCTATGGTAACCAGACTGCTGATAAACGTACTTACATATATCTAAATGCATAAATATTATAGATAAGTTACACTAAGGCACGGAACTAATGAGCTCATGACACAAATATCCGGGAATCGAACCCACCACCTTTGGATTAGCAGTTAGGGTCACTAACCTGTAGACTAACCGGCCCTTCAAATAGCTATATGTTAATACATGAAAGACAAATATTTTTACCCCCTTTTCTTAGGGTTTTTAAACAAACTTATTTATAAAAAAAAAGATTTCACACTTGCATGGTCAATGTTAGGAAGTTGTATTAATATAATACCTACTAATCGAGGTAGGTTTTTTAATGGCGCGATTCAGGATCAGTAATCCATCATCATCAGCAGCCTAAAACAGTCCACTGCTGGACATAGGCCTCTCCTTAGAATTGAGGTTTTGGCCTACTATACCACGCTTGCCAGACGGGTTGGTATTGAGTTTGTTTCAAGGTTTCCTTTGCAGTTATATTGTCCTGTGTAGTTTGCTCCCTTAGTCGGCTCTTACGACACCATAAGGGGGGTGACACTCCGTCTTCTTTATCCGTCGACACATGAATGGATCATAGGGAATATGCACGTGACACCAAAATGGACAAAATATTTTTATTTGTAATTTTTATTGCTAAAAAAAGATACCCATACAATTATTTTTGAAATTTATTGTTTGTTTTGTTTGTTTTTTTTTTTAAAAGACAACTCCCGCATTAGGAATTTATAATTTAATAGTGAAATTTAAAAATTGACTTTTTTAAGATTCCCTTGCAAATTTCTAAAACGCAACGCAATTGGTTGAATAAACAAGTCTACACTGTCAAGAGTGTCAACAAGTTGTGTGCAGTTGTAATATTTGGTTTCTGGTGATTATTTGTTTCATTTTAAGTTAATAACTAATACGTTTTCAGTGTTAAATTATTAAAGTCCCGTGTAGAAAGACTCAACACAATGACTGAATATACTTTGTCAGGTGCAGTTTTGATATTATTTGGGCACAAAGGAACAGCACAATATTTATATGAAGTTTTTATTGGCTTTCCATGTAATAAGTTAATTTTTATCACTCACTTCTTTAACTTTCAGAAACTTTGTGAACTTTACTCCGTTGTTGACATCGAATTCGTCTGAAAGTGTAATCTGACGTCACAAAAAAAGCGCGCCAAAATGGACGTGTTCAAATTGCCCCAAAATGATAGTGATTTTAATAAAAAAAATTTTGCTTAACGGTTTATATTTCGGATGTGTTATATTTATTTTTGATTATGTAATAACTATTAGAATCGTTAAAAAAATACATGCATATTCCCTGTTATTACCTACAGTTGAAATACGTTATAAATAAAAACAAAAAAGCTTCTTAATTTTATTATAAACTTTATTATGAAGGATTATTTGTTCTATTATGTTGGGTAGTTGATATATAAATAATATTTGTGATGTCCACAGGTACCGAAATCCGGTATCGACGAGGAACACTTGAAGAAGCCGAAGAAGCAGCATTGCCCTTAACCATTAAAACCACGTCAGTACAGTGGAAGAGCGGAACCGCGCCCCTTTCGCCGCCTGTCCTCCCCCGCACGCCCACATTTACCCCCTTTTTCTAATCGCGTAATTACGTCTTGTAGCCCCGTGATTACGCCCTATCGTCGCGTAAAACCGACATACAGTCGTGTAATTTTGACGTTTATGTGTATAATGTGCGTAATTTTAGTCATTTGGACTGCACTATCAAAGTGTTCTAGTTATCTCGATGTTGGTAGGTATTTATTGTGTAAGATATTACTGAGTATAAGCGTAATAAGATGCGTAAGTTCGACAAGATATCACATTGGATGGTACGTAAGGCTGAAATTGTATGATAGTCGCGTAATTTTAACGAGCGACGTTAGTGAAAGTGTTTGCGTAAAATGCTGTAATTTTAGATTGGTGAAGAAAATTGTGATTGTAGTTAACAAAAAATGGAAATTAAAACGCTTAATTGGAAACTATAAAGTGAGTGAGTTAAAATTCAAACGCGCTATGACGAACAACTATTTGAAATACCACAGTATGTTTAGTACACGCACAATGTGTAAAACGTATTTATTTTTGACAGAATATTCGTACAAATATTCTGTATTTAATTTAATTGTAATTTTGAAGTTTTTAACGCGTAACTTGGACGTTAATCGCGTAACTTTGACGCTCGTAATGCGTAATTCGGACTTATGTCGCGTATTACGGACATGTGGGCGTGCGAATTTGATCTGTGTCTGTAGACGTAGTGTAGTTTTAGACGCGCGTGATTCGTATATTTTTATTTTTAGTCCGCTTTTATCCAGTACTGATTTTATAAAGTTATTTAATTTAATTTTAAGTGTGTCACAACTTAATGTAATAGACTGTAATTTAATTTCGAATATATTTATTTTTAACTGTAAGCGTTTTAGGCAGCTAAGCAGTATTAATATGGTGAAGCGTGTTCAGTCTAGTTTAAATGAACTATTCGTTGGTATTGCAATAAATCATTTTCTGACGGCGAATATTTGTTCTGGGGCACTACCACGCGTGTTGAAGAATGTTCCAGAACATTGGAAATTCGATAATCTTGAAACGCTTAAACGCCACTCGATGCCGAATCGATTTCCAATAGTTTTAAGCGAGATCTGTTCTACTGTGATTTCATATTATTTAATTATTATCATTAAAAATGTGATTCCTATAATAGTTAAGTTTGTGACAACTGTGATTGATATGCCATTTTATTTGATAACGTACCCTTTAAGCGGTTTTTATATTAGTTTTAGAAACAATAGTATCGGTTTTAGTCATGTACGATTTAACCTATTGTGATGATGTTTTTATTTAGTTTTTTTTTATTGGTATTATGCTTACGATTGATGACGCTAATACTCTTTAATAATTGGAAAAAAATAATTAAGCGCTGCTCACTAAACCATAAATAACATAAACTATAGGTATGATCTATAGTTTGAAATGTATCCAGTTGTCAAAAATCTTTATAATTTATTTGTCTTTTGCAATTCAGATTTCAGGTAGGCCCACTATCATGTTACCCATGTAAGTATCGAAAATAAGTTCTACGCATTAAGAAGAGGAAATCTAAGAATAAAAAATAAAGTCATAATTCGATTTGGAATAAATGAATTTATAAACATAAAATGTGATATACAGATATATCACATTTTATATTTTAAAACAATGTTGTGATATATTTAATGATGCTACTGTATCTAGCTAATGGAAAAATAGTGACCGAGTGTTTGTTTGCCCTTTTATCTCCTACCTACTCACCCTCTTGGAAACGGGCGGTTGTACACAGACATATAATGGATTAACTTCGTTTTTCTAAACATTTGACAAAACATTTTGTTGCTATTGTGTGTTGATCTATTACCTAAGACTATTTCAAACAACCTTTTTTTATATGCAATAAAGATATTTGGAGTTTGAGTTCATAATTACAAACAGCACAAATACATACAAACATTCACACCAAAAGTGTATTAAACATTGCAATTAAAATTTAAATAAAATTTAAAATACTATATAATAATGTTGGACCTGTTGGTCTAGAAGTTAGTGACCCTGACTGCTAAGCCGGAGGTCGTGAGTTCGATTCCCACCCAGGACTAATAGTTGTGTGATGAGAACGGCCATTTGTTCTATGTCTGGGTATAGTTTATCTATGAAATGTATGTCTTTACAAATATATAAGTATGTTTATCAGCTGTTATGTTACCATAGCACTGGGTTTGCCTAGTTTGGGATGAGACAGATGTGTGAGGTTATATTACTATATATATTAGCCAACTTGATGTGCAGAGATGAAATTTTTAACTTCACAATAATATCAGTGAACAAGATATTATTGAGCAGTGTTACAAATACAATTAACCTCACATTATACGGTATTCAAATCAATCGTAAGCGCATTACCAAATTTATTTAATAAATTTATTATTATTTACAATTAATTTTGTCGACTGATTTAATGTTTTATAGTTCTCATACAATGAGGTGTTTTATAAATATAGCTAAGCTATATTCTTCTCTCTATTATTATTTATATTTATCAATGTCCTCTGTGCAATTGGTTGAATATAATCGCTATTGGATATTAAAAAAAAAGATGAAGTAAAAAAATGAATTCTTTTTGATCAATTTTTGAACAATTGTTTTTTTATATTGTTTATATTCTTAAATCAAGATATTTGATAAATTATACTGATTTTCAAAATGTATCATTTTTTGTCTTAGATATCCAATAGCGTGAATATAAAATTAAATTACAGGATAGGACTAATTAACCAAATTGGACTACTATTAATGAAATAATGCATTCATTTGTCAACGCTATCAAATGACTTTTTACCTTTGTACCAAATTAGGTAAATAAATAAAAAAAATATATGAATACCCACTTACTGACCACTCACACCTCTTACCAACGCAATGGCTAATGTATTTATAATTTGATGGTATTATCGACGTGTTAAATCGCGAAGAACATTATTTGTACACTTCTTTATAGTTTGTTGCGTTAAGAATGCACTAAATCATCATTGTTTGCCGGACTAGCCACGCCCCGTAACCAATCAAATCATTACTAATTGAAATTTTATAAATCCATTAAATCTTTGAAAAAAATTGTTTGAATTTTAACGCCACGGTGAATACACCTGCAGTTGCAGTGATGACTCACTGCATTTTTAACGCGACCGATCTATAAACAAATATGTATGTGTTTACAAAAAAAAATAAGTATTCCATCAGTCAATCTAGCTTTCTTAGTATAAACTCTGCTTAGTTTGAAACTAGATGGCGTTGAGTTTCAGTTGTTCTAAATATCTATTAAATAAAACAAGACATTCAAAAACATTCGACAACCAGACGATCTCTAATTAAAGTTTTGAAAGGACTTCATATATATATATATATATATATTTATTTATTTTTTAACAGGATACGTCACAATTTCGTGGTGTTCTATTTTAATTGTATTAAAAATAAAAAAAAGTATGCCATCTCAAATGTGAAATAGCTAATTTATGTTTTTTATAATATGACGATTTATCTCTTGAATAAAGTACTTGAGTCACATTTGGTAAATTCTTGAGCGGCAATGTTATATACACGGATAGCACAATGGTTAAAGCCGTCCGTGGTCGTGTTGGTGTTGGGACTCAATACCCATACGGGACAAAAATGTACATGATCAAAATATAGCTGAGTCGTTCTTGGATGCGTTTTTTTTGGTGCTTTTAAAGCCACGCAGAAATATTTATACACAACCTTTTAAAAAACATACATTATCACGTATAGGTATTTAAGTCATTTGATAGTGTTTTATCAATTTGTATTATAGAAAAAATGATATATCGCCAAAATTTGGTGCTAAATCGAACAAAAAATTGCCAAAACGCGAGTAGATAATTTGAATCAAATTTCGAGTTTTTAAATCGTAAAATCTCGAAAATGTTTTTTTTTTTAATTTATTACTTGAGCTTTGTTTTTCTTATCTGTAACAGTTTTATAAGGAGACATTTTGATTAGGAAATAATTTCAAATAGATTTGAAATCAATTTCTGAAAGTAGGTAGTCTCGAATATTCTAATTGAAGTTTTAAATATTGTTGAAAATGTCTCTTAGTAAAACCAAGTGACAAGCATTGAATCATAATTTATTTATTTGACAGTATTATTTATATCTAAATCTCTGAATAAAATAACAGCTCTCTCTACAGCAGAGTATCATTCATATTTAGGTAATTATAAAAAACAATGTGCTGATTAGAATAACTTGGATATTGTCATCTATTATAGGATTACTATGAAAAGAGATCTATGTAGGATTTTTCACATCTAATATCGATATGGTTTTCCCTTTAATATAGAGACGCACCAGCCCTTAATTCCCAACACGTAATTCCTGAAATGGCAAGCCCAATGCTGGTTCTTTGGACATTAAGAAATGGGAAATTTGTGACTGTTAAAAGGAAAAGGTAGGTAAAAAACACGTATGTGCACCAGTTGAATATTTTCAAGTTATTTTATTTTTTTATTTTTGTAGCCCCAGCGGTTTAGGCCTTGATGAAGCCGCCAGTCAGGGCTAGTAATTTTATTGATGTATAGATAATCGCACTTGGCTCCAATAATTATCTTCAGCACGTCCTAGAAATGCTTTTATCTCAAGTTTAATATATAAAAGAAATATGAATGATACAATGCTACACTGTTTTGGCTTATAGTTGACTATTAAAATTCTAACAATGCTTAAATGGTTAACTACTTATAAAATAGTGACAATGAAGTTATGTATAAGTGATGATTACATTGCTAATAACCGTCGTAGGCTGTGTATTTGTACCTACATACATATACCTACATATGAAATATGTTCCGAATTATGTATGTTGTATGTAAGAGGCTCATTCAGGCAATATTTAACGCTAACTATTGCGGTCAGTTCGGTTAAAAAAACTGATTTACTTTCTTCTCCAACGACATCGACTCAACTCTATAGGTTGTATAATTTTTATAGCGGTCAACTCGACGTATATAGGCCAGTATCTTGTTTTCTTTTTTATTAGCAGTCTAATAAAATTTTAGAAGTCAACTATAATAAGGCTGAATGGCGTCAATCACAGGTGTCATGATATCTCGAAAAAATATTTTTAACGCATTTATTATCAATTGATTTTTATTGTGACGATTATACCTGTGTATTAATTTTCATATTGATTTGTGTACAGTGCCGGATTTAGACTATCTTTAGTCGCAAAGGGGCCCGAGAAGGTCCCTGGTCAACTGTCATTTTAGTCACGTATATTTGAAAAGATAAAATCTTTTTTTATATCGTTTGGATCATTTTTATCCTCCCAATTTAACGCTTATTTCCCAAATCAGAACCCACCCCCCTTAAACCCGGCACTGGTTGCAATAATGCGATGAGCGCGCATTTAATGTCATTCATATCGTTTAAGTGAATTTACTGAAAATATATTGTTAATAACCCAATGCTGTTATTATTTCATCCATGGCAATAGTATAAATGCTGAAGTATCACCATCATTTCAGCCTCAGATCGGTTGAAAGCGGTCTGCATCTACCGTCAACGTGCGTCATGATGGACGTCCTACGTCTCTCTTCCTGGTCTAAAATCCTTTCGTTCACTCTGTGACTCCCCTTAACTCCTAGTGGCAGCTCACGAAAAAAACCCAAGGCTTTAGTAATCATTTATATATAAATGATTTTGTTCATATACCATACCATACCATACCTACACTTGGATACTCTTTTACACTTCGTCTTTATTGTTAAAGACGTACAGTAAATCATACAATTTGTCTCAGATAAAATAAAAAAGTAAAGATGGTACTCTCTGAATAAAGAAAGGAGGCCAATTAAAAGTACGCCTTGGCGTCTACATACACAATTACATATATAATAAAACTACGCCTTGTCAGTCAAAACGTCATAAAAAATGACAACAATATTTATAAGTAAATTGTGTTGTATAAGGGTGTAAAAACCAAACTACAAGAGATAGATAGTAGGATGGAATCGCATTTCACACATAAGCGTAGAAACCAATATTTTCAATAAAATTAAATTATGATGACACACGCACATATGTTTAAAAAACCGGCGTCATTTAGTTCTATGCAAAGCTCTATCTTACTTTTTTATTTGATCCGAGCAATGTGTATAATTTTCAATAAGTACTTTTGAGTAGTTACATAAGAGTATAGAATAAAATAACGATACTTATGTACAAAAGGATCACTTCCTAAAGACAAAATGCAATTTAGGTTGACGGATTAAGAATACGCAATGTCACCCACCCTATTGATCCCGTGGGTGTCGTAAGAGCCGACTAAGGGAGTAAACTCTGCAAGACTACAGCACTGCAGAGAGAAGGAAAACTTGACACAAACCCTATACCAACCCGTCTGGCCAGCGTGGTATAGTAGGCCAAAACCTCCTTTCTGAGAGGCCTATGTCCTGCAGTGGACTATTTATAGGCTGTTGATGTGATGTGATGTGAATTTAGGTTGCAAAACAATCTGTGTGATTGAGAAAAAAATGTGGGGTACGCGCTATCTAATAATAACTTATTAGCCTCGTATCGATCGATCGATTCGACATTCGACGTATCGATTATAATTAAAAATAAAACGTGCAAATTCTCTTTTTAAATATATTTAAAAAAAGTACAAGCCGATTTTCCGTTCGTGCATGTGATATAAAAAATATCAAAACAAATGGAATGATCTCAGTTCATAAAGTAATTCATAATTTTCTTATTATATGCTGTATAATCCATACTTATATTATAAATGTGAAAATGAGTTTGTTTGTGACGCTTTTACGCCTAAACCACTAAGCCGATTCTAAAAAATCACCCATGGAAAGCTATATTATCAGCGAGTATCATAGGCTACTTTTTACAGCGATAACTGACATACACGCGGGTGGAGCCCCGGGCAAAAGCTAGTTTTATTACAAATAATTAACAAGAATAAAAAAAAGTAAAAAAAGACGCATTGAAACTGACGTTTCGTTATTAAAATGGAGGTTTTTAACACCTTAAATAGTTCAGAGTTAATAAGTTCACTACTTTTCGTCTTCAAATTTAAATTTTGATTAAACAAAGTGATTACTTTGTTTGTGCCTTAGAACCCAATACTTCATTTTCATAAGTACTAACATTTCTGATGTACGCCTATTACTTTACTGAGATGAGGTACAAATAAAAGAAAAAGATAGGACACCACGGGACAGTATTGTGTAAAATTACTTGTCAACTAAACAGGTACGTAAACTTATTTTAGAACTTTTAATTCTTTACGCTTTTTTCATCAAACCACCCTGAAAAAGGTTGTAAACTCTTAGTTTAATTTTTTTAACCCTATTGATATAAACAATATTAACACGTTTTTATTATTAGCAGAGGTGGTTTAAAAACAATATAGGCAGGAAGCCGTAGTGTCTTTTTTTCGACGGACGATACTACATTCGGTCGAAATAGTGGGTAATTAATATGGTATTGTACCCTATAAATATATCCGAGGGTAAAAAGAACAGACACATTTAACAGCACATTGGCATACACCTATTGAAAGTTTAAAAATAAACATTTACAATTTTACTGACAGCACAATTTTTTTTTTTTTTAGGCAACCATAATCGAATCTGCTTAAAGCATAACGTAGTCGTAAGCAGATTCGAACTACTAAAAGATTACATTAGTCATGTTTTTAATTGTTGTAGATAATATGCATTTTTTTAAAACTTGTATAACAGTTTCGTCAGAATGCCTACAAAAAATGTGGCAACTCATGAAAGTTGTCAAGACTAGTTTTTTTCTATTTGCATTTTTTAGACTTTTTTTCAGCTGTTTTGGGTTTTCCTGTTTCCTTAGGCTTATTAGCGCCGGTGACACACGGAAAGAAGGTACCGTACTCCTTGCTCATGCATGCTTCAGATAAAAAAAAAACAAAAAATTATTACCAATTTAATAATAAGGTTTAATTAACTACAATAAATAAATAAAGGAAACAAAGTTTTTAATACTTTCAATAACTACACTTATCTATGGCAGATACAATGATTCTTTTTACAAATTAATTGTCTATAAACATAAATCATGGTGAGACAGTTACTAAAATATGCCGCTATCATGACATGGCTCTATTGGGACAAGAGGGCTAATGTTTCAGTCATAATAAATTCTTGATCATATTCAATCACTTCTCTGCTAAAAAGTATTTTTTATTTTTGGTTTGATTTAAGAGAAAGTTGAAAAAGTTATGATCAAAAATTTATATTGATGCAGTAAATATCATTTTAAAATTATTATTGTCAGCTACATTTTATATTTACATTATCATTAAATACAATATTAAATTGCTGTCTCAATAACGGCATTTGTTTCAAACAATACTTTGTAGGATGCATATCACAGTTGCATACACAAAAGAGGTTCGGTAGTATTGTTCTCATTTAAAAAAGTTGTTATGCGATCAATTTTTTGGTTCATTTCCTCAACTTTTTATTGTGGATTAATCGAGGGTGACATTGCGTCAAAAGTCACGATATAGACGTCTGCTTATGATATTTTGCCAACTTTTGTCCGTGATACAATATTTAGTTTTTTTAGTCTGGTATTAATTTATTTAATTATTTTAGATCTGTCCATAGGAGAACCTCAAGGGACGACACTGTCACTAGTATAAACAAAAGAATAGAGTTAATTATTGAATTCTCAATGATTGAATCATTATGAAAAATAGGGTTTACTAAATGCATCCAATATTAAAATGAGCAACAGAAAACGTCAATTTTTTAAGTTTTACTTCGCTATCGTATTATTTTTATAAACAGACGTTCCACCTAACGGTGAGTGACTAACGTCGCCTAAGCTTACTATCGGTTATTTGTGAATTATTTTGATGCATATCTTACTTACTGCTAAATTTAAGAGTTATCTTTGCTTTTACCTGAGATATGCAACCTTATCATATTGTTTTATAAATTACAGTGGAGTTCTACATGGGCAGAGTGTGTCAAATTTTACATAATGTGTCAAATTTTATTAAACTAAATAAATACGAGTAAGAAAACGCCTCTTAAATGGCGTACAGGAAGAAAGTTTATGATATCGATCATTTCCACAAAAATAAATAATAGAACAAATATAATACTACCGAATTATATCGCCCGTCCTTATGGAAGAAGGCCCGTCCTAAGAAAATGGGATCTGCAATTTTACAGGAGAGCGCAACGAAGTTAGTTAGTAAAATTGCTTAATTTTTATATATACGAGTATATATATATTTACTATGTTATCATGGCTATTTAAAAAACCATGAGGAAAAATTTACTTTTTTTTAAAGCTGCTAAAAACATTGCTTTTTTTAGGTCAATAGAAAAATAAAATACAATTGCATATGCAACCTTCTTAATAGGGAGAGGCGATATATAGGTGAAAGATGAGGCATGAAAATACAGTAAGTAATAAGTAAAAAAAATTGCCACTCAAAAATATTACATAGCATTGAAAAACTGATGTAATTAATCCCCGCTTTTATAATCAGGGGGTAATCAAAACAATGTATACAACTATATGTAAGCAATATGTAACAAATATATTACTGTAGAATTAGTATATCTAAACTACATGTAATTGTGGATCAAAAATAAATACACAAAATCAAATACGATAGTTAGATAACAGGGTAGTTGTAAAACTACGGGGAAGTAATAAGGCTTATACACACATGAGATTTGTTATAAAGCTTGCCTTTAACCAATTTCAAACAATAATCATTTTATATCGATCGATTATAACACTGGGTAGTACATTTTTAATGTATTCTATCTATTTTTTTCTGTCAGTACACAGTTTTGAGAATGTGCCCAATAGATGGCAGTAGGTTCGCCCTTTTACAAGGCAAACTATGGTTCATAAAGATGGATATTACTAAAACTATGAGTGTGGTAGAAAGTTTGATTTCCACATGTTTTTAGTACTGTGGACTACCCCATTACCGCTTTTCTTCTTCTACCGCATTTTGCATCGAACTAATTAGATTATTTCAATATAAAAACGCGCTAGGACCTAACTAAAGGTAGACAAAGCTCTTTCAAGGTAATACACGAACACTCTGCCCTTATTTAACTAAAAAATAAATTCAATTTTGAATGTTACCAATGATAGCGTTCACCACGTCTGTAGAGGAAGCTGTGCCTCCTACATCAGGGGTTAAGATCCTGTAAAGAGAGAAATACAATTATTTTTATCATGTACTATGTTGTTTTTAAGAAACGTTAAGCAAAACTAGCCAGGTCAGTATGTATGGGTAAACATTCTTAACACATTGAGACCTCTTCGTGTCTTGCAGAGCACGTTAAGGTGTCGGTCCCGGTCACCATACGAACATCAGTGATAATCGTTACGGGTAGTTGCGAGCCCTAAAAAGTCCGATCACAGTCTTCCTACAGAACTTCGATATCGCCTAGTACTTGGGTTGTCTGTCTGTTGTTGGGTTGTTGTTAGGTTAGAGGTCTGGCAGTCTGGAGGCAGTCACTCCGCTTAAAATGGAAGTTCAACCGTATCATAGTAGACTTATAAGCCGACCCCAACCTGGTTTGAGTAAAAAGGCTCGGAGGAAGGAAGACGCTTGTAGGTGACTGCTTGTAGGCAACCGGAGGAAGAATCATTACTTTCATACTTACATGAAAATGTGAAAGTGAGTTTGTTTGTTTGTTACGCCTAAACCACTTGACCGATTTAAAAGATTCTTCCACCAATGGAAAAGTACATTATCAGTGAGTAGCATAGGCTACTTTGTTACATACAATTATGTATATAAGTGTATTTAGTTGTATGTATACTGTAAACGTATATTTTTCAATTTGTTGTAATAAAGGGTGTCCCAAGAAGAACGCAATTTTTAAATCTGGCAACATTCGAAGTGTCATTGTTTGACATTTGAACAATTGTTATTGTTTGCTAGTAGAAGGTACGAGGTTAGTAAAAATGGAGCGCTACACGAATGAACAACGCATTCTCGAACGAAAATGCTGATTTTGCCGATAAAATCATCTTCAGTGACGAGGCCCATTTTCATCTTGATGGCTTCGTCAATAGGCAGAATTGTCGCATTTGGGGTGAGGAAAATCCTCGAGTGATTCACGAGAAGCAAATGCATCCTCAACGTGTCACTGTGTGGTGTGGTTTTTGGGCTGGAGGAATCATTGGACCTTTTTTTTATGAAAATGAGGCAGGTCAAGCGCAAACAGTCAATGGTGTTCGGTATGGTGAAATGATAACCAGTTTTTTCTTGCCTAGAATTGAAGAAATGAATGTGGAGGGTATGTGGTTCCAACAAGATGGCGCCACATGTCATACAGCCAGAGAAACAATTTAATTGCTGCATCAGTCATTTCCCGGTCGTGTTATTTCGCGTTTTGGAGATCAGAATTGGCCGCCTAGATCGTGCGATTTAACACCATTAGATTTTTTTCTTCGGGGTTTTTTGAAGTCGATGGTTTACGCGAATAAGCCGACGACGACTCAAGCCTTAAAAGAGGAAATTGGACGCTGCATTAATGAAATACCGCAGCATTCATGCAAAACGGTCATTGAAAATTTCATTAAAAGATCGCGTGCATGCCAGCAAAGCCGCGGCGGCCACCTGCACGATATATTGTTCCATACATAACCTCATTCTGTCTACTTTACGATAAAATAAAGTTTCACGATTTTTTTTTTACATATCTGTGTTTTATTTAAAATTTAAAAATTGCGTTCTTCTTGGGATACCCGTTAGTACATCGCAGGCTACCCTAATTTTTTTGACAATATCCGTATAAAGGTTGTCTGTAAGAGATCGCCGTGAGCGATAAGACCGCCTATTATTATACCGAAATGTATATAAGATCTCTACGAATAATACTGTGGTGTACAATAAAGATGTAAATAAATAAAATAAACAAAAATTTAAACGGGTAGAGCCGCGGGCAGAAACTAGTTATTAATATATCCTTTTACTATTTTGTTATGACGACATGACGAAACGGAAAAACTTACACGGCTATAACCATACATACTTAGTTTGACGATTAAATCTATACTAATATTATAAAGCTGAAGAGTTTGTTTGTTTGTTTGTTTGAACGCGCTAATCTCAGGAACTACTGGTCCGATTTGAAAAATTCTTTCAGTGTTAGATAGCCCATTTATCGAGGAAGGCTATAGGCTATATATCATCACGCTAAAACCAATAGGAGCGGAGCACCAATGAAGAATGTTTCAAAAACGGAAAAAAAATATTACTATTGAGAAACGCAGACGAAGTTGCGCGGGTCAGCTAGTCAATAATAAACTTGAAAACTATAACAAATATTAGACTTAAGTTTAGAGTTTATTTTCAAAATGACCAAAAGCCACTCACATGAGAATATAAAATAATATATCGAGATATTATTATTCTAATGGTCACCGAAACAGTGTTAGGTATTTGTAGCACGTACAGCGATTTCACATCCAGCCAATATCATAATAGTTTAAACTAATTATTGAGAGTAATTTACTAATATATGAATAGATACACGGGATTTAAAAACGCTAAACGAGCTTGCATTTTTAATTCCAGACGTCAAATTGTTATACAGTTGTGCTCCTTCGTAGGTAATGTTTTTCTTTGCGTAGTTTGTACGTGTTTTTTTGGTAATATAAGTAAACTTGGACGACAAAGACTACGCTTACTGATAAGAGATTTTTTCATAAATGTAACAACATTAGTTTGGACACTTTTATCTATAATTATTTAACTAATATATAAGTACAATACAAATAAAGTTGTTTATAGTTTTTCAATACGGTTTTTCACTCTTTTCATACTTAGTTCTATAAAACCCTATGGATCTCCTTAGAATGCAGGTTTTTGCCTACTATGTGGTGGCCAGATGGGTTGGTATAGGGCCTTTAATAGTCCACTGCTGGACATAGGTCATGCAGTGGACTATTAAAGGCTGTTGATGATGATGAGTAAAAGTTTGGACTTACTTGTCAACATTGCAGGTCTTGTTTACAGCATTGCGGATGAGATCGGCGTGACAGAAGTGACCGAGGTGCTCCAACATGTCTATTGAGGCGTTGATCATAGCGATGGGATTAGCGACGTTCTTGCCGGCGATAGCGGTACCTGGAATTTGGACATACATCATCGTGAAAAGATTACCATGAATACTGAAGCGTTTATTGGTTTGGTTGAATGCACTAATCTCAAGAACTACTGGATTCGAATTGAAAAATTATTTTAGGTTAGATAGCCCATTTATCGAGGAAGGCTATATAACACCACGCACCAATAACATCATACATATTACATACATACATATAACATCAATGAAAAATATTGCAAAAACGGGCAAAATGTATTCCTTTTGAGAGACTTGGTCGCACGGGTCAGCTGGTCATTTCATTCCATTTTAACAGCATTGTTTAAGGCGCTACACTGTCTTTAGTGTTGGTATTGTGCCGGGCCCTAGTTTCGTCCAAAGACTGACCGTAAATTGGAATTTGCATCCATCGAACCCGAGACCTCAGTACAGCAGTAGCATACGCTACCACTGCACTAAAGAGGCAGTCAATAGATATAGAGATGATCTGTTATATCCTGTTAAAGAACTTCAGTTACGTTTCTCGGAACTTTTACATCCAAGAGTGTTCAGACACTTATTGGCAATTTCCCTAGACGATATATTTACTTCTAAAAGCATCAGGAAATCCATCGTCTCCAGCCGAAAATACATTGCCCAATGCCTAAATACGTTCACAAAAAAAACATAAAAAAAAAGGTTGAAAGAAGAAAACCTGTTTCTTAAAATGCTATGTTTCTGTATCGTACCTGTGTTCCTGGTACCAGGCTCGAAGACAGCGTAGTGATCGCCATAGTTCCTGCCTGAAAGAAGACCAGCCCCGCCCAGCAGTCCACACACGACGTTGGAAACTATAGAACCGTACAGATTGGTCATCAACATCACGTCGAATTGGTGAGGTCTGAAATAAAGTACATTGTTTTAGTTTCTTTTAAATATTAATAATAATTGTTTATTCGCATAACATATGATTGTAGGTTTAACAAGTGCAGTATTCATGTACTTTCACACACTAAATACAATAATAATGGGGGAAGTACTCTCCACCTAAATAGGCTACGGATAAGCCTGTGATAACAAGGTACTGTGACGGTCCCCTTAACAGTTGCACAAAACAGTAGTAGTTTCAACTTAAGATTAAATTTAAAACGTTAAAAACTTAGTGAAAATGTACTTGTGCGTGTGTTTGTGTGAGGGTGTGTTTCTGTGTGTGTGTAATTATAAGTAATCGCAGCAACACGGAAGGGAGATAGAATAAATGATGCTTACCACTTTTAGAAAGCACGGTCACACAACTTCTATTTAAAACACCCTATTAAAGCTTGTCCGTGTGGTGACGGACTAAGAATACAGAGTGTCACCACCCCTATTCATCCCGTGGGTGTCGTAAGAGCCGACTAAGGGAGCAAACTACTAAGGACAACAGCACTGCAGAGAGGATAACTGGTTTAAGATTGCATTGAGGACAAACATAAACATTCAGCTTTATTTATATAGGCTGGTAATACTTACTTGGCAACAAGTTGCATACAACAGTTATCGATGATCATGTCATTGTGCTCAATGTCGGGATACTGCTCGGCCATCTTTCGTGATGTCTCCAAGAACAGACCATCTGACAACTTCATGATGTTTGCTTTATGGACCGTTGTTACCTGTGATACATACAGACACTTCAATAATAGTGACTTGTATCCTTTGTTAACAATGTTTTGGCCCCACTCATTTAAGAGGTAACTTCATTTATTTTGTGAAAAAAAAAGAGAAAACTAGGAATAGGTGACAAGTCCCAATTATACTACTAGTTGTCACAAAAAAGTGGTCCTTCGAGCCTTATCACAATTTTCATATATTTTTTCATTGATCTGGGAAAGAAGCATCCACCAAATAAGGCACCTGTTTTTTTCCGGTAAAGTTACACAAACCTTTTTGCGTCCGTTTCTCTTGGCGTACTCAAAGGCGAACCGGGCAACCCTTTCAGAATTACTGGCCGTCACCACTTTCATGGACTCGACAACACCATGAACTGACTCGTGTTCCAACATGGCATACTCTCCCTCAGTGTTTTGTCTGAAAAAAATCAAATTTATGGACCATTTTTTTATTTTATTGGTTTTGTTGTTTCTGCATATCCCTTACGCCAGAACGGCAATATAGATGTGGATGAAATATGACACAGACATAGATTATAGTCAGAAATAGCACATATGCTGTTTATCAAGGCAATATTGATTGCCAAATAATATTAAGATAGTAGTCCCTAAGCGTGAGGACTCGAGATTGAACACCCACATTTTACATGCACACAGACGCATCGTGCGACTAATAGTGCGCGATGCGTCTGTGGTCCTGGTCCCTGGTCTGCGTCTGCGGTCCCTGGAATAGTTTCGGTATAAGGTAGATATTCACCACCTCTTCGTCTTTGTAGATTGTTTATGAATGTCACAAAAAACAATGTATCGTAACGCATCGCGAAGCTCGTAGTCCCGTAGTGACTAGCCGGCGACAAAGGGTAGTAGTGAAGTCCAAGTGTACGCTTTTTGGGTATGTATGGTATGTTAAAACTATTAGTTTTTATGGAGAAATCTAAGATATTGTCAAATCAATATTCAGTGTGAATGGGAAATGTGGGTTTCATAGATAATATTTTATTTCTTAATTATATTATTTATTAAAAAAATTACAGCTTGAAATAGAACAACGAAATAGCAAAAATATTCAAAATAGCAACAGTTGATTTCGAAGATTTTGATCAATGTTGAGGATTTTTTACTCTCGAAAATAAAGAATTATTTTATAAGTTTCACGCGTTAAAAATGTAGACATCTATTAAGCAACTGAGATTTTTTTATAATGTAATTTGATGAATTGAGTTCTTTAATTTAGTTAAAATAGTAAGTGCTTATTCACCCGTTTCCTAGGGACGTCCCTCTTAAAGTCAGCGATGGAAGAAGCCAGATTTATTTATTTATTCCAAGGCTTTAGGCCGTAGGTCATTCTATACTTTTTTTTTTCTGAGCTGTAATCCTCTCCGGATACCACTTACCGGTGGCAATGTCGGACTCGAACCGACTAAAACCGCACGCCGTCCCTGGTACCAGTAGTCGGGGAACTAGGTGTACCCTAGAAAGGAAATCCCTGGTACCCGACGTACCTCGGGCCATCAACGGCGGGTAGACCTCTGTGTGGGGTTCCCTCCCCTCTAGATGAGGGAGAGGGAACATGTTCCCTCTGTGCTCTGTTTTGCGGCCTCCGGCGCTTGAGTCGTCTGCGGTACCTGGCCCCTTCCCGAGCCTGGCGGGCCGGGAGAGTTCTAAACCTCTCCCGGTCCCACTCCGCCATTTCCTTCGCAAGCATAACTTGCTCGCAGAAGGAGACAGCAGAGTTCCACGCACTCTCGCTTCGCACCATGGCCGCAATCAGGTTGTCGAGCGAGAGAATTCCCACTCCGATGGCCGCCAGGAGGTCTGCCAGCGTGTGGAGCGCCGTCTCCACGGTCCGACCACCGCAGTGGTGGCACTCAGGCGTTGGCTCCTTGCGGATCAGACACAGGTGATCTCCGAAACATCCTTTCCCAGTGATCACCTGCGTCAGTAGGTATGACAGGGTCCCGTGATGCCTCTCGAGCCAATTCTCCATAACGGGTTCTACCGCCGCGATGACGGCGTGCCCGGCGCTCGTTTGCCTAAGTCGTTCCTTCCACTCCCCTACGAGGACCCGGCGGAGTTGGGATTTCAGGTCATCGATTTCTCAAGTCTCAGGACTCCGAGCCCAACTCCAGCGCCTCCTTGCGCCACTGATACATAGCCGCAAGGGCTCTCGCCTCCAGGTATACTAACATTCTCTATTTAAATTTTTATTCAAGTTTGGAACTTATCCCAGCTCAGAAATTAAATTGCAACATATAAATTCAAATAATCATACCTGATAATAGAAATATTAATATCCTTATGCCTGGTGGTGACTCCTGGGAAGGACTTGCAGTTCATTACGTAAGCGTACATGTCGAGTTCATTACGCAGAGCTACGTTGCGTGACGTCACATAGGCAGCTTCACTTTTTGTTTCAATGTTGCCCTGTAAAAATTATATTTTTATTATTATTTACTATCAAACTTTATAAACAGATTTAAATTAAAACAGGACCTACTACGAGCACAATCAACATAATTAAATAATCTTTACATGGTATAAAATACGACTTTCTTCTTTGTGTTGTATGCTTAGATCTTTTGAACTAAACAACGAATTTTAATGCGGTTTTCACCCATAGAGAGACTAATTTTATATGTATAATACATGCATATTATAGTAAAGTAAATCCGAATATTTGTGGTAAAAATATGTTTTTGTGCGCTTACGCAAACGCTGGTTAAACCATACGAGATAGACCAAAGTAATGTACTACGAAATTGTATATTTTAAAAAGATCTACAAAAAAGTCCGCGATGGTATATGTCTATCTCCTAAGGATAACCATCAGTATCCATTTTTATTCTTAAAAATATAATAAACATTACGCGTTATTTACGAAGCTATATTTAACTGTACATTATTATTCCTTTTCCAATTAAATACGTTAGATATGTTGTGCATTTAATGTTGATTGAAATTGCTCTTGCAGCATATCATTACAATGAATATTTTAAAAGATATAAGAGGATATTTAAAATGAGCAGGCCCAATATTTAAAATGAGCCATTGAGCCGTACATCTGTCCCGGGTGGCAGCTCGGTAGGATCGGAGCAGGCCTATAAATATTGCATTTAAAGATGTCCTGTAGTATAGTCCTATCATAATAAAAGTATAGTTAATTACTCCACACGGACACCACATTAGTAGTATCTACATTGCACCCATACAAAGCCGGGGTTGAGTGCTGCTTATAATATACACTCACAAATTCGAAAAAATTTAGGTAATATATTATCAATAATACCTTAATGCCAACACCGTTCCGTTTGATAGTAGTGATGGCGTATTGTACATCATGATCATTGTCAACATTAGGATCAATGTTGACAACTTCAAAGTCCACAGGTGCACCAATGTACCTGAAATATATATATTTTTAAATTTATTATCCGAAAACATTTTCTATGTAACATGGAACTTATTATTAATGAAATAATAATATATAAAAGAAAATATACATCTTAAATCGAAATATAAACTGTTTTTAGGGCTAACTTGCTGTTTCCGACATCATTTATCTTTTTTAGGTTTCTAATAAGTATGTTTCTGAAGTTACATGCTTAATTTAATTATTTGCACCTTCTGCAAGAGTATATTAGAGGTTTAGCCCCTGTAGGTGACAGTCAGTCCTCTGTGTTCTGAAGGCAGAAGTATTAAACAACCAATGTTGACTGTAATGTTAGTATATCGTACTGTAATAAAAAATTGAATCGGTAATCTGCTAATCTTAGTAATATTTTACTACGAAAATACCTTTTATGACAGTTGAGAGATTGAGAGTTGGAACTGAATTGTTACTGTACTATTATTATAAGAATTGGCTTTCTCATAATTTGTAATGGCCTTATCTAAGTAGTCACCTATAAAGAACTTTATCAATACAAGTTACAGATTTGCAAGTTACTTGGTGATAAAAATAAGTTTGTCAGATTAAAAGATTTAAAGAGACTTAGCAGTTGAGTAGAACTTTTATTATCTTCTAAAAGATTTATAATGCAGTCACCACAGACAATAAGAGATTTGTTGTAGAGACAGTAGAGACTTTTGCCATAACACTGTGAGGTTTTTCTGTCTGTTTTATTTTAGATACTACTTCACTACTACCTAGGTTCAAAGCAACAGAGTTCTGAGATAATAAACATAATTTTTAAAACAGATAGTCAAATTCGACACTTTTTTTTTTATTTGCTTCATGCAATGGAATATACAGCAATGGAAATGAAATATACAGCAGATACAGTTTTATTATTGTCTTCTAATAATATACCGAACACATATGGGTCATGTGATCATTATAATCAATCTCTATCTATAGAGATACTTTTTGAAGCTGAAAGCTCTGTATAATAATTAGATGTAGGAAATTATGAATATAGGAATATAAGTTATATCGTTGCAATTCAATTTCTGAGATTCGACTACAAATAAACAGAAACAGCTGTATCCCAATCCGTACGGACCATCTCTTACGACAACAAGATTATGACATCTAAAATCTTACTTGAAAATGTCTCTCACGTAACCCATGCACTCAGGACCGATGCCACCACCCGGTAGCATTGTAACAGCGTGACGACCACCATAGTGCGCCTTTGGGATCAACTTCTGTTGCCTGATAACTGGTGTCTTATGCTGAAGATCGAAATCTGATAGTGTAGCGGGTGCAGCAGCTGAACTGGCGTTCGCAACACCTCGAACTTCAGGTAGAACCTTTAATTTAGACAATAACCTCACAGCCATGGCGTATTTTTCACTAAAATCCAATAGTAACTATTAAATAACCACAGGAACAGGAAGATGGAAAATCAGAGACTTTGGGAGACTCAAATTTTCACCGTCAGATAGCGCTGTTATGTCAAAGGTTGGATAGATGGCACTACTGATTTGAAACTGACAACTTCGTTTTAAGTCTCTTTGTAAAAAAAACAATTAAGACCTATAAATAAGAAATGATTAAACAACAGAGCCCTGGATTTTTTCAATTAAGTACTTATAGATTTACGTGTTATTTTAGTTAAAGCTGGAAAGAAATAATAAACCTCTCAGATCACATTTAAGTCTGGCAACATCAACACTAATGTTTTTTTTTCTAAATGACAAGCGCTTTGCTTTTCCTTTCCCGTCGGAGTTCTCGAACACGAACGGGTGGAGAGCGGGCGTCCATTTTGCTTCGCCATATTGAATTTGGTCCGACATCTTTGGACGCCATGTTTAGTCGGACATATTTTATAAACATTTTCGCGTAAATTTCAAATTATTTTGAGCCTAAATATCGAACTTTTTTTCACTGAAAACTGTGCTACCAATTGCTGAAAATATTACGTTGGAAAATTCCGTGCCAACGCATCTGTCCATATTTGTCTTCTGGGGGCCGTCGGTGCTTTTGTTACAGGATAAATAAAGGTAAATTATTTCTATCGAAAACATAGTACTTTTTGACGTATCGTAACAAGTGTTTTATATTTTCTAAGCTATTATGCATTTTGGTGTGTATCATAAGGGTCACAGAATGAAGGTCATTTTATAGGGTATCGATGTATGTAGCGTTTGGCGTGGTCATTTTATAATTATCTAAAAAATCGTCGAGTCGCGGGTCCGGCCGGTCGAGTTACGCTGCCAGTATACTCACACCTGCCCTGAGAGATAGTTGTTTGACTCTAATGCACCATAAATGCGGCAGAATTAAAAATATAAATGGTTTTCTCAGTGGGAGGCAATGAATTCAGATTAACAACTGCGTTAGGGGTGACGTAGATAACACATTATTTACATAAAATTACATCTGTTTACGTGTTTAAATGATAGTCTAAAAATAAATCCTCAAAAACATATCTATTGTATTCAACTTAAAAGTGTGTAAATTGTTATTAACTACAACTATCTGAGCTATCATTCTGATTATTTCTGATTCTGATAGTGTTATTGTAATCAATGACAAACAGACAGGTTCCATTGTTTTTATGACAACTTATAAGCCTAGGTGTTTGTCATGGAGCTGGATATAAACTTTTTGATTATTAATTTGAAAATGTTATTGATAATATTTATCAAATAAGGTCACAGAAGCATCTTATATTATGATATATTTATCAACATTTGAGGAAGAACATACATTTTATAATGATCATAGAACTTTAATTACATACATTTTATAATGTTTATTATTTCTGTTTTTATCTGTGCTATCAAAAGGTTATTGAACTGTCAATACTGTAGCTCAGCACAAAATGGTCTGTTCTAGTGTAAGTTTTGAAATTAAAATGTCTCATTTATTCTCTTCTCTTTCTGTGCGAGACAGTATTTCTTAATATTAGTTAATTTTTTGGTTCACCTCAAAATTCCCAACCAAGGTGCACCTTTTCATCCATTTCCACACCACCCTATGCTAGACTGGGAGAGAATGCCCATGATATTGAGGCCCATATTTTAAAAAACGTCTCAAGTATCTGTTGAACTCTGATTGACTGAAACTAGTTTTAAGTGCAGATCAAAACTTAAGCATCAATCTTATTATAGAACACGTTTTAAGTTTTACTCAGTGAAAACTAGTTTCAAGTAATGATTTGAACTTACAGTCTGTTCTCAATTATGTTTCTGCATGATTGACATCATTATGCAGCTAATTATTCAAAAAATAATTTTCTTTTACAAATATAAGAAACAAGAGAAAGGTAGGTATTTGTTAATAATCACCTTACCTTGCACAATAGGAACTTTTAAAGAAAGTAAAAGAAATAGCCTTCAAAAAGCAATTTAAGTATGAAACATTGTAAAATCCCAGTAAGAAGATCAGATACCTCGTGTACTTTTTGGGTAAAAACCGCAAATGATTTCCTGATTTTTTTTCAAAACTTTATTACTTTTTAATGTTTACTTTAGCTGTTGCTGCATATCACCAAAATATAAAACTAATATATTCTTGTCTACATAAATATTGTAAATATTGCAACCCGCGATTGGGAAGCCCTGCATCTATTGTAGTCCTTATCACTACTCACTATTATTCATCGGTGTCGGTACTCAGGGAAGGCACATACTCGAGTAATGTCCTTAACTTGTTGTATTTAAAACTTAACTTGGCTTGCAATTTATATCATATTTTAAAACTATGTCTAATTCTTTATTCAATATTACCTGCAACCATGTGGTTTGTAAATACAATACTTGTTAATGTAACATCCCAATCCCATCTTATTATTTGCAATAGTTATTTATCATCAATTCACAGTTTTTGTGCTGTTTTTAGTAATATTATCTTTCTACAAGTGTTTGTGTACTGTTCCCACACCCGTTTTAATCACAGATTAGATTTTTGACTCATATTTAGTGTGGAAATTTATTAATTAACCATGTTGACCCACATTAGTATTTTTTATCAGAATGCTAGGGGACTGCGCACTAAGCTTAGTTTATTTAGGAGAAATGGAAAATGGTGGAGGGGTAAGTCGTGCCATAAGTCAAAAGTTTAGCGCTTTCGAGCAACTAACCTGGCTCATTTCATGATGCCACTAATGGTTTTTACCATAACATCTATGGCCTAGGTGATAATTACATCCCAATAAATAATTTTAAATAATAATTTCCCTATTTGGTACAACTCCTGCCTTAAGAAAGTTTTAAAAGAAAAATTTAAATATCCTATCCTATCCTATAAAAGAAATATAAAAAATATGGCAAATATTTTTTTTATTATGTAACTTACTCATTGCTTAGGGAACGTGCTTCGAATTTGGAGAGTGAATGTTATCAGTTGAATATAAATAAAATTGAGGATTCGGTAGTAGAAAATTATTTACTATTTTGGGCCTATGTAAAATCACTTAATAAAACCTCTCATGCTTTTCCATTCGTTATGAACTTGGATGATATTTCTGTAAACACTGCAGAATCGGTTCGCAGATTACTTTCATAATACTAATGTGAATAGCTCTTACAAACGCCTATCCCTGATTATCAACCATGGAATAGTCATAGTAATTTAATAAATAATATTGATATTAATCCAAATGAGATTAAAAGACTGTCATAAGCTGTTGATCTTAATAGGGGTGCTGGGCCTGATGATAACCCCTCATTTTTTATTAAACAGTGTAATCATAACTTATGTTTACCATTGTACATTATTTTCTCTTGGTCTATAAAGGAAGGAGTTGTACCAGCTATCTGGAAGTCAGCCTTTGTTACAGCTGTCCATAAGAATGGAGACCGTTCTAACATAAAAAAATAACAACAAAAACATTTGAATGTATTGTGTATAGCCAGGTAAATGCATAGTTGCCACTCGATGGCATCTCAATAGCGTGTCAGTGGTATGACAGTGGCTTGGCGTGAACATAAAATAGGAGAATTGAGGCCCAGGTGTAATGACCATGGTTATGAAACAAGATGCAGGGGGTATAATTTTCTACCCTTAAAGAATAGACAAGCTGTGACTGATGTAGTGACACTTTGGAAAATTGTCAATGGCAATGTTGGTAGCTTGGCCCTATTTATTAAAGTTAAATTCTCTGTATCACAATGAATACCAGTTCGCCATTATCAACCCATGGCAGTACCTCATTTATTATTTGTGCAGGTAGATCAGTGAATTACATTTGTATAAGGCATGACAAGTTTGAGATATTTAGAGCAAAGCCCTTACAGGGGAAAAAATATACACCTTAGATTTTTTCGGCCCTGATCCTGATGTGACAAACTATTAGAATAAGTTTTCTGGTCTAGTATGTTTCTAATTTTTTTTTTTGCTTTGGTTTTTTTTGTGTTTCTACTTTCTACCCGATGTGTTAACTATTTGCGAATGCCTGTCAATAGCAACAATGTTATTAGGTTTAGTTTCTAGAAAGTGTATTTTATGCTGTTGGTATTCTGAAGATAATAAAATAAAATAAAAATGATTTCTGTGAATTTGTATATAGTATACTAATGGCTAATGTGGCAATGTTAATATAATATAATATTAACAAGCTTCTTGTTCGTCCAAAATTAAATATTAAAATAAAAACGACTAGAAGTAGGCTATAATGGAACGTTAAAATTATTTATCAACACTTGAAATGTCAAACAATGTTTTTATTTTTATAGTTCTAAAATTTATATTACTAGTATAATATTATACTTTTAACCTGAACCAAATGTTGTGGTTATTTTAATTTAAACATGAATTGTGTGTGTAAAATGTGAATTTTAATGAATTTAATATCATTTATGGTAAATTAAAGTGAATTGATTATAGTATGACAAGTAAATCTTTCGTAGTTACTCATCGTTAAACACATAATTCCCCTTAAATGTCCTTGAATTCACCGCTTGAGACTAGTTTTAGCTTGTCTCGCGTAAACAAAGATCATAGTTGTCAAAATCTATACCTGAGTAAAGATTTCGGCATAAACATTGTTCTAAAATAGCTATCACTCACTTGAGTATGGATAGGTGAATCTCGTTTTAAGTGACGTTCTATAATAAAATCTCTACTTATAATTAGTTTTAAGACTAGATGGCGGGCCTAAGTCCACCATTGCACATTTTGTGCATAAAGCTAATAAATAATTAAAAAGTTAGTAGTATAATAAGTAGATTGTTATGTATGATATTACATGTTCTGCACTAACACTAACGCCCAAAAATAATTAACATTTATAAGGTTTTGAATTCACCGTTTTTTTTAAATTACGGAATACAAAATGAGTGGTACTTTTGCATTTTTTTATTATTTCCTCAAACCGACTGATTCATATATTAATACTTAAATTATTAAAAAACAATGCAGACTCATGGCCATATTTTTTCAATTACTTTTAAATACAATGTTCATGGTAACAAAATGTAGGTTGCAGATTCATTAAATCTCTTAAAATAGTAGACAGTTAAATTATTAAAGTTACTATCCATGTGATGACACATTAAGATTATGGAGTGTCACAACCCCTATTCATCCCGTCGGTGTCGTAAGAACCGACTAAGGGAGTAAACTACGCAGGACAACAGCACTGCAATGAGAAGGAAAACTTGAAACAAACCCTTTACGAACCTGTCTGGCCAGTGTGGTATTCCAAAACCCCCTTTCTAAAGAGAGGCTTATGTCCAGCAGTGGCTGAAGGCTGTTGATCATGAAATTATTGAACTTTTAGATGCCATTGCATGTTTTATTTGGATGGTTTACTGGGCAAATGAGCAGCGCTTGTTTGCTCCCTATACCATAAAAAAAAGGCTAGCCGCAAAAGGCGAACTGCTGCCTTTTAGTTCCCTGAAGGTAAAAAGGCTTGAGTTTATCTATGTACAAAAATAAATTTATTTAGTACAAATTCGTTCTTATAGATGAGACATTGAACTCTTAATTTGATTATCAGCGACCCACGCCCAAAAGCCACTGTAAATGCCGCCCCTACGTCATATAAATTCAATTGCTTGTGGAAATCATCTCGCTATACTTAGGTCAATAGGATGCAAAGGAGAAGACTTGTAAAAATGTTGAATAAATGCATAATATCATAGCAGATCTAGCGTAAGAAATGTCCTAGTTTTAAGTTTGACAGTCACAAAAAATGAGACTAGTACTAAATATTTTACACTTCCAATTTCACATCTAAATTTGAAAAAATAGCCAACGAGCATGTACAGAAATATTAACTACCCCACAGTTTACTAATACTAAACTATAAAGTACAGCTTGCGATTGCAAGGCTCCATACTTCATCATCAGCCTATCGCCGTCTACTGTTGAACGAGGGACTCCCCTCAGGAGCGCCAACCATCCCCGTCTTGGGAAGATCGCACCCATCCGCTACTACCCAGTTTCTTCAAGTCTCAAGTCTTCCGTACTTGCCAACAACATATTTTTATGAATTTTAAAATTTGGTTTAAAAATTTAATTTTTAAACTTCTAAATATACAGTTTTAAAACCTTCGAGTAGATATGAAATAGTCATACTAAGCCCTCAATACACATGAATTGCTCTAATTCGGTTTGAGAAGTTGTTGGTTACATAACTTCCTGAGCACCCTAGTGGAATAGATTTAAATGTCATTTGAACACATTACTTAGATCAAAAACAGTTACATATTTGAATGTGTGATTATTATTTTTAATTAAATAATTAAAAAACCTGTATATTTGTTTCAGCTGAAAACATATCAAAATGATGAACCAGGAGATAATGTGTGAGGTGGAGATAGGGACACACGGCTCCATGGTGGAAATTGATGGTGATGATCAGGTTGGAGTCAAGGTAATTATCATATTATGATATTTTGGTATGCCAGTGCCAATAATAGTACAGTTTACCCTACTTAAATATTCTATAGGATAGCGCACATAATGGCGGGCCGTACTGCACCGTTTCGCATGTATAAAATATAGACATTTTACATAATATTTGTCTAATATAATGCATAATAGAATACAACGTATCTACGTATAGGTTATTTCGTACATAGCCATAAGTGATTTAGGAAGAATAATGTTTTACGCGCTAGCTTTAAAATCACTATCGCGAACAAATATTCATCTTATGGCTTCTTAATAGGCAATTTTATGACATTATATATATATATATAAATATTATATTATTTTAATTAAAAATATATATAATATTTTTTAATTGGTGTCAATGAAAGTTGGCATTGCAGTAAATTTATTATGTAGTCTATATGATGGGTGCTGTGAAAGGGGGCCTGGTGCCTAGCCAAGGTTGCAAATCTGCCACTGTGTCCCTAACTGTCCAACATTTGATATCAATCAAAACGACACAAGACGCATTAGGATTATCATTGGTATGCCTTCAAGTTGATTAAGCTGTATGGTTCTGAATATATGTGTCAGTGCCTATGTATCTATGCCTGACCAAAATAAAGTTTGAGGTAAAGTGATCACTCTGAAATATGTTTTATGTATTTTTTACTTGAGCTTATGCCAGCGTGTATGTCGGTTATCGCGGTCAAAAGTAGCCTATGTCCTTCCTCAACAATCAAAGTCCCAAATTTCATCAAAAATGGTTCAGCGGTTTAGAAGTAAAGGGTAACAGACAGTTATTTATAATATTAATAGAGATATCTATTGGAGTGCGACAGGCCAATAACTTTTAATAGAACGAAGTCTGTCAGATCAGCTAGTACTTAATAACTAATATAGTCCCTCCATTACTAGGATATAGAATCTACCAAGTTAATAAGTATTCATAGACTAACATACATACATCCCTAGAGTTATACACAAAAATAGTCATTTTACAGGGGTATGTATGTATAAATATATCTTTTTGAATTCTAGTATGAGGAAATAGAAGCGGCTCAATATGAGGAATACATAACTGATGACCAGTATGAAGAGGCTGAAGAACAAGTCATTGGTATGCAGCATCTTGAAGAAGGTTAGTTCTAACTAAAAAAAATTTTTTTTTAATTTATTATTCCGCTTACAAATAATCATTAAAATAAATGAACTCCATGGCTGAAAGGAGCTCATGCTGCTAGTTGGCGCATTCTTTAAAAAAATAGAATTCTGTTGAAATATAATACAAATGTATTATACTCGTACAACAAATAAACATAATGGCAATGCACTTTTGAAAAATTGAAATGCTATTGAGTTTTTCTTTTGTACCGTAATAAAGTATTTATTAAAGATATACCAACCTACTTGAATGTGTATTTCTGCCTAACCCAATTAGAGCCCACAGGGGTCCTTTTTCAATGAGAAAAGGTGGCCTTCAAAAACTGTTAAAATATTTAAAAAAGAAAATAAGGGGAAAATACATTTTCTGATCCATTCTGTGTGAAATAAAACGGATGAAAGGCAGAGCTGTTACTAAAATACAGGTGAAACTGTGGAAAACAGCTAGTATGTGCCACATTACATACTGATGATTAGTAATATCTTTGTATTTACTCTACATTGCCTATGCACCCTTGTGCAAAGGAACAATCAAAATTGAACATTATACATCCGTAGAGACAGTTGCTTTCGATTAGAAGTTTGCAGTAAATAGCTGTTTTTTACTATTGAAAATCACATTACTAAAACTTTGCCCAAATATGTCGGCATCGCTGACAGACTATAAAATTTCAGTTGGCAACGAGGAGGTGATATTACCTGGGATCTCTGGTGAAGAAGTGCTGAATCCTAGTTCCGATACACATTATGACTCCCTGTACGTCACACCACCTGCAACCAGCAGCAGGTATGGTTTATTTCGATATAGCAACATTTTTTTTTGTATACCACAAGTTCCTGGTACCTATTGGTCTCTATAGTTAATAAGGTAAATACCTTGTTTTTGTCAGATTTTACTTTAAACTTAAGATATATTTAATGGACAATTCGGTATAAAAATCAGGAACTTATATAATGTTGAACATGTAAGTTAAAAAAATATAGTTTATCTGTAGTAAAATTTTAAATTAGTACTAATTTAACTCAATATCAATATTCATTTCAATCCACGTACATACATAACATACCAGTTTTAGAGATATACAGAAAAATAATGATGCGAGCAAAGCCTCCTACAATAGCTAGTTCAGTAAAAAACCTTTTATATAACCTATAATTTTATTTGTATAAATCTGTTTTGTAGAAGTACCTACATGTATTTGGTTTATAACACGCTTTGCCGATTTGTTCCAGAAGGGGTCGCGGTCGACCCCGCACCAGTGTCAATAACACAACGAACAATATACAACATTTAATGCCTATTGGTAAGTTTCTATTGTATACCTTTCATTTGATTACGTAAATGTAATTTTTTTTTAATCAATCTGGGGAAAAATTAGCACCATAATCGGATAACATAACAGATGAACAAACCAATTTTCTGTATTATATTTTTACTAACTTGGTTAATAAAAAGTCATGAAGTTACCATGGTGTTGCAGTGCATCTTGTATGTTTTGCAGATGCTAGGATAGATGGCTTCCATGCTATAATGAGGAATGTATCTGTGTCAGATGTCCGAAATATTATATTGTTATTATTTAAACTGATTTATTCCAGGTGAGGTTCCAGTCGGTTTAATGGAAGGAGTAGCAGGCCGTGGTCCGGCGAGACGGTGGGAACAAAAACAAGTACAAATTAAAACTATGGAGGGAGAATTCTCCGTCACCATGTGGGCGACTGGCGAGGATGAGGGTATGTTCCCTGTGACAGTAGGTTTTACGACTAAGATAGAAATTAATATCATATAAAACTAGAGCTTATGAAAGCTATCAAATACGAGTTTTGATCTTAATTGACTGCACGGATGGCGTCGTGGTTTAAACGGTCACCTCGCCGCTTCTTACTTCGTTGAGTATTGTTGGTTTGATCCTCACATTGGACAACACTTGTGTGATCCACAAATTGTTGTTTTGAATCTGGGTGTTCTTTGTGTTCGTTTCATGAATGTTTGTAGTCCACCGCAACACAGAACATACACCTAGTGCGGGAGTTGATTTTTTTTTAACTACAAAACCATGACGAACTAATAGAAGTGAAATAAACTCACACTTGGCCCTCAGGAGACTCTTGTCCTCGTTTGCCACCCTATATCATAAAAAACACCTATCTTATTACTGTTGCTGATTTCAAGTTATCATGATTAAGACACAGTTAAGTTAGATGTTACTTGTTTTAAGAATTTATTTTATGTTTACAGATGACGGTTCAAATCCAGAGCCAGATCCTGACTATACGGAGTATATGACTGGCAAGAAGAATATATTAGGAACTGAAACAATGCCAGGTTCGTACCACCATTCTTCTAGCATGGAGCTTGAGACAGGTCTTGATGGAACTGTAGGGGTAAAGTTTACTTCTTCCATTCTCCTTGATAACACGACATTCTCTTTCGCGCACTCCTTCATATCATAATGGTTTTGGCTTCTTTAGGCAGACAACCAGACAACCTATAGGATGATGGGTATTGGACTGGAACTCAGCTTCGATTTCCGCGTGGTGCAGTAGTTATATGCGGTATTTTATGTATAACATGTATTTAGTGCACTACTACAAACAGTAGGAAAATTTGTCAAAAACCCTATACCAACCCTTCTGACCAGCCTGGTGTCATCATCATCAGCCTATCGCAGTCCACTGCTGGACATAGGCCTCTCCCATTGCACGCAAAAACGTGGTGTGGTAGGCCAAAACCTCCTTACTTTGGAAATGCCTATCTAGAGCAGTGGACTATTTACAATAATATGTTAAAGTGCATTTATTCGTGTTCTAGAACTAGAACTCATATGTTTTTTTTTTTAGTTTTTTTTTTTTGTTGGCAGGTTTAGATTTATCAGACCCAAAGCAGTTGGCAGAGTTCGCACGTCCGGGACACAAAATTAGACTAAAGAAACCTATGCCAGAATCATCAGACAGAACAATAGGTAATATAATATTTTTTACTCATATTACCCATATTACATTGGGGTCGGTTTATTCCAGTAACTAAAAGCATTCATAATAATACAATAAATCGGCAACAGTGACCGCTTGACGTTAGTGGTTTTAGAGTAAAAGTGTAGTCCATTGCATTAAGAAAATTCCAAGAGATTATCGGTTCGTACGAAAGCTTGGAATTTAATTGTTAATTTGATTTTCTTAAGCCGAATTGACTATAGTAACATTCAGTGGCTGTGACGATAGAGCTTTAAAAGCAATTAGCAGGCTCTATAAAATTGTTTAGGTGACTAATAAACAAATGAATAATATAGCTTCTCTACACGTAAAAACCCATTGATGCCCATTGATGCCATTGATGTCATTGTTTCATTGTGATTTCTAAGAAAAAAGAGGGCCTCAAAGGTCAGTTATGCTATTGTGGCTCATGAGTTGCAGGTAACATTGGGCGACTCTAGTCACTTACTAGCAGGTGATACGTTTGTTTCTTTTTGCCCCCTACCATACTATACCAAAAACAGAACAAAAACATAATATAATATACTGTGAACGTCCCAGGAGGCTTCTGCGCTTCTGGAAGGAGCTTGGCTGGCTCACCTAGCTAACCAGGCCTCAACGCATAAAGGACCACTCTTGAGTCTAAATACGGAAACCGAAGCCCACAACCAATACATATTTGTGACTGTATATTATTAGAAGGGCTTTTAATATTACGTCTCATTTCCAGCGTGTCCCCACAAAGGCTGTACAAAAATGTTTAGAGATAACTCGGCGATGCGGAAACACCTTCACACGCACGGGCCCAGAGTTCACGTTTGTGCTGAGTGTGGTAAGTATACATGTTTATTGTACACCGCTACAGTATATATTGTACATCCATGAATGGACATCTACATTTTGGTATTACAATAGGCGGTCTTATCGCTCACGGCGATCTCTTACAGACAACCTTTACATGGATATTGTTTAATCTGATTTACGGTAGTCTATGGTGTACTTTATAATACTTAAGATAGTTAATATATACAAAAATAAACATACTAAAAACGCTTACAATATACACACTACTAACACATATAAATGTTACAAGTTTGGTAACAAATAGTCTCCAGTTCTCAGTATGGTGTAATTTTTTTTTTTGAAATCTTAATTTGATTAAAATACTATTCAAACAGAAAAGGATTCATAACGACTTGTGTACTACTACTGACTTCTAATAATAATAAAATCTCTAATCTAATATAATGTTCTAATAATAATCTGTTACTATTTCAGGTAAAGCATTTGTAGAGAGTTCAAAGTTAAAACGTCACCAATTGGTACACACGGGCGAGAAACCATTTCAGTGTACATTTGAAGGCTGCGGTAAAAGGTTCTCTTTAGACTTTAACTTAAGGTATGTATTACCTTAAAGTATGTAGATACTTGTGATACTTTATTTTACTTTAAAATCTTGAACAAAAAAATCAAGGTACCTTTTTTTTATCAAATCAAAATCATCCCCACTCCCAAAGTACTTTTTTTTCATTTTTTGATCTTGGGATCTGATTGTGAGATATAATTACCTGTCACAGAAGACTATTTTTACATTGTTCTTCCTATTTGGTAATAAACAATTTTTATTTATTTAATTAACTTGAACTTTGTATATTTCCAGAACACACGTACGTATCCACACGGGTGACCGACCCTACGTCTGTCCATTCGATGGCTGCAACAAGAAATTCGCCCAGAGCACCAACCTCAAGTCCCACATACTAACACACGCCAAGGCCAAGTATGAGTTATTTTATTTGAGAATAATAAATCTCGACTATTATTTTTACTGCACCTAACATTCGGGGGCCAGAGTTCCATTCGGATTAAATCTACAATCAAAATATTGGCACAGGCGAGTGATTCAATTAGCATTGGCAATAGTTATGACCACCGCCGGGAACAGCATACAATGCAGCAAGTTTCTTGCTTCGTTTGTTAGTTATGTAAAAGTTTTGCAATGAGTTTTCCAGGAATTACGGTGTCTAAAAAAGCTTAAATTCCATTCCACGTTTAAATACACGCTTTGAGTAGACTGACAATTAGCTCAAATCGTACCGTGTAAACTATAAATCAAGTAGTTTTGATTTCTTACAAACTTTATTTTACTGAAGTCCCAAGATATTTTCTTGCATAAAAAGTATTCCATTCCTATAGAGCTCCTTTTATTTTGCAGGTCAAGAAACTCCCTCTCACGAAACGGAGGCAATTCGTACGAGTCGGCGCGAACGACGCCACAGTTCCTCCAATTAGAAGTGTCTCCAGATGACTCTAATCCACAACTCATATTCTACACGCACGAGTGAAGACAGGGCCGTGTAACAGTGCAAGACAGCTTATGAGTGTCGTGAGTGACGCAAGACAACTTGTATAAAATACACAAGTGATTTGAGATAGCTTGTGATAGTGCCCACTAGTGACGCAAGACAGTTTCTAATGCAAGAATGTGTAAAATAAGACATGAATTAATTTTAAGTTATCGAAGACACTTATTGTGACTCCTTAATAAAGCAAGACTGTAGAACAGACTTGTAAAGTGATCAAGTGTACAGATTTGTTTTTCTTTTTCTATTATACTTTGGATTAGACCAAAGGATTATTAAGTTAAAATTTAATTTTGGCAACATTTTGCTTCTTGAGTGTTGCATACTAACAAAATTATATTATTTGCACCTTTTTATAATTCTCGCACAATTTGCTTTATGAAAGGGAAGTTATTGTGTTCTAATAATGACAGCTTAGTAGTTCTATGTATACAGATTGAACTGTTCTCTCTTTTTCTTTCTCTTTAACTGACACAAAGAACACCCACGCGCAAAACAACGATGTGTGGATCAAACGAAGTGTTGTCCCATAAGGGGATCAAACCCACAACACTCAGCACAGTAGAAAGCGGCATGGCAAACGCTTATACCCCTACGCCATCCATGCAGTCTCTATAGTGTAGATTTTTACTTCTATTTGAATTGGCGCAAAGTTTGTGATTGTGTTGACCATTAACATCATGTTCAGTTAATTTTGGGGTAATTTAGAAATGTTGTGTAGTAGTTGCACACTTTTCTTTTTAAAAAGATTACTCCCGCACTAAAAATACATCCTGTCGCGGGAGACTTTACAAACACACATGAAACGGACACAAAGAATACCAAGACTCAGAACAACAATTTGTTGATCACACATTGTGTTGTCTCATGCAGGGATCGAATAGATATGTTGTGTATGCTGCCACAGTAGGGTATAGGTACTATTTGGTGTGTAGTGTAGAAGTGTGTGTGTATTGTGTGCAGGAGAGAAATAATTCTTGAAGTAACCCTAAATATAGGTACTTTATTCTTACTGAGGAATTACAAAGGCACAAACATACACTACAACATATAACCCTCTTTTGGCACAGTCAAGTAAAAATTATATAGACTTAATGATGTGATTAACATTCTTATTAGCATTCTATGCTTGAGGATTCTATAAAGTCCAGATATAATGTCTTCTGACATCGGACTCAACGCCATCTAGCTTCAAACTAAGCAGAGCTTAGTACAAGCTCTGATGAAAGCCAGATTGACTGATAGAATACTAATATTTTGTAAATCATACAAACATTTGGTCCTAAGCGGGAATCGAACCCTAGACCCCAGCACAGCAATCGCATATGCTACTACTGCACCACCAACAAAGATAAGAAATGCCACTTCAGAATTGATCATAGTGGTTCTCTTTCTTTGATATTTCCTATCCAAGCTATAAAATATGTAAGATTTCCTTTGTTTGTGTACCGAGGGTGAACTAAATTAGCTCTTAATTTTTCATAAAATCCACACATCGCACACACGGCCGTCTTGATCCCAAACTAGGCAGAGCACGTTCTATGGTAAGCACTACTGAACTACTGATAAACATACTTCATACTAAATATGAAAATTATTGCTACTTTTAAATCATATTCATTTAATGAAATGATTAGCCTTAGACACACCGAGTTCAAATGTGATTGTGATTTTAAATTAAAATCAATTAAAATTCTTTTATCAAAGATTACGACCTTTTTTTCTAGATTTAGAAATAATAATAATTAAGTAGCAGTGGTTTTGTAACTCAGTCATGAACGACGATATGATTGATGAATAATATACACATGGTGATTGTGATTTTATTCGATAACTACCTTCATACATATTATAGATAAATAACACTCTGACACCAGAATAAATTCACCTTGCTCAGCGAACACACAATTATTTGTCTTGGGTGGGAATTGATCTCACTACCTCTGGCTTAGCAGTTAGGGTCAGTACCACTAGACCAACAGGACAACTAATTCATTTACAAAATTCATTATCTTAAATGTATATAGACTACTAAGCTGTCATTTGAAAAAAAAGAGACCCAAAATATTTTGTCTTTATTTCAATAATCGGCGTGAAAACATTTGTCATATCTATAATATAATCGACTTTAAATACAACCTGTCCAAGGAAGCTTTAATTAAACAACGCCTCGTTTAGCCCTTATTTAGTCATAGTAAAGTGATCAAATTATAATTGCATTTATTTTTATATAAAGGGATCGTGTTTATATCTAAGTTTTAGGGAAACGTTCCATGATATATAATTATTTATACATATGTAAATCAACGCCATCGTGTAATAGGCATCACATACATTTGATCGTGATTACAAGCTGATTGTTTAAACTCGTTCATCTCCCTGAGAGCTGATCATCGAAGAATGGTAATTACGTACACTCACGCCTTATTCCGATTTGGGGTGGGCAGAGACTTGACATACAGCTAGTGTCTGTTCCACATTTATTAGCTCATACACGCTCACCGGCTACAGCAGCTTTTACGTGGTCCTTCTTCAGTATAGTAAGGTTATTAATCTTCGGTTATATAAAAGCTTTCAGATAACAGTAATTCGAATCATAGATGTTTTATAAGCTTTTTTATAAGCTTTTGATTCTAGAAGTGGATATGTTGAAATTCTCGAACATGATCAGTTGTCGACGGGGCCAGCCTATCGGCTACCAACATCTTTGTCATATTGGTATGAAAAATGATTACTGGTTATCATGTACCTGATGGTTAAGACTACCCACTAGGCTTCGCTCGCGTGATTATCTCTTTTCGTGTTTCTAACTTTGAAAATGACGACCTTCCATAAAACTTTATCCCTAATTTTACCCCCTTATGGTTGAAATTGGTGGTGAAATTTCTAGTCTGTAGCCCTAGTGGTTGAGGCTCTGCGATGATGAGTCAGTCAGTCAGTGCAAGTAATTTTATAGGTATAGATTACCTATCGTCCTCTACACAAGTACATGATGTAATGAAGTAATATATTACAGCTGCTGAATCTACAAGGTGATTTGTCTAAATGGTCTAAATAACCTAAAACTATACAGGTTGTATTTAAAGTTAATCAACTTTTTGTAAATTTTGTACCATATAAATGCCAAAAAATAATATTGTAATTTTAATAAAGTAAATTTAGGAGAATTCTATGGGCTTCAGTTGTTATAACATTGATTTCATGTACTATGTTAGTGTTCTAAGAACATTTATTTCTTATATCAAGCGAGACAAAGTCAATCTGAATACCAAGTAAAGCATCTCATGAATTGGTAAATATTTATTGATCAAAGCCATTGAAAATAGAACAGAATTCTCCTAGGATGTATGCATGCATAAATATTGCAAGAATATAGTTTTTACATAACTAGTCCATAGGTTTTTGGTATACTAATGTACGGAATGAAGTTTTAACTACATTAGGGGTGTAAGCTTCACAGATAACCAACAGCCTTAATAGGCCACTGCTGGACCTCTCCTTAGAACTGAGGTTTTGGCCTACTATACCTAAGTAAACAGATGGTTCAAAATCAAAATCATTTATTTGTTTAAACACGTGTATGCATAAGCAATGGGCATGCAAGGTATTAAAAATTTAATTTGGTTCAACGTGTTTAACCGTTTCTTTTACGGCGTACAAATAAAAAAAAAATGAAAATACACAAATAAAATTGATAAAAAAGGAAATTACATATTAATATTATATTAAATTATTTAAAATTGAATGCAATCTGCCAAAAAAACTGTAACACCATTGTATGTATGCCTTTAGTTGGTATAGGGTTTGTGTAAGTTCTCCTTCTCTTTGCAGTGCTGTTATCCTGTGTAGTTTGCTATCTTAGTTAGCTCTTATGACACCCATGGTATGAATAGGGGCAGTGGCACTCCGTATTTTTAATCCATCACCACACATATTATTATACACTTTAGAGATGTATATAAATATATGTGTGAATGAAGAAAAATGCATTGACTAACTGCTGTAGAGAAGACATATTTTAAATCCACCAGTAGTTTTCCGGATATGAGCCACTATTGTCAGACTCCTGACCACGAACATCCTTCATAGCTCGCACCATGTACCATAGAACATATAAAATATTCCATCAGTGACTGTTTTAGTTATGTGAAAGTAGCTCTTTCAAAAGCTATAAATATTTTTAAAGTGACAGAAATTATATGTCAGAATAGTATATTTATGCATGCATTCATAAAATTAATTGTTTTAAGTTTTAAATAATAGACAGCATCCCTTCCATTCACAGTTGACAGATACAGGAATTTATCAATAAGTAGTTAAAGACTTTAAATGTATACAAATGGATTTTGTATTTGAAATAGTAAATAGATGAGAAGGCACTTGGTCATATGTTTAGGCTTGTCGGAGAGCAGGATTTACGAATATCTATTAATTCCTCAGTTACTGCTGTGTCTGTTTCTTTATAAACTAACATCCTCGTCACTTCAATAATTGGTAATCACACACTGTTTGCTTTTAAGAAACTTTACAAAACTAATTTGTAGAACAAATAAAATTGCTGTCTGTGGTATTTTCCTAACGATACGAACTTTATTCAACCCTTTGATAAAAGTGTGTATTTTATATTTGTTATTTATTATTAGTGTTGTGTGCGTGTGTGTGATTGTACCTTAAAGGCCTATCATGCGCTTTTGACTGGGTTACAAGTATCAATGGAGGGGCGGTAGAAACTAAACATCGGGTGAACTGTATGCTTAGTGGCCTCTTTGCCGCGTATACTGTATTACCATGTGATCAAGTTTCAGCCTAAAACACTATTTCAAATATGTTTAGCCTATTAACCTATTAGCATAAAATTTAATTGAGACTTAAGTCCTATTGGTACTGCTTGTATCTGTCTGCTAGATAATTATTGTATATTAAGGTTTTTCTTATAAACGACTGATACGACTGTATATATTATTATTTTCATGATTGAAATGACGCGTTGCTGTATTTGGCGCGCTTTTCTTTAGTCATATTAGTCAAAATATCTTGTGTGTTGCAGTTTTAAAATTAATGTATATTTTTTATTCAAAAATAAATCTATTCGAAATCATTTCATCTGTGTCATGAATTACACGATTTAAAACTTGTTTAGTAGCAAGGGTAGGCAGTGAAACATGAAATCAGTAAAATAAAAGTTATTAAAAATAACCAAGATGTGAAAATTTATATGACAAATGTGTATGATGTCAAACTTGGACTAAAACTTAATTTAAACTTCACAAATACCATTGTATGTTTTAAAATTATTTTAGCTTTAAATATTTTGTAATTTTTCCAAGTTTGACATTAATAATAACAAGATGAGTAATGGTGCTGGAATATCTACTTATCAAATAGCAAGCAAGCAAAAATATGTACAATATTTTAAATGAAGTGTTGTTTTCTCAATTTTTAAATTGTGTACGTACAGTCGAAATACAGCAACGCCATTGTGGGGGTGAGTTCTCAATAAGATGAACGAAATAAAATTGTAAATATTTATATACATATGTGTTTCATTTACTTATTTACACCTTTCTGCTTGTAAAGCTCTCATACATGAATATATAAGAATATTGATTGATTTTGATAATGGCCTGAAGGCGTGTCACTAACTGGCAGAGCCACAATCATGAATTTATTTTTTTAATTTATTAATATATTTTTTATTATATATTAATTTATATATTTCTACGTAGTAATATATAAATATTACTACGTAAAAATATATGACTTAATTTATTACATGAGAAAATAATGGAAATAAAAAAATACATAAACCAAAAAAAAGTGAAAAATTGCGACTAAATTTGGGAGGAAACAGATCTTCGCTAGGTGCCCTAGTTTTTGAAATACAAACGTGGCCCTGCAGAGGAGACTGTCTCCAGCAGGGGGTCCCTGCTAGAGACGCTTATAACTTTTGAACCAGTGGCCGACAAATTACCGACTAAATCTTTGTGTTATCAAAATTAAAATCCATGATGGTGGCTCTGCCAGGGTCAGTGACACCCTGAAGGCGTATCGGCTGCATTTTCTTCTAGTAACAACTTAAAGATAAAAAAAATATTAAACTAACTAATTTCATCAGAATAATAGTTATCTTTTAACGTTTGGGGTTTTGGACCCCATATATAATATTTTATCCAGTAATTCTAATATTCACCGTTTGCCAGGGGCTATCAAAAATGTATGAGAGTGAGCGTGTAGCGTATTCCTACCTCAAAGGCCCTGACTGAGTTGTAGGCGTCCATGGGCAGCGGTAGTGATTTCCATCAGGTGACCCGTCTGCTCGTTAACCGCCTCTATCATTGATTTCATCATTTCTATCATTCATTAATTTAAAAAAGTTGGACTTGGGTTTTTTGCCACGATATTGGTTGGGGAGAGCAGTTGAGTCACCCAATGGTAAGGTGGTCACTTACCATCGGGTGACTCAACTGCTACTACTGTACCGCTCATGCTACTCAAATGGTACAAGTGAATTGCTGTTCTAACAACTTTCAACTTCAGTTGCAAAAAGGGCTATTAAATTGCCGGTGTTACTACTAAAAGTAAGATTGGTAGTAACAAGGGCAATAAAGGGAATTGAGTGACCAGGTTCATTATATCATTCATTTGTTAAAAAGTACCGAAATAATTGTTTTTAACATCGGTTTTCTTCTGTGATACCGTAGTATCACTGTGGTAAAGTCGGCTTTTTGTCACGAAACATGGCTATTCTACGGTCCGTATTATTTGTTTACGTCTACAAAATCCAGTTGCTACAACAATATTTTTTTGAAGCGAAAAAAGTTTATTTCTCACCTAAACCGAAATACATTTTTTGGTTTGCGAGGTGACTCACGAATTGCTAGGCAGACTTACGAATAGGTAGGCTAGATAGGTATAAAATTATCTTCACCAGGTCTCCGACTTCCGACTAAAAGAGGAAAAGAAGAACGGCTGAACGGATATGAATGAGATTTTAATATCTATTATAATTATTAATAAACCAAACAATAGGCAATAAAAAATCCTTTTGACCAACTATAAATGACTTGCAAAAGGCATTTAGTTATCCGTAGACTTTCCTTTGTTATTATAAAAAAAAAACCTATGAATTTTTACACAATACGAGTATAACTGTCGATAGCCTATTACATTGTCTATTTTTATTATTATCCTATATAATAATATAAAATGTTACCTATGTCAGAAACGGCCATGGGAACATTTTAACTCTAAGTAAAAACAAAACGTAAGATATTTGACAGGTGTCTAACGGTGACGGGATTGACATTTGCCATCACACAACACAAGTGACGTGTAAGCTGTATTCGTCGGCACCCTATAATTTTCTTCTCACCCCTAAAAAGCTCAGAATGAGCTTTAAACGTGACAAGAAGGAAGAAGAGGACAGTGGAGGCAATCCTTATCAAAACTTAGATAAAACTAATGTCTTACAAGAGGCTCGGTACTTCAACCAGACGCCTGTGAATCCACGAAAATGTTCCCTTATTTTAACCAAAATATTATATTTGTTGAACCAGGCAGAAAAGTTTACTACTCAGGAAGCAACAGAGGCATTCTTTGCGACCACAAAACTGTTTCAATCAAAGGATGTAATGTTGAGACGAATGGTGTACTTGTGCATCAAAGAGTTGAGTACATTAGCGCAAGATGTCATCATAGTCACATCTTCTTTGACTAAAGATATGACTGGGAAAGAGGATTTGTATCGTGCTGCTGCTATACGAGCTCTATGCAGTATCACTGACAGTACTATGCTGCAAGCGATCGAGAGATATATGAAACAAGCCATTGTTGACAAAAACCCGGCTGTTAGCTCAGCTGCGTTGGTTTCAGCACTGCATTTGTCTTCAACCGCACCGGATTTAGTGCGCCGTTGGGCTAATGAAGCTCAGGTTTGTATTTATTTAAAATATAGAGAAAATTATTAACATTCTACATAACTAATAGTAATAACGAGATACATCTTACAAAAAGCTCTCTGATCCCAAATTAGCCTAAGCCTAGTTATGGTAATGAGCAAACCATGATATTTCTAAATAGATACATGTTGTAGATAAACTACACCTAGACGTCATAGAACAAATAAATAGGCTGGCCACACAATTGTTTGTCTTGAATGGGAATCTAACCCACCACTTATTGTTCTACTCTGTAAAAGTATTGCTAATGTGAATAAGAGCGAAAACTATTGCTCCAGCTTTTGTATGACTAGATGCTGAGATCTATGTTGAAATAAACAATAATTACATTGTGTTTTCTTAAAAACATGGAAATGGTTTGCAAGTAACCTTAACCCTAAACCGCAAAAGAATAGAAGATAGCAGAGAAACATTATAGGCAAAGTTATGAATACATTGAAAATTTAGATTTTTTTTTATATAATAGGTATATATATATTAAATATAAGATGGTATATATTCAATATAATATGTTAAATATAAATAAATATATACATGCATGTAAGCGTTCATTCATAACATCAGTCTGATTTTTAGTGGGAGTCTGCCCTTTAACACGGTTAGAAAAAGGCCAACACACATTGATTTTTGTAGTGTGATAGTTTACTATTAAATGCGCTGCTGCAAACATCAAAACATTGAAACAAATACCTACAGTTGTTTAGTGTAATGTACTTAAGTAAACCGCCATTAAATTACGCCACATAAAGGCCTGCTCCACTAATTTCTCCAGTAGTTTTGAAGATTGCTTAAATATATAGGTCAGAACCTATTACCTTAATTGCATTATTATGTGAATGTTTTGCAAAAAACTAACATATAATTAAAATACAAACAAAACATTGCATTGTTTGAGTGTCATTTTGATTGAATTTTGTTTTGACATAGATTACACTGTAGGGATCGTCTTATTCAATTCCTGAAATTCTCAATCTAAGCTGCAATTAACCCTTGATTATTATTTTTTCAGGAAGCTATTAGCTCTGACAATGCCATGGTTTCGTACCATGCTTTAGGAGTGGTTGCTGGTTCCAGAAAGAATGATAAGCTATCCACCGTCAAGCTTGTTACTCGTCTTGCTGGATCTCCTCTGAAATCACCGTATGCTCTTTGTCATTTGATTCGTTTGGCTGCTCAACTCGTTGAAGATGATGATTCAGATGCTGCTAGACCGTACATCGAGTTTATCGAGTGCTGTCTAAGACACAAGTCTGAAATGGTTATCTATGAAGCTGCTCATGCAATTGTGAACTTAAGGAAAACCACTAGGGATCTGGCACCAGCTGTTTCTGTGCTACAATTGTTCTGCGGTTCTTCAAAAGCTTCGTTAAGATTAGCCGGCGCTAGAACACTTGCCAGGCTAACTGCTAAACATCCTGCTGCAGTTGCAGCTTGTGCTGTTGACTTGGAAAATTTGATTTCTGATCCTAATCGATCTGTGGCGACATTAGCAGTTACCACTTTGCTAGCGACTGGAGCAGAAAGCTCGGTCGACAGGTTAATGAAGCAGATTTCTAGTTTTGTATCTGAAATCTCTGATGAATTTAAGATTGTTGTTGTTCGTGCCATCAGACGTCTATGCACCAAATTCCCCAGAAAGCATCAGTCTTTAGCGGCATTCTTGGCTGGTATGTTACGTGATGAAGGGGGTCTAGAGTACAAAGCAGCTATTGCAGATGCCATTATCGCATTGGTGGAAGAAAACCCTGACGCCAAGGAAACTGGTTTGGCTCATTTATGTGAGTTCATTGAAGACTGCGAGCATACAGCTTTGGCTGTCAGAATTCTGCATCTGCTAGGTAGAGAGGGACCTAAATCACGTCAACCTTCACGATACATTCGATTCATTTATAACAGGGTCATTCTGGAATCAGGACCAGTGCGCGCGGCTGCTGTAGCTGCCGTAGCACAATTTGGAGCTCAAAGACCAGAGCTTCTGCCAAATATCAGAGTACTTCTCGCTCGTTGTCAATTAGACGAGGAAGACGAAGTTAGAGATAGAGCCATTTACTACAGCGCCATTTTAGATACCGGTGATCCACAACTAATTAATGATTACATCGTAAATGTTGCGAAACCAAACCCTGTGCTGCTTGAAAAGGCTCTCAGAGACCACCTAGCAACTACACCAGAAGAACCTTTCAATGTCTTGACTGTGCCTGCAGAGGAAGATGCTAAAGAAAGTAAGGAGGCTATTGTCGAAATTGAAGTGCGGAAACCAGTACAGATGTCAATAGAAGAGCTTTATGCGGAGCAGCTGGCTAAAATCCCTGGAATTGAGCGACTTGGTCCAGTCTTCAAGACCACTCTGCCGATCGATTTGACTGAAGCCGAAACTGAATACAGGGTCCGACTTCTAAAACATGTGTATGCCCGACATGTTATCTTACAATTTGAGTGCGTAAACACTCTGAGTGATCAACAGCTGGAGCAGGTTAATGTGAAATTGGAGGTGCCCGCAGAATATGAAATAAAATCAGTCATACCTTGCCAGAAACTAGTTTATGATAAACCTGGATCTGTGTTTGTAATAGTCGAATACCCATGCGCTTTCCTCGATAGCTTAGGTACTTTTGTACCAAGTTTAGAGTTCGTTGTTCGCGACTGTGACCCCACTACTGGAGTTCCAGACCCAGGAGAAGGTTACGCAGATTCTTATCCTCTAGAAGACTTCGAAATGAGCTGTTCAGATCAAATTCGAGCAAGAGCTGGGTCAGACGACTGGGAACAAACTTGGGACAGAGCAGCTAGTGCGCCAGAAGCCAGTGACACTTTTGTCCTATCTCAGAATGATATTAATGACGCTGCGAAGGCTGTGTGTGAACATCTAGGCCTTCCCAAGGGTGCTATTGTAGGGGAAGCAGTGAAGGAGATTCGTGGTGGTGGTATCTTTAGAGGTGGGGCCCCAGTGCTGGTTCGAGCGCGCCTAGCGGCCACTGGCGGTGGGGTCACAATGAAATTAGCTGCAAGGTCGCCAAGGGAAGATGTTGCACAGCTGTTATTGGCAGCTGTAGGCTAAATTTAATGTACTATGAGATAGAAATACTTAATATGCTTTTGTCTTTCAATGTCAATATATGACGTTTAAACAGATATCTTAATAATATATTGTGTGTATCTGTTTTATTTGGTGAGACAACAGATTATTTAGACTTGTCAAATTGAATGAATTGTCAATGATGCACATAAAAGATAGTAATCTCAAAGCTCCTGTTTTTGTTTCTACTTCAATTGTAAAAACTCAGATATTGACATAAAAAGACAAAATGTTTTCATTAACTGAAACTATTTCAATTTATAAACTGTATCAAACATAGTATTATAGCGCAAATACCTGTTATTCAATGCAACATAAAAATTGAAATATCATTCGTAATATAAATATGCAACTTTAAACTTCGAACAACAAACAAACTGGTCTTATACATGTTTTGGCAAATTGTTTGTTTTAGTTACTGGCTGGATTTTTATTTCGCTAGGATATTTGCGAAAATAGAAAACAAAATCTATTTATTTGTTGAACCACAAATATTTTATTTAAAAATTATTATTATTAGTTCTCTGATAATATAAATATTTTTGTTACCAGTTATTGCACTCGAGCATATGACGTGCGTTATAAATATCATCATCTTTTTGCCCTCTTTCTAATTTATTTGGGGTTAGCGCGCAATTTGTAACATTGTATCGACCTTAAATAAATTGGCATTGTCTGGTTTCCGTGCTACAATTGCATTATTATTATTAAATTTATGTTAACATTTGTGGTGTATGGGAATCTGGCGGAATGAGAATCCATCTTATACTATCAAGTGCTAATAAATAACTTAATGTCATCAGTTGGCTTTTAGTACTAGTACTGTATTTACCTTTCAATTAATAAGATAAACAGTAGAAATCATTTCTAATAAAATGTAATAAATCACTGAACACATATTTCTCGATGTCAAATGTAGCTGGAATACTAAATAAAATCATATTATGTAATAATACATACTGATTTTTGTTTTATATTAAAACCCAATGTTGTACCTCAAAATTTCAAGATATATCGCGTAATGGCGTTACAAAATCGGCTGTTTTTATTTCATGAACTAGTAAGATACATTTTTTTTCTGTGCGGAAATCTTGAAGTATTGAATTCCTTTTGGGGATCCCTTTTGAGGATTTCAATAGTTCATTACATCTCATCTTGTGGTAGGCGCTTTTTTTTTATAATATAGGAAAGCAAGTGTCTCCTAATAAATAAAAATATATTATTAGTCTACAGAAAAAAAAAACAGAATATACAATTAAACAACATTTAATAAATCAACAAACTTAAATTGACAATAAAATATCGATGTATAGAAATCGAAATTATACTTACACACTAAATAATTCTAATTACACTTGTCACTTGCGAGGTAATTATCTACTATGGTAAGTGTTGGTGTTACTGACAATGGCATGGCCACCATCATGGATTTTAATTTTGATAACGCAAAAAATTAGCTAATTAGTCGAAATTTGTCGCCAAATAACTGTATTTGTCGGCCACTGCTTCAAAAGTTATACGCGTTTTTAGGTGTCCCTGCTTGGCCACGCTTGTATCTCAAAAACTAGAGAAGATCTTTTTTCTTCCAAATTAAGTCGCTAATTAGTCACCAAATAGAGCATGTTGGTCACTAGCTCAAAAGTTATAAGCGTTTCTAGGTGACCTACCTAGGGACAATCTCTGAAGCTTAGCCACGTTTATTTCTAGTTTTAGAGATATTACCGTATATAATATAATAAATACGGCATTATTTTCTGGGGTTTAGCCTTTAAATTACAATAACGAAGTTTTTTTTTTCCCCCACATTCACACAACGCCATCTAGTCCCAAACTAAGCAGAGCTTGTCCAATGGGTACTAGACGACTGATATAAATACATATTAACTTTTTTTTGTAAATACGAGTACATACATATTATACATAGAAACACCCAGACCAAATCAAACATTAAAAGTTCATGCAAACAAATGTTTGACTTGAGCAGGAATCGAACCCGCGACCTTTAGAATTGCAGTCCGTTACATAAACCACTACGCCATCCGGTCGTCTAAAGTATAACAGTGATGTTTGGAATACAAGTCACAGACAGCCTGTGGCCCTACTTTAAAAAACACAAAATATTGACGTTGCCATCACTATATACCTAGGAAATTGCTATTTTGTAAAATTTAATCCACATCTCTTTACAACAAACGCCGTGACAATAGGTAATAGTAGTTTTGTATGCACACAGCAAAAACGTCACTACTTAGCAAGAGCGTCTTTTGTATGGCTCCAAAAATTTACAATAAAGTACCTAAGTCCTAATGCATACACGGATCTTCTCGTTAATTTGTTTAAACGTAAGATAAGTAACCTTTGGACTCCAAAATGCAACTACTTCTGTAGATAAGTTCTTTAGTGATTGACATTTAATTTCTCTCGGATAGAATTTTTCTTCTTGTTCTTTTTAAATTTCGACAACGAAGAGCGACTCGAATCGTTGATAGCCCAAACATCTCCGATCGGCTCGATCCCTTGGCGTTACGTAAAGATGTGGCTTCACTTCACTTTCACTTCAAAATTTAATCCTCATACCCTGGATAGTTGGCGCTCCACTACTGTGCGCTTTTCGAGACACTTTTTGCCCCGCACAACAAATCTATGGAACGGGTTATCGTATGCGGTATTTCCGGACCGATACGACCTAGGAAGGAGTAAAGAGCGTACTCCTTCCTAAAAGGCCGGCAACGCGTTTGTGACTCCTGAATTGCAGACGTTCATGGGCGGCGATGGTCACTTTCCATCAGGTAACCTGTCTGCTCGTCTGCCCCCTGTCAAAAAAATAATTACTAAATTAAATAGAATAAGAACAAAAATAATGTTTAATTTAATAAAATTTAATTTAATATGAAATTAAAATTTTCTCTACTAAAACTGAGAATAATTTAAGGAATATATAATGAGTAGAATAAATAGCTATCAATGAATTTATAATAAATAAATAGATAATTGATTGATAAAATGGGCTATATTCAATACTAAAAGTTTTTTTTTTAATTTGAACCAGTAGTTATCGCTTTCAACCAAACAAACAATCTATTCAGTTTTATGATATTAGAAAAGTATACATAGATCTGTCGGAACCTATGTTTTATACCTTTTAAAAAAAACATTTGAACAGACTTCAAACAATACTAACAAAGAACACTAAAAACTAACAGCAATCGCTGTTGATTTGCTGTCATTTTTCAAGAGTTGCGTTGTCTGTCTCCGAAACTGACCGAAACTCATCATCAGATCTATATGAAATTTAAATAGGACCATTTCGAAATAAACCCCGTTCGAACAAAAAAATAATTTTGCAAAGCCGTCTGTATATGACGGAGTAATGCCCGAACATACATAAAAAAACACATAAACAACCGAATTGGGGATTTATTAGTATTTTAACAGACTTCAAAAAGGAGGAGGCCTTTTTGAAGTCTGTTAAAATACTAATAAATCTATATATATTTATATATATAAAACAAAGTCGTGTTACTTACGCCATTTATAACTCAAACTCTCAACGGCTGGACCAATTTTTATGATTTTGTGTTTTTGGATTTTTCTTCGTCCGGAATAGGACAATAAGTATTAAAGTATTATATATTATTTTTAATGATAAAAAAACATCAGTGAAAACATCAGTCTAGCCGTTCATTTCTTATAAATGGTATAGCAAAACGCAACTGACAGCTCAAGTAATGTTGTCTATGGTTTGTTTTGAAAATACCGCAAAACGTTGACATTGAAGGCGACCGGTCGCTGTTTGTTTTATGCGAGTATTACGAGTTTCTACAAGTATTATTAAAATAAATCTTATTGTGCCGATATTTTTTTTTAACAACGACTTGTCCAAGAATATTTAACCTTTACCGACCAAGCCGTAATTAGGATTCGAAACATCGCGAATGAAACCACTGCATTGGTTAGGCTGTTTAAGGCTGTTTTGGAGTGCATGCCAAATGATGAACCAGCTAGATCACACGAACGCACATTTAACGCTCCAATAGATGAAGTTGCAATCCTGATTGTTGGGGAAACCTTAGAAACATGCGATATTTTGTGTGTAGTGTGTGATTCTCGGCAACTGCAACAAATATCTGAAACAGCGTTCATTTGACACGTTTCAATACCCACTGATGTTTTAGCAACGAGAAGATGGATATTATTTCAATATCAAAATGAAAAATCCATTGAATGGTTAGTAAAAATATCATAGTTGTGATTTCAACATGACTTAAATTTTACCGTGTTCGGTTTTGGTCTAATTTCACTGCTAATTACCAGGACCACTGGGCTGGCAACCGATTTTTAAATCATTTATCTTAACCCCTTTTAAATATGCCAAAAAAATAGGGATTTGAGTTTTACATACAAAATACTAATTCTACTGTTTTAATTACAGGTGAAGAAAATACCAAGAAGTTGAATTATTACGCATATCGTTTGATGATTCGTCAAAATGCTGATAACTATTTGCTGTGGTTTCGTCGATTGCTTCAGCAATATTGCGTCGACATGTGCGTCAAAATAGAAACGGAGCGGTTATACTTCATTTGGTTGAACCAAGCCAAAACGCGTACGAAGGAGTATATACGCGATGCAATTAGTGCTGCAAGGAAATGCAGCTAATATCGGTCGATTAATTATTCTGCCGGTGACCTACATAGGTAGTCCACGTTATATGCATGAATATGCGCAAGATGCAATGACATATGTTCGTCATTACTGTTGGCCAGATCTCTTCATTACCTGTAATCCAAAACGGATAGAAATTGTTCAATTGCTGCTTCCCGGACCAACATTAAGCGATCGACGCGACGTCAGCGAACGTGTATTCAGTCAAAAAATGCGGTCCCTGATGAACTAAATTGTGGGAAAAACCTTTGGGGATATTCGATACTGGATGTATCGATAATCGATAATCGATTCGATAATCGAATGGCAAAAACGAGGCCTTCCGCACGCACACATTCTCATTTGGTTAGTCAGCCATCAAATCATCACTTCACCTGGCCGTAAATTGATCGAAGTGGCGTGCTATAGGAGAGGCCTATGTCCAGCAGTGGACTGCTATAGGCTGATGATAATGATGATGAAATAGATGATATCATATGCGCCGAGATTCCCGATCACAAAGCCGATTCAGAATTACATGCCAAATTTAAATTTTACTTATATTTTTATAACTTTTTTTTCTGTGCGGAAATCCTCTCGGATACCACACCGGTGGGTGGTTTTTAGTCGGTTCAATTCCAACATAACCACCGGGTTATGTTGGAATTGAACCGACTAAAAACTGCACGCCATATTGGGTATTGAATGACTTTCCTTGCCAAATACAGGTTAGTTATCGCTTCTCGGCCACCGTTACCGTGGGGCTACGAATCTGAAAACTTTAACTGGCACGTTAAGCAACATCATGACGGAACAACGGTAGTGTATGCATGCTGGAGCTGCGGATTCACGGCGCCGGTTGGTAAAAGATACCCGGGTAAAATCGTGACGCAGCATTGCGTGGTGTCACCCAGATCCAGCAAGTGCGGCCGCTGTGGCCAAATTATATCCGGCAGGAGTTGCTCCCAGCGCCCGCCCCAGAGGCATATACGCCGACAAAATGCCGGCCACGATCCCGTCCCGGAGCGCGCTCATGTGGCGCCGCGACGACACGCCGAAAGGATAATTGATTCCTCATATTCTGAAGATGAACCCTTGGATCGCCATCAGGGAGAACACGAGGTGACGGCTGGCGTGACGTCGTCGCAGACGGGACCGGGTACTGATGCTACGACCCCTCCTGCTGTTCGGAAGGATGGCGCCTCGGGGTCGACGCCGTTCTCGTGGCCGACGGCCGAGGATACGGCGATGCAACAAAACATCAACAGTGCAGCTGCGCGAGTCATGGACGGGCTGGCGAGTCCGCGGTGGGCGGAGCGCGATGATGCCGCGCGAGCCCCCAGTGAGACCGCGGCGGGTGGAGCATGGTGGTACCCCTCGGTTCGCCACTGAGGATATGGAAAGAGGAGCAACCGGACGACCGTGCGCGGCCAGTGGACCCTGGCTGCGGAGATAAATAACATCCACGACTTAAAGCAACTGGAAGTGATCATGCTGTGCTCCACGTACGAGAGGAGCCCCACGTGATGAGGGTGAACGCATACAGGCGGCAAAGCAAATACAGCGTCTCTACCGCAACAAGCGGAAAACAGCCGTGCAGAATCCTGGCAGGGGACAACAACATCTGCAATATTGATCAGCGCACGGTGGAAAACCACTTCCAGCGGCTTGCAGCGCCCAGGGACGGGGAGGAGAATTGGCCCCCGGTACTCGTGCAGGCGGACCTGATGCCGGAGTGCGGCGATCGACTGTGTGCACTGTTTACGGAGAGAGAAATCACCGATTGCCTCAAGGGCCGGACGGACACCTCGGCCGGACCGGATAGGATCAAATACTTCGATCTTCGGAAGGCTGAGCCCGGGAGCAGAGTTCTGTCAGCATTATTCAACGCAGTGTGGCGAATAAAGGCTGCTCCATCGATGTGGGTCAAAAGGCGACGTCGACCAGATTAAAAACTGGAGGCCGATCTCTCTGCTTCACACGCTACCGAAGCTCTTCGCTGCGATTCTGTCGAGCAGGCTGAAGACTTGGGGCACGGCCAACGGCAGATTTAGCAGCTCACAGAAGGGGTTCCTTAGCTTCGAGGGCTGCTTCGTGCTACAAGATGCGATCCGAGATGTTAGGCGCCGAGGCGGAGAGCTGGTCGTGGCGTGGCGGGTGCTGGAGGGCCACGGACTTTCACTTAGAGTGAGAAACGTCATCGCCTCACTATACTCTAACATGACCACCAGTGTTAGATTGGCAAGTGGCAGCACAGCGCCCATACACATCGAGTCGGTGGTGAGACAGGGCTGCCTCCTTAACCCCGACATATTCAATCTCACCATTGAGGTATTATTGAGGGGACTGGCGGGTTTTGACGAGGGCTATGTGCTCGAGGGTAGGCCTGTTTTATGCCGACGATGGAGCGCTGCTGGCGGAATCTCAAGAGGGCATGAGACGACTACTGGAGGCTGCGGAGTTGGGCGCGCGAGCGGTGGGAATTGAGTTCAACCCCAGATAGTGTGCCACCATACACATCGTGGGAGGTCGAGGGGATGGCGCCCGTCCCACCGTGTTCAATATACAAGTTACACCGATGCCTGCGCTTGCCGACGAAGGGGCCTACCAGCATCTTGACATACCAACGGGCTATCAGGTTAAGCAGATACTAGTCGGCACAGTGCGAGATCTACTCGAGGACGCCAAGAAAATCGGCGACTCTCTGCTTGCGCCCTGGCAGAAGCTTGACGCGGTCAGTACATTTTTGCTGCCGCGTTTCGACTTCATAATGCAAGGAGCCACTATGGAGAAGGAATACCTCACAGCAGTATATAAAACTATCAGGAGGCTGGCCATGGAATGGCTATACCTACCGCAGCGCGCAAGTGCGGAGCTGGTTTACTTACCGCCCTCTCAGGGAGGTGGTGGGCTGCTTCCGCTTGTCGACCTTCATGACGTTCTAACTGTGGCACACAGCTACCGGCTGCTCAACTCCAGAGAACCTGCAGTGAGATTATTAACGCAGGCGCTGCTGAAGACGACATCACGCGTTACCTCTCTGGTGACACGGGCCTGCCATCGTCGAATGCCAGAACGTCCTTCTAGGCCAGAGCGCCACCACCAACCTCAAAAAGAAAATTTGATTGCGCTGGCAGTGGCACACTGACAAAGAAGCATTGGGGCTGAGATGTGGCGGGGATGAGAGGCTCTGCTCCCGGGGGATGGTTGGCGGGTCGCCAATGGGACTGTCGACGCACTATACGGGAAAACTCCTTGCCAAACGCGATCAGGGCAAGGTGCTCGAGGTTACTAAAAGGAGCGTAGCATCGAACCACTTTCTACGGACTGGCAGAAATACCCGCTTCTGAGACTGGCGTTTTATTCGTAGAACCAGGCTTCATTTCCTCCCGCTGCACGCCGCAGTCCACAGAATACCAGGTTTAGACAAAAGCTGTTGCAGATGCGGAGATGACCTGGAGTTCCTTCCGCATGTGCTCAACCACCGCGGGCCGCATGCGGCGGCGCGACAGATGAGGCACAACGGCGTCCAGGACAGGCTGGTAAGAGCTGCCCGCTGCGTGGGTAACATCACCATCAACAGAACCGTCACCGGAGCACATGAAGCGGCGGCAATAATGAGGCCCGATATTGTTGTGCATTAACATCGTGGACGTGGGCGTCCCATTTGGAAATAGGACACAGGGCTTCCGAGCAGCGCGCCGGGAAAAGCTGGCTAAATACGCACCTTCGGCGGAGCAGCTTGTGGAGCAAGGCGACACGACACGTATCGAGGCAGCTCTCGGAGGGTAGGACGCGCACAATGAGACGGTCATCAAATTGCTGGAAATTAGTAAAAGATATGCTGGCGTGATGCGCCGCCTAATGATCAGCGCCGCCTCATAGACGTGGAGCATGTGTCCGGGGCGCAGCAGTATCGCGTGGACCAATAAAATTACCGGTGAATTGCCGAGTGTGTGCGTGTGTACTGGCTATTTATCTATTGTTACTTACAATTAAGAAACTAGTAAACAATAAAAAAAATGGCTAAAAGTTGTGCAGTGCCGTTAAATAGATTGAAATAAAACTTCATAGTGCGTCACTTGCGATATAATTCAGAACGTGTAAATTTGATAAGCTTAGCCAAATGCTATAAGTGTTCAATTGCTTAGTGTTTCGCAGAAATTATTAAGACTCTTAAACTTTAATTAGTAACATGCTTTTGATCTGTATCATGAACCAGAGAAATATTGTGAATGTGTATTTACATCTATGTCTGCTTGTAGCACTGACACACAAGCACATGTACCTGTCTGTGACAGGAAGTTTTTTTATTCAATAAACGTTTTAATCTGTTCTTTTCAGCTTAATATCTGAAAGTTCCCTCACTGAGGGACCAGTATATTAAACTGATTTTTGTAAGCTGACGGGATGTTCGGGGTAGGGATGTTAAAAAATAATCGATTTTTATTGAAATCGATTATTATTTTCTTATAATCGATTTTTTATTCTCGATTTTTATAGTAATGATAATCGATTTTTAGTAAATCGATTATATAAATTACGTGTTTAAATCGATTTTCAGAAACAGCTCGCATCTATGCGACGAATGAAAAAATCTTGCAGTATGTTTCAATTTTAAAAACAGCGCCATCTATGCGTTGGATCAAAAATCTCTGCTCCGTCCGAAAGATTATTTTCCAAAGTGGGAAATGTGGTCAGGAAAACACGAAACCGTATTTTAGGAAAGAGACTATCAAAATTATTGTTTTTAAACTGCTTACTTACCTGAAAATTTATGGTAATAATTATTTTAAATTTTATTATTGTTTAATCCTAGTCAAATGTAAAATAGGACTGCACATTTGTGGAAATAATTATTTTTAATTTTATTATTGTTTAAACTTGCAGATTAACGAAAGATTGTTTTTTATTTTAGTTTTAGAGACCATAACGTAGTTGTTCAGGATTGATAATGATCCTTTTAAGTATTTTATTTTAATACTAGTCAAATGTAAAATAGGACTGCATGGACATTTGTGACAATAATTATTATTTAAACTTAAAGATTAACGAATGATTTGTAATTTAGTTTAGTTTTTGAGACTATAGAGTAACCAAAGCCAAAACCTCCTTTCTAAGGAGAGGCCTACGTCCAGCAGTGGACTATCAAAGACTGTTGATGAAGAGTAGTCGTTTAGTTTTTTAATTCTCATTTTAAGTGTTTTATTTTAAAACTAGTCAAATAAAAAATTCTCATCATTTCATTTTTATTATAATAAATAAAACGTTTCATAGTACTAAAATGAGTATCAATAATGCTATTTAGTTTCCTAATTCCCTACTTTGAAATTTTTCGAATAGGTTATTTTTTTATTCATAAAATTTTATTTTATTTTTAATCTGATAAATAGTTAATATTAATCTCTTAGGTTTATTATTGGGATGTGGAAAGCATATACTTTTAAATAATACAAAAAAATCGATTATTTATTTTTATTAAAATCGATTAATTTTTAATATAGAAAAATCGATTTTTATTTAATCGATTCTTTTCCATTAATCTCACATCCCTAGTTCGGGGCTCGCTCCACTCCCGTCACGGGTCGGCCCGGCCCGGCATTGCAGTGCCGCCGGGATCGGCCCACATAAAACCATGAATTATTTAATTACGATATTATTATACGATACGAATTGTACTAGTACGGTGCGAACCTGCAGATGTCCGATTAAGCACAAGACTAGTGAAGGTCCCATGCCATTGCTCGAGTACATTTCTGAATCTCTTCTAGGTTTCCTCTACCATACAGGTTCACATAATTATTATTATTTCATGAGATTTACTCTAAGCACATATGTTGTGACAAGTAAGTTAATTATTGGTATTTATGTGGGCCGATCCCGGCGGCACTGCAATGCCGGGCCGACCCGTGACGGGAGTGGAGCGAGCCCCGAACATCCCGTCAGCTTACAAAAATCAGTTTAATATACTGGTCCCTCAATGAGAGAACTTTCAGATATTAAGCTGAAAAGAACAGATACTACACTTTGATCTTAGCCAAAAGGCCGAGAAGCGATAACTAAAAAGTGTGTTGCGAGGAAAGTCATTCAGTTGCGGAGACTCTTAACACCGCAACTCACGAATGACGTCATTTGCGCACTGCCATCTGTTGAGTAGCTTGAGGTACTAATCAGAGTACTCTAACGATGATTAATTGCTCGTTCTAGACATAGGTCACAGTAGGATCCACATTGTTTCAAATTAAATAATACTTTTAGTGTTAGTTAGTCAATTTATCGAGGTAAGCAGGCTGTACAACATTACGCTATCGCCGATAGGAGTCGAGCATCAATGAAAGATGTTACAAAACAGGGCAAAATTTATTCCTTAGGCAGACGAAGTTGCGAGAGTCAGTTAGTTAATAATAAAAAGGGTGGTCTAAATTTCTCGAAATATTCTAATATCATCCGAGTATTGGAATGTTTTAGGAGTTGAAAGTTCTGTTTATTGTGAGACATTGATAAAAATATGCTTCATCAACAGCCTGTACTAGTCCACTCCTGGACATAGACCTCTCCTTAGAAGGCCAAAATATGCTGACATTTAATTTATATTAGCTAGAATCTTTTGGCATATAACGTATAAAAAAAATAACGAACTTACTACTGTTAATTGAAAATTAATAAAATTATTATTGTATTTACGATTGATTAGTATTTTTAACCGACTTTAAAAATGAGGAGGTTATTAATTCGGTTGTTTATATGTTTTTTTTATGTATGTTCCGGCATTACTCCGACACATATATAGACGGATTTGTAAAATTCTTTTTTTGTTCGAAAGGGATTTATTTCGAAAAGGTCCTATAAATTTCATATAGATCTGATTATGAGTTTCGGGTATTAGTAACCGATATACTGGCATGATGCGCTACCTGATGATCAGTGAGGTGGTGCGTGGTACGTGGAGCATGTGACCAAGGTGCAGCAGGAGTCGGAGGATCTTCTGATCCACGCGATACTCCGACTCCGATCCAATACAAGGTTCACATTGTAGGGGGCTTGTACACGGTGAGATATATTATGGGTGAGAATACGTTAATCATAATATTGTTAAAAGGTATAAAACATAAGTTCGGACAGATCTATATTATGTTGTACTGTTTTAATATCATAAAGCTGAAGAGATTGTTAGTTTGATTGGTTTAGCGACAACTACTGGTTCAAATTGAAAAAAATCTTTTTGATGAACTCAAGCGTTTAAAAAATTGACTCACAGTAAACTTAATAAATATTTTTTGTATGATTTATCATTACACCACCATGTGTTGTTTATGTATTATAAGAGATCGGATATTTTTGAAGATTTTATTTGACTAAGTACGTAATGTCAGATTGGCCACCACGTATAACCGACTAGGGATGCGTGATGGCATTATTATATTATGAAACGTTTTATCGATAATCGATTTTTATAGCATTGACTGGAATATCTGCCGAAGGTTCACTTTTTATGATTATGGACTTGCCCACGAATTCACTCATTTAGCATCATGATCAGTTAATTTTGGGGTGATTTAGAAATATTGTATAGTAGTTGCACACTTTTTTCTTTTTAAAAAAGATTACTCCCGCACTAAAAATATATCCTGTGTCGCGAGACTTTACACACATGAAACGGACACAAAGAACACCCAGACTCAGAACAACAATTTGTGAATCACACAAAGTGTCGTCCCATGTGGGGATCGGACCCACAACACTCGGCGTAGTAGTGAGCGGCATGGCGACCGCTTAAACCATTACGCCTTCCGTGCAGTCCTGTATAGTCGATTCGTAGTCTGTTATGCATGATGTGACGCCTTAGAATGTTGTGCATTAATCTCAATTTAACAGATGCATGCTTTAGATTTTAGTAAATAATGTAACCACTACTAGCTGTGCAATAAATAAATAAATGAATTGCTTCTGCCTTGTGTAAATGTCCATTGAAGTACAGTTATTCGAATTATTATTTTTAATTTATTATTTATTTATTGCTAGTAATACACCTGCTTGGTGAGCGAAGATTTTTTCTATTGTTTTACTATGTATTGGTAAAATAACCTGCACCCTTCTAGAGACAGCACGCTTTCAACAGTAAAGTAGGGTTGTTTATGAGTAATAATAATGAGAATACTATTTTCGGTTATATGAGACACAACGCCATCTAGTTTCAAACAAACAATGTTAGTACTTAACCTCGAAACATTCAAAATACGATATCTTTTTTCCTAGACTTCTTTCGCTAGTAATTTTGTTATGAGAATGGTCAAGAATAAATTCTCAAGTGTTTTAGGCATTTTTGATATTTAAACGCTACCATTTCAGTTCAAATAAAAATATGCATGGGGACCTGCCATTGTCCTTTTAAATTTCGAACATGGACGCAAACAAGGCGGTCTTATTCATGTTTGGGCAATTTTTTTGTTTTAGCTGCTGGCCGGATGTATATTTCGCTAGGATATTTGCGAAAATAGAAAAAAAAAACTATTCATTTGTTGAACCACAAATATTTTTTGAAAAAACTTCGGTGCAATTCCGACGACCCTAAATAAATCAGGCATTGTCTGGTTTCCGTGCTATAATTGCAGAGCCCATTTTATTTTTATTAATAAATTTGTGTTAACATTTGTAGTGAATCCTTCTTATCCCAATCAAGTGCTAAAAATGACTTAATGTCATCAGTTGGCTTGTAGTACAAGTACTATATTTACCATTCAATTAATAAGATAAACAGTAGAAATCATTTCTAATAAAATGTAATTAGTCACTCAACACATATTTCTCAATGTCAAATGTAGCTGGAATACGAAATAAAACATATATATAATAATGATTTTTGTTTTATTTCAGAACCCAATGTTGTATATGTGAATATCAAGACAGTGTCTTGTAGGCGCTACTAAATTGGCTGACCTTATTTCAGTTTTAGTAAAAGACAGTTTCACCCGTTTTTAAAAGACTTCAAAAAAACAAATAAAAAAAGAATACTTCCCCTAAGGGTGGCAAATTATTATTAAAGCGAACTCTTTAAAGCCACTAAACATTTTGACACTACTTAGGGTCAATAAAACATAAAAACACAGCATACAATTAATCAACTTTTAATGAATCAACATTTTTAAAGATTGTATAAAGAAACTTAAATTGACAAAAAAATATCGATGTATAGAAATCGAAATGCTACTTACACACTAAATAATTCTAAATACTCATATAACGTGAGGGGTATTTCTATGCATCTAAATTTGGAAACAGTTGGATAGCGCTAAGGAGCACCCACGAACTAAATACCGTTTTTCACCCTTAGGATGACCTATCAAAACCTACCCGTTATGAAAATCAATAAAGACTGAAAAAATGTAAAAATATTTATAATTATATTTACGGGAATATCGAATATCAATTAATATTACGGGAATTGCCGGACGTTTCGACCAGGATTTACTGTATTCTTACACAATAAAAAAAAAACTTAAAACCACTTAAAACCCGTTCCCTGATTGTTATCAACGTCACAACCCTATATCTAAACTTAAATGATACATAACCTATTCTCACTATGAAAGCACCCACAAATATAAGAAGAAATACGAGTGAAACCGCGGCAGAAATCTTACCATGACTGCGTACTTGTTTGATACCGCAGTATAATTACCTGGCCGTAGTCGCAAGCTAATATTTAATAATATTTTACACACTGATGCCCAACTAGGCAGTCTGTACTATGGTAACCACACTGCTGATAAACGTACTTATATGTTTCGTGAGCGCATTATATTTCTAAATACATACCTACATATTATAGATAAAGCACACTTGAAACCACTGCTATATATATGGTGGTATAAAAATTATGGTGGGTGATTTCCCCACTTCCATGAGTGTAGTAAAACAATATGGCAACAGACTGTCTATATAACAAATGGTTACGTACTCAAACGAAAACGGTCTCTTGATTATAAATCACAAGTTAAAAATCCTGTACCTACACCTCTTTGCAAAACAGCCATTGCAAAACAATGATTTGTGTTGCGATGGCTTAAACAATGGATGTGTTAATTTTTGTGTTAAATTTTTAAATATATAATTATATTTACGGTAATTAATGTGCATGCGTAATACACTAAGTACATGCGTTTAAAATTCTTTATGTTTCGAGTCCGTGAGGTAGAAGTTTCTTCATCCACCCGCACTTAAATATTATACTTTAAACATGTGATATTGTTTGCTATTATCTTGATATAATCGTTTTTATTTGTGAGGCGATATAAATGTTTGTTAATATTATCTTTGTTTACTTCTGTACATATATTAATTACATTATTAAACAAATATATATATATATATAAAGTAAGTAAGTGAGTATTACATCAGTGAATCTAGTTTTCATAGTACAAACTCTGCTTAGTTTGAAACTAGATGGCGTTGCGTGTCAGATATCCGAAATATTATTATTATTATAATAAATATATATATATTATTCTTGGTAAAAAAAAGAAAAATAGTAGACCACCGACATCGGGTACAGGGACCAAGACACCGGTGGTTAGGGCCCCAAAGACAGGCACTGGACCGTGTCAAGGAGAACTGCTTCAGCATCAGACCCTTGATCCAGCTCTCATCTATCTATGTACTTAACATAAATATATATTATATAACGCAATAGTTAAAGTTAGTAGATCTTTAAATATTTAACACTAGAACAAATAGAGTCAGCATTGGTAGACATGGCGTCTATATCACCGATGGTAACGCAGACGATGATTTTCAGAGCACTCTGCAATATTTCAGCTTGCTCCAAACACTTTTGGACGATTTGTCTGAAAAAGGTAAGTGTAGCTGTTTATTTATTCCTTATTGTACATGAACACATCTATATAAATAAATCAAATTGAAGTTTCTCTTTGTAACATCAAAATAATAAGTTTTTTCTTGCTCATACGGTTATTTGCACGATACCTATGCGTAAAAACCAGTTTTTCTTCTGTTTGTTCCGGGTAATCTTCAAAACGGCTGGACCGATTTTGATAATATTTAATTACCAGGTAGCTGTCTATATAAGGAATATTTTTTATAGCTAACGCTATTTTTATTTAAACAAAAACCCTATAAAATTTTGCTCGGTCTGTGAATTGAACCCGAGGCCTCATGGACTGCAGTCGCGTACGGTACTACACCACATATCGAACAATGATGGCGAAACAGCCCCGACTCGTAAATCGATCTTCGCCATTATTGCTCCATGATAACGCAAGACCTCACACTGCACGAGAAACCGTTCTAACTCTACAGGAGCTACAGTTAGACTATATGTCATACTCATGTTGACACACCTATGTTGTGACAAATAAGTTACTATCAAGTATTAATTTGGGTCGACCCGTGACGGAAGGGGAGCGAGCTCAGGTTCTTGCTACTTTTTCGACGAATATTGGGAGAACAGAGTATGATTGGTAAGTAGTGACCCCGCGCCCGCATGAGTCAGTCGTGACTTGGAGCTACACCAGCTTAAAGGTACTAATGACAATTTTTATTCACGTATATTGAAATAACTAAGTGCCATTATAACGATCAAACAAATTATATTTGTACCTGGTGCGACATAGTCACAAGTTACGACTTTTTTTTTGTTTCCTTTTTTTTTTTCATTTTCTAATAAAATCAAAGAAATCTTTTTACATGATACTGTAGTTAATAGAACAAATAATATAATTTTAATGAGATATCCCGGTTGATGTAGGTAGTAATCTAGAAAAAAGGAAAATTGATCGAAAAAAAACTTAATAGTCCGTTCCTGTAAAATTACAAAGTGACGTGTGTGATTTTGTTGCACCGAGGGTGCGATATGTTGTGACAAAAGATAATTATAGGTATTTATGTGGGCCGATCCCGGCGGCACTGCAATGCCGGGCCGACCCGTGACGGGAGTGGAGCGAGCCCCGAACATCCCGTCAGCTTACAAAAATCAGTTTAATATACCGGTCCCTCAGTGAGGGAACTTTCAGATATTAAGCTGAAAAGAACAGATACTACACTTTGATCTTAGCCAAAAGGCCGAGAAGCGATAACTAACGTGTATTTGGCGAGGAAAGTCATTCAGTTGTGGAGACTCTTAACACCGCAACTCACGAATGACGTCATTTGCGCACTGCCATCTGTTGAGTAGCTTGAGGTACTAATCAGAGTACTCCTGAACTAGATTATTGGAACCTTCAAGATATAGGTGGCAGTAGGATCCAATATAGGGTCCGCATTGTAAGGAAATATTTATGTTTGTTCACCAGCGGTATAGCACAGGCTGTGTCTGGTTTCGGATCAGACTGCCGTATGTGAAATGTGTGAAGTTATTAAGAAGATCTTATTACATTACCAGAAGCAATCAAGGGTTGTTTTACTGATTGCACGTGATTTGATAATAATTTAAACGATTTAGAATCAAATATAAATGATTTATTTCAAATTTAATATTAATAAATTAACGCTAAATGCCTACAAAACCATGTTTAGAACACATAACTTAACGTCTAATCAAAATAACCTAAATATATCATACATGTTATCCTTTTTTATTTGTTTTTGTTGTGTGAAAATCCCCTCGAATACCACACATGTTATCCTATAAAAACAAACTTTACTACTTGTCCCATCAGCTCCAAAATAGATTCAATTAAATATTTAGGTATTTTAAATGTAATGCAAAATCAAGAAAACGAGTTTAAATGTACGAGTATATGTTTTTTAAAGATCTAATACATGTTGCAAGTTGGGAAATTATTAAAACAGTGTACGGATCTCTTATCTCATACGATATATCTATCTGGGGAGGCACGTATAAAGATCATAATATAAACGTTGGAGAGAACTTATTGCTTAAAGTTGCTCTTTTTAAATCTAGGCTATACGCAACCAAATCCTTATATACAGACTCTACATTACTAACAGCTAGTAGGCATGGGACTCAATTACAATCACTGTCAATCACATGTTATTTATCATTTGCTTTTAAAATAATTTCATCACACTTCCTGTGACTTAACTACAAAAACACGACCCTAGCGCCACCTAGCGTGCACTTGTAATCGTCGCATCTGGAGCTCGTCCATCGGGGCGTGACTGAGAGACAGTGTAATAGCGTAGCATATGCGTGTGACAGAGATAAAATATACTTATAACCCAATCGTCGACACTTAACAATTTTATTGTTAACATGTTCATGTCACTTCATGTCTATTCTATTGTCGCATGTTCAGTTCATACTTTACACAATAATATCCTAATCGGTCGAAAAACGTCAACATGGTCAGCAATTATTGGCCAACTTTTGTTTGTTAGTAATAGGCTAGCCTATTTTTTAGTGTAAGTAAGCAAATAATTGTGTAAATAGTTTAAGCAATTATCTGCTTACAACTACAACAAAAAAACTAAAAAACATCATTCAAAACTAGAAAACGTCAGCACCTAAAAAAGGTCATTCCTAGTGATTGTCATCAGTTTTATGATAATTTACCTTATAAGAAAAAAAATTTTTTTTTTTAATGTACAACTCATAAAGACGTGATGATGATGCTACGTGTCTGGGATGAATCTGATTGTTCAATCTTGATGTTCATATTATTTAAGTTATAGTTTGGCTGACTATTTTCACCCTTTAATTATTTGATTTGTTAGCTCTGTTTTGTTATGTTTGTAGTAAGTAACAAGCTCAAGCAAGAAAGTAAGCTCGAATAACAAATGTCATATAAAATGATAGACAGCGTAAGTGTATTTTCTAGCTAAATATTGATTGGATTGAATAAAATAATAAGATAGAAGTTAACTAATACACATTTATAAATAGCTATAAGCATAGTAAATAGCTACAGATATAAATAAAGGCACGAAAAATTATGCCGACATTAAAAAGTTTCTTTTGTGTTCTTTTTTGGAATATTGTCACCCACCCTCCAATCATTTTATTCAATACACACTTTTATGTGTATGTAATTGACTCAACATTCCTTAATCTTACACGCACGAGTGTTTCTGGCGATCGTTTTGTTTTTTACTAATCTAATGGGCTGCCCCAGACAATCCCCCATATGCAGGGCTCATGTATGGTGGAGGTACTCAACTGGGTGTAAGGTATTCCTCCTCTCATGTTTATCCCTTCCCTTTAATTTTCCGTGCGGATATCCCCTCGGATACCACCTAGGTAAGTGTACCCTAGAAAGGAAGTCTCTGGTGCCTATGTTTATCCCTTCCCCTAGAAATCCTTTCTAGAGCTCCTTTACTATATTATTATATAGATTACAAATACATAACTATATTTTCAACATGTAGTATATTCAAAACTCAATCTATGTTGTGACAATATTAATCTTAGGTAAATATGAGGGCCGATCCCGGCGGCACTGCAATGCTGGGCCGACCCGTGACGGGAGTGGAGCGAGCCCCGAACATCCCGTCAGCTTACAAAAATCAGTTTAATATACTGGTCCCTCAGTGAGGGAACTTTCAGATATTAAGCTGAAAAGAACAGATACTACACTTTGATCTTAGCCAAAAGGCCGAGAAGCGATAACCAGAAAGTGTGTTGCGAGGAAAGTCATTCAGTTGCGGAGACTCTTAACACCGCAACTCACGAATGACGTCATTTGCGCACTGCCATCTGTTGAGTAGCTTGAGGTACTAATCAGAGTACTCTTGCGATAGATTAATGGAACCTTCAAGATATAGGTGGCAGTACGATCCAATACAGGGTCTACATTGTAAGGAAATATATATGTATGTTTACCAGCGGTATAGCACAGGCTGTGTCTGGTTTCGGACCAGACTGCCGTATGTGAAATGTGTGAAGTTATTAAGAAGATCTTACTACATTACCAGAAGCAATCGATGGTTTATTAGTGATTACACGTGATTTGCTAATAATAACATTTAAACGATATAAATAAATAAAAATAATTTATTTTAAATTTAATAAGAATAAACGAACGCTTAATGAGTCCAAAACTAAGTATATAACCTGTTCAATATATAGCTTAACATCTAATCTCAAAAACCTTAATATTCACGCTCACGCATGTTATACTATTAAAAACAACAACGCGTTTGTGACTCCTGAGTTGTAGACGTTCATGGGCGGCGATAGTCACTTTCCATCAGGTGACCCTCTGCTCGTCTGTCCCCTCTTACATAAAAAAAAACAAACTGCTACTTGTCCCATCATCTCCAAAATGGATTCTATTAAATATTTAGGTATAATAGTTGACAATCCTTTATCTTTCGAGATAAGAATCTAGGACATGTTGGAAAATTATTATAACATTTGCCAATCGATTATCTCATACCATTCTCATACGGTATATTTATCCGGGGAGGCACGTATAAGGATCATATTTTAAAAGTTAAAAGAGCTTAACGCTTATTGCTTAAAATTGCTCTTTTTAAAGCTAGGCTATACCTAACCAAATCCTTTTATACAGACTAAATTACGAACACCTAGACAACTTTATAGGATTTCCTTTCTAGGGTACACCTGGTTTCCCGGCAACTGGTACTGCGGTTTTTGGTCGGTTCAAGTCCGACATAACCATCTGACCTGTGGGTGGTATCCGAGGGGATGTCCGCACAGGAAAAAAGGGGTAACTTTCTTTACAATAAAGATAATAGGCAAGTGTCAATTACAGATATGACCAAGGTGGAATGTAAATATAAAGTCACACAATGGCTCTTGGAACACGACTATGAACAAACAGAACAATTTCTCACTTTATTAAGTTAGATACATACAGGCACACAAACTTCCACAACACACACATATACACCACACTCCCAAAACCAACCGCCCCCCTAAACTAAACTAAACTGGTACTCCGGGGAGTGCCGACAGAAGTGAAAAATTATATATTTATACGAGCATACACAGGTGTCGGCAACGGTAAGTGTTGCGAGTTAAATTGTTTTTACCCTATCCCTAATTATAGGTATTTATGTGGGCCGATCCCGGCGGCACTGCAATGCCGGGCCGACCCGTGACGGGAGTGGAGCGAGCCCCGAACATCCCGTCAGCTTACAAAAATCAGTTTAATATACTGGTCCCTCAGTGAGGGAACTTTCAGATATTAAGCTGAAAAGAACAGATACTACACTTTGATCTTAGCCAAAAGGCCGAGAAGCGATAACTAACGTGTATTTGGCGAGGAAAGTCATTAAGTTGCGGAGACTCTTAACACCGCAACTCACGAATGACGTCATTTGCGCACTGCCATCTGTTGAGTAGCTTGAGGTACCTCAAGCTACTCAACAGATGGCAGTTTTTCCAGGTTTTCATAAAACAACATTTATACAGGATAACAACATAGAAACTACTTGAATTAATTTGTCAACTACCACGCGATAAGATAAAAATATTATTTATTTATTTAGGCGTCGGTAACTGATATAAATCACTTAAATTAATGTGTCATAAAAAATAGGTATTATTTATTATTACTTTGTATAAATCTTAGCTTTGTTTTTTAATTAAACAAAATATAATAAGTATTATACTTCATTTGAGCCTAATTAAACGTTTAGGGACATCTGTAACCTTGCTTAGTTGTTTTAGCCATTCATTGGTTTTATTGTCTTTCAATGTGATACGGGTCATATGGCACGCAAGAACAATTCTTGGAGCAAGTGTTTACTCGAGTGGCGACCATGGGGTTAAAGCGTCCGCTAGGAAGACCATAGATGCGTTGGGATGATGATATCAGGAGGACAGCAGGAAAGCGTACATTGAAAAAGGCTCACGAAAGGCCCATCAAAGAAGGGGTCGCGACATGCTTATAATAATTTTCGTCTTAAAATAACTTTTCCAGGCATTGCAAATTTGAGAGAAATATTCAAAATAAATTATTAAAGCATTATAGTATAATTAGATTAATGAATCGATAACATAGTATAATAATTGAACTTGAATTTTATATCGACACATATTCTTCTACTGACCAATTTAGTGATAGTTTCGTTAAAAATTTTGTATATGTACTGCCGAAGAAAGTCCTTAATATTACTATTTCAAAATGGCCGTATTTTTTAAAGTATTTTTGTTAACTTTATGTTTAATTATATTTAATCTGTTATTTGTGTAAAATTTATGAAATTTGTGATTTGCTCCATTTTATTTTTTAGCTATGAGTACCTGGGTTCGGTTTTCAATTTCACATTGGCTTGATATTTTTTACCTGACTACGCCAGGAGTTGTTTTACGAGTTTACGAGGGCTGCTATTTATGTATCCGGAATAACAAAATTAAACAAAAATATACAGCATTTTTAATATTGTTCTGTGTTTTTAAATAAATGTTTCGCTTATTCGTATACCCGATATATGTACTGTGATTAAAGCGGCACTAGTACAACGACAAGGTCTCAATGTAAGAATATGCTAATAATCCTGAATAAATGATTACTGATAAACAAAGGTTACCTGTATTGAGACATTCTTGGGTCTTTAGTAGATTGCAAGTCATATCTTAGCAGTGTAGCTTTAAACGGCGTATCTTCTGCCGACTCCCTTTCGATTATACTGAAACGAATACGTAAAATGTTAAAGAAAATTTGGCAAAATTGTGAAATGTGGGGGTTTATATATGGGGTATAAGTATGTATGTATGTATTATACGGTAGGGAAAGGCAGGTGGGATAGCCTTTGAGGAGTACACTCTTTTTTTTGTAATTTATTAAGGACCAACAAACAGTTAGGTACATAATGATAATAGATCAAGATATTTAGAGTAACGCAGTCATCTGGGCCCCACATGAAGCTAAATATAGCCTCATGTTGGAGCGAGTTCAAAATAAATTTGTTAGGTTTTTGTACTTCAGATACTACGGAGTATACCCATTGTATCCATTAATGTATCCCACGTTATTTATTCTGGGTATGGTGGGATACAATGAACTGAGGGTCAGAAGGGAACTCACACTCGTCTCGTACCTGTTTAGGGTACTTAGGGGTGGGATACATAATGAAGACGTGTTAGGACGAGTCAGCATATGTGTTCCGGACAGATACGTGTGGCGGCGCCTTGGGCCGCCGCTGCTGGCTGTCCCGTGCGGGCGCACCAACCTGCAGAGAGAAGCACCGCTGACGCGCGCACTACGTACTCTGAATATAATTGCGGACGAAGTAGATCTATTTTATTGCTCACTGAGTGAATTCACAATAACAGCATTAAGAATTATTTCTTATAATAAATAAGTAGGTGGTATAACACTATTGCATTGGGCTAAGCCTGTAAAAATAGTTGTTTTTAAAGAAAATAAATAAATAAATATTTATAGATGATTACAGTTATGAAACCAACATCGTTGACCACATAAAATTGACAATAGAAATAAGTGGGCTGAATTTTATCATATAACCCAAGTATAACCTAAATATTTTAAAATTAATATATTAAAATTTAAAAATGTACAAAAAATATCAAAAATTACAATTCTACACACAGATAAAGAATAATGATTTTAACATAGAATTACACATACAAATACATTAAGAAAATAACATGCGCTAAATACAAACCTGCAAAATCAACACATACCTATTTGAGTTTATCCTTATGTTGTATTTCTTAAAAACCAGTTTAATTTTTTTTTCTGTCGGTCTGTTTGTTCCGGGTAGTCTTCTGAACAACTAGACCGATTTTGATAATATTTTACTACTAAGTAGCTGTCTATACAAGGAGTAACTTAAGCTATTTTTCCTCTTAGAAAAAACTTTAAAATTTTGCCCGGTCCGGGAATTGAACCCACTAAGGCAGCGCGCCTTCGTGGGTTCGAACGAAGTCGCGTGTACCAGCTAGTATATAATAAAAATCATACCATTTCAACTGTTTAATAACAGCGCGGATAGCTTGAAGGCGCTTGCTTGATTTTATATGGAGAAGATTCTTTCGTTCTTCACACAAAACTTCTTCACGAATTTCTTGCACGAATGCAACACTGAAATGATAAAAAGTATAATTGTGGGCGTTGATTACATCTCTGGATATTTTATTTATTTCTTCGCATCAAAATACAAAAAAAACACTTTTAAAATTATACAAGCTTTCTATATGTGAGAAGCTGGAGTTTGAGATAGGCGAAAAGATGCCTGTAGTACAAATCACCAGGTCCCCATCCCATGGATAGCAGAAAAATTATCTGTACCTATGTTATTAATGTTAAATAACACATTATGTTCATTATTTTAGGAGAAAACGAAACACGGGCACGCCGTCATCGCGGCGGTAAGACCCGTTATGGAGGATTGGCTCGAGAGGCGTCTCGGGACCGTCTCATACCGACTGACGCTGGTGATCACTGGGAAAGGATGTTTCGGGGATCACCTGTGTCTGATCCGCAAGGAGCCAACGCCTGAGTGCCACCACTGCGATGGCCAGATCGTGGACACGGCTCTCCACACGCAGGCAGAGTGCCCGGCGTGGGTTGAGCAGAGGCGAGACACCTCGTGGCGGCCATCGGAGTGGGAGTTCTCTCACTCGATAGCCTGAGCTATCGGCTATCGTGCGGAGCGAGAGTGCGTGGAACTCTGCCGTCTCCTTCTGCGAGCAAGTTATGCTCGCGAAGGAGATGGCGGAGCTGGACCGGGAGAGGTTTAGAACTCTCCCGGCCCGCCAGGCCCGGGAACGGGCCAGGTACCGCAGGCGACTCAGGCGCCGGAGGTCGCGGAACGACCTCCGTCCTCCATAAGCGCGGGCCTGGGGGTGACAGGTGAGGCCATCTGTCACCCTAGCAGAAGCAGGCCGGGGTGGCGGCGAGCGCGTTGCGAAGCGCGCTCGCTTCCAGGGAGCAGAGGGAACATGGGGTTCCCACACAGGAGGGGTCGTCTACTCGTCTGTAGATGGCCCGAGGTATGTCGGGGCACCAGGGACTTCCTTTCTAGGGTATAGCTGGTTCCCCGGCTATTAGTACCCGAGACGGCGTGCGGTTTTAGTCGGTTCGAGTCCGACATGCCACCGATGGGTGGTATCCGAGGGGATTTCCGCACGGAAAAAAAAGGAGAAAACGAAACAAAAAAATAAGAAATCATAAAAGGTAAAGAACAGTACAGATGTCGCTAGCGACACGTAAACATCGAGCGTGTATTTATAAACAGAAAAAAATAAATAGTTATAGTGTGTTATAAACTCAGTGCATATAATAAATCTGTGCAACAAGACCTAATAGTGAACATATAATGTTATCTACAAAAAACTACTCGGATCATGACAAAAAAGAGCGTGAAAGTGAAATGTTAATCAAACTCTAATTAACGTGATATTAACACCTACAAACTAATGTTTCGCAGTGATACTAACCAAAATTCGCACTACACCACTGCCTATTTTTTACGAACATTATAATATTATCAAGTGATCGAATTGCAGCAAGTGATTTTGCTTTCATGCTCATTCACGAAAATCTGACATTACACCTATATCGTAAATAGTGCCATCTAGGGCCGAATTACGAAATCACGCACTTACATACCGCGCGGGAGCACTTTGTGTTCATATCGGAAAGGATGGCGTCTAACATCAATACGAGCTCAAATAATGGCCGCAAGATGTCGACACTAGTATTATGTTTTAAGTGTAAGAAATCAGTTGACATAAAAAGTACTGCAAAGTGCTCAATCTGCAAAAACAGATTTAAACCGAATTGTGATGGTATTCCTGAACAAACCTATCCTCTCAACCCCCGAAACTACACAGCTTATAAATAAAGATCATTGTATTAATACGATTCAAATTGCAACAGAAGAAACGTCTATTATAACAGAATCACAATTATTTACCGACTCTGAAACCTCTTAGGAGATGTACGATACACCCAATATAATGTCTAAAAGTATGGACTGCACTGTAACCGAGCAACTGTGTATTTCTGAAAAGAAAGAACAAATATCTATGCTTACCAGTAAACTGGAGAGCACTGAGAGTGAGATGGAAAATATTGGAACTGGTAAATAACAATCTTAACAGACAGATCCAAATATTAAACGAAGAAATAAAACTACTTAAGTCGTTGTGCAACTCATCTACAATAATAGGAAACAGTCCATACAAAAGCGACAAGAAGAAGAGGAATTCTTTGTTACGTCGTAAAATGTCTCCTATTGTGTCCCCACTGGCTTCAACCTCGAATCTTGAAGCAGGCAACGACATAAAAACGTCATCACAACGGCAAAAAATTAAACACCTAGAACAACAATTAGAAGACATACAAGGAACAAATATGTCCCTGGCAAAACAAATAGAAAGCCTGACACGATCTGAACTGAAGAACAATAAATCTTTACCAATCGAACGAGAATGACTACACACAGACAACATTACACTGGTTTCAGGTGGCTGGTGTGTGTGTGTGTGTATATGTGTGAGGATTATTAGTTGATGACTTATAAGCGGGTATTATTACTGAGTATGTAAACCCCTCAGGGATAAAGACGTGAGTATGTATGTTTATATGAAACAAATTAATGCTATTTTTAATGAACTGCTGTACCCCGTTCATCCGATGAGATCTTGACTACACAAAAGTTACGATATTCAAGCCCCCATGAGTTTTTTTTGAAGTTGAGTTTTTTTTATCTTTATTGCCAAAGATGTTACATGCTAGGTATGTTGACAATTATGGACTCTGTAGGGCACGGTAAATGTGGGAGACAGCAAGAGAAGCCATTTTTATAAATACAAAATTAAAAAAAGCTTTCACGTTTCTAAAGATCGAACAAAGGACACAATATATCTTTCATCATTTTTTTTGTTTGTTACCTAAGAACTCCGACATTTATTAATCAATTAGGATATTTTTATATTTATTTTTAAAAGTATATCTTTTGGTCTCATACAAATTTTTAGATAAAATTTCACCTCTATGAGTAAAAATTAAGAAATAAGGTATAAAGTTTGCTTCGGTGGTGCAGTAGCGCATAGTAGCGTATGCGACTGCTATGCTGACGGGTTCGATTCCCGGGTTGGACCAAATGTGTGTATGATCTGCAAATATTTATTTGGGCGTTTGGATATTTTCTATGTATTTACAAAAAAAAAAGTATTCTATCAGTCAATCTAGCTTTCATAGTAAAGGCTCTGCTTAGTTGGAACTAAATGGCGTTGTGTCACATGTCCGAAATATATTTATATATTATATCGAAATATAGTTGATCTAGGGCGCTTTGAATTCGGTTGTACTTTTTTGAAGTCAATTATTTAAATACCAAATTCAACACCAACAGACCAAGTGGCGTGCCTTGAGGGACACCAGTGTAAAACTATCTCAATGTTACTATATTTTGTACTCACATAAACTTGTATAGTACTTGAAATGTATTGCTCAGCTCCTTAAAAAATATTTGGACCAATGTTTGAGCTTGGCACGTTTCATTCTCAAATCCTGAATCATTCGTAGAGTCGTCTCTTGGAGGATTTCTTGTACTATTATCAAAATTTTCTTTAGTCTGTTTTATTATATCTATTGCTTCCATTTTGTCAATTTCTTTACACATTAGTAAACATTTTTTTACAGTAATGGATTTGTTTTGAAGGTCATTATTGTCATCTTCATTCATATCTATATTACGCATAGAATTATTGTCATTTATAGTAGTGCTGAAATTATTGTTTGCTAAGCATGACTGGAAAAAACTAGTAGTAGACTTGATTTTATAATTATCACAACCAAAATCATCACTTTTAAAATTACAGTCATCAGAATTATCAAAATCATTTTCATCATGTTCATTAAATATGCCTGATATTGCTTCAGCATTGCTATCGTTGATTTCCGAATAATCTAAATGATCTAAATCTAAAGGTTCTTTATTTTTTATTCTCGTTTCATGTTCATCTAGAAGTTTGATATTTCTAATAACATTAGGTTCTTTGTTTTCATTTCTGTCATCTTTACTGTATTGCTTTATGTTTTCGGTAAATCTTTTAAGTTTTGGCTGATTCTTTGTTGACAAATCGTTGTCTATGGTTGTATTTGCACCTGTAACAGTTCTTTCCTTATCATTCTCACTAATTTCAGTGTGACTGTCTATTGAAAATATGCTTTGTTTCCTTAGTGCAGCTTTTCTTTGTTTACCATCTTCAAGATGGACATTATCTGCAATTGTTGGATCTTGATTTAGTTGATAGGAATCTAGTAGCTTCACTAATTTAGTTTCAGCCTCTTTTTCCAAAATAGGATTACTTTCTTTGATTGTGTTGATATAAGATAAAGACTTATTGTTATCAATTTTCAGCATATTTATATTTCTTCCAGACAATCTGACTACTTTACAGTTTCCCTGAAATAAATAAGTTTATCAGTATTTTACAAACCATCAGACGTTTGTAGTGTATTTTATAGAGAAGAGTCGAATGACCTTTTGATCAAAGGGGGAATCATCATCATCAACAGCCTCTAATATGGCACCGCTGGACATAGGCCTCTCCTTAGAAATATATGGCATGGCGCCGTTGCGGGCAGGCGCTAGGAGGGGTCAGGAGCAGTTCCCGGATCCCTCCTATTACAGGCGCAGAGTGGCACACCGTGTGGTTTTAGTCGGTCCGATAAAAAAAAACGGTTTGTTTCAAGTTTTCCTTCTCTCTGCAGTGCTGTTGTCCTGCCTAGTTTGCTCTGGGATGAATAGAATTGGTGACACTCCGTATTCTTAATTCCTCACTACACGGACAACTGTTTCACGATAAAAGGGGAATGTGTTCGAGAAATTTGTTGTAATGTGTAAACTAATAAATAATGAATTAATTCACATAGGTATTATTTGTATTAGTATAGTATAGGACACCACCAATACTAAGCGTGAATAGTTGTTTGCAGTCGAATGCTCGACTCCCCTGCCAGGGGTCGTAAACGCAATAAATATCATATGTATATTACACTTTAAACCCATAGAAATAAACATTATTTTTAAGGGGGTTTCGGTTGGAGGAGTTTGGTTTAGTGGATGGCTTTAAAGGTAACCTTTATAGCCACCAATTACGTGATGCCCAAACCTCCTTGGATATTAAAATTTAAGACGGGAGAATGGGAGTAAGCGATACTTCAAGTCTCGGATGAGGAATCGGGACCGAGACTGCAGTAGCTCTTGGAGGTTAGGGTCGAGTACCCGTATGTTAGTCCTACTAGAATGGAGACGTGACTGAACAGGGTCACCACCACCAGCGTCATACCCATAAAAATATCTTTTATAATATCAGATTTTATAGTTATTACATTGCGCTAACGTGAAATAATTTTAACACAACGTACGTGAAAATTCTACGAAAAATTAAGTTAAGGGACATACCCATACTACGTGACCAATTTTTAATAATATCTTAACCCCCGCTCCCCTCGATGACCACTCGTAGTATATGCCAAGTACCTCCCCCTCTAGTTTTCTGACCACTCGTAGTACATGTCAAACCCCGTCCTTAGCTTATTGTCCTTTAGCTTTCACGATATAAATTATAAATATGGTTTTAAATATTTTTTTATAAACAAACAGTTAATAAAATTTTGGCATTTCGAATAACCCCTCCCCCTCTACCCCTCCAACAGGTCACGTAGTCGGAGTATATTCTCTTTAGGAACTTACATTAGGTGCGTCATTCGTTTGTGAGGATTCACCATCTTGTTTATGGTCATACGACGACCATGCCTTATAATGTTTTTTCAAGTACTCTATGATCACTGATGGATTCTTTGAAACTGTAACAATTTATTCATATTTAATACACTGACCTGCATTTATAGGGTCGAACGAATACTGAGTAATAAAATAATAATGTGGCACAAAACAATACACACATAAGATCGGAAATATATTGGCAGAAGTTTATTACATTTAAAACGTCCGCTTTATTCTTGAAACAGATCTTTTGAGATATTATCTTTCCAAGTTTCTAGCAGTCTAGCAAGTAGGACAGGGGCTGTAGTCCAGGCCGCGAGCCACATCGTCCAGAAGGTGATGACCGGTATCAGCGAGGAGCAGAACACGACCACCGTCCTGAGGATTACCCTCAATGGCCCCCCACTAAGTCAATAGGTCAGCTACGCCTACGATAATGCACTTTAACGCCCGCGGCCTGGAAAGAAAGGTCGCGCTGCTTTGCCCTCTGGCCGGCGCTGCGCTCCATGGCTCCAGGCGCCGGGTTCGAATTTATTCATTTATTTGTATTTATGTTTGTTATAGCTCTTGTTGCTGCGGTCGCCAAACCCCCCGGTGATCGCCGCGACAAGGAATAAGGTAACTCAGCTAGCGAGGTATTGATTGGACTTACTTAAGTGTGTTGTTAAAAGTCCCTTAAGACGCCAGAAGGAATTTCATTCCAAAACCTAACACGTAACATGTAACAATACGTACAGTGAACACGTGAACCTCAAGCAGCCATTATGGGGCCTGAAGAAGGTGGGAGATGAAAAGTATACTTACAATTACGTCTAGCTTCTTTATTCGCATTTTCTATCTCACTCCGGCAGACTGCGGTAGGACGGAGTAGCTCGGGGTCAACATCTATAGTCTTGCTTTCAATGTTGCTTATCAAACAGTTCAATATCGATTCATAATCGTCCAGGACTTTGAAATCGGGTAAATTGGTCTGAAAAGGTTTTTATATACAGATAAACTTTACAACATAACCATTTAAAATAAAAGGTTTTAGCGGCGGTGTATTGTAGTTGGTACGAGTTCAATGCGTCGCTTAAGACATATTGAATAGTAACAAATATTTATAAGAATATATATTATATATTCTTTTTATTTTCATATAGAATTTAAGCTCGTAATTTATCTAATTACAATAGCCGCACATGAACAATTCAGGTCCATTCTCTTAGTAAAAATTTGATCAAAATTCAGTTTCGATCTACTCCTACTAAAGTATTACTAAGACTAGCAGAAGTTTCGGTCATAATACTATATGTAATCACATTACAGCCAACGTTAGATGTTTAATGCTTTACTACGAAAATAAGAAATAAATCCGACGAACAGAGAACCTGTTTTACTTTTGAACTATGTTAAAAACTGGCATACGGTCGAGTTTGATTCCTTATTTAGGTCGACTAGATGGCGTAGTGGTTTGTGTAACGGACTGCTATTCCAAAGGTCTCGGGTTCGATTCCCGCTCAAGTCAAACATTTGTGTGCATGAACATTTGATGTTTGATTTGGTCTGGGTGTTTCTATGTATAATATGTATATATTTACAAAAAAAAAAGTATTTATGTATTTATATCAGTTGTCTAGTACCCATAGTACAAGCTCTGCTTAGTTTGGGACTAGATGGCGTTGTGTGTATGTGGTAGAATATATTATATTATTATTATATTATTTCTCGAACTCGACACCTGTCGAAATGGGGATTTCATACCTCTGTGTATTTTGACTAACAAAGGCGCAAGTGAGTGAGTGAGGGTTTGAGTAAGTGAGTGAATAAGCGATGGCGTGAGTGAGCGAATGAGGTTTGAATAAGCGAATGCCTAAGGTAGGCAGATATGAAGACCCCAGATTTTGCAGATACACAAGCGTTAGTGAGTATATACTGTTCGCAAAATTTTACCATAAATATTAGTACCAGTACCTTCAAAGCCTGTACTAGGAGCACGGCACATCCGATCATCTTCATAAAATCGTTAGGTGCGGTGTCCAGTTTTATTTTACCTGAAAATTTCATACAACTCTTTTAAGATCATTGCGTAAATTCACATACATTATTGGGAAAAATGTAAAATTGAAACACACAACACTCAGCGCAATAGACAGCGACGAGGTGACCGCTTAAACCACTACGCCATCCATGCCACTCTATTAAAACATTCTAGTTCTACGATATAGTGAGTGTGACAAATGTTTTTTTTTGCGATTGATTAAAATATTTATTTTGCATAGTCTTAGTGCATATTGCTTTTGCATGTCTTCATCCTCCGAGTCTTATCCCAAACCAGTTTAGGGTCTGATCTTAGGTCGGAACTTAGATTTTCTCCGCGGAGCGACTCCACAACCCAAGTACTAGACGCTATCGAAGTTCTGTAGATAGACTGTTATCGGACTTGTTAAGACTCGAACTGCGCGTAATGATTGCCAGAAATGTTCGTATAGCATCGGGACCGACCCCTTAACATGCTCTCCGAGGCAGGGAGGGTTCTTAATGTGTTAAGAATGGTCACCCATCTATATATATATATTTTTTCTTTTTAAAAGACTACTCCCGCATTAGGAATATATCCTGTGTCGCGGGGGACTTTACAAACATACATGAAACGGACACAAAGAACACCCAGACTCAGAACAACAATTTGTGGATCACACAAAGTGTCGTCCCATGTGGGGTTTGAACCCACAACACTCGGCGCAGTAGGAAGCGCGGTGGCGACCGCTTAAACCACTGCGCCATCCGTGCAGTCAAATTTATATATATATATATATATATATCTATAGATAGACCTGGTTAGGACTGCTTAACTTTGGCATCTTCTAAACTACTCCATGTTGTTTAAACGTGTTTTATCAAATATTTATATACTCACCTTTACTACAGGTGCACTGATCCAACAATTTCACCAAAACTTGTAGGATCTTCCTCAACTTTGTATCATTATACAACATCTTTAAACATGTCAGCGACTCATGTAGGTTTGCATTCGAAACGTTCATTTGGCGCATATACGCAGAGTTATTCTGGAAATATAGATTAACAAAGACTTATCATCATCGACAGCCTTTAATAGTCCACTGCTGGACATAGGCCAAGGAGGAATTGGTCTACTATACCACGCTGACCAGACGGGTTGATATAAAGTTTGTTTCAAGGTTTCCTTCTCTTTGCAGTGCTGTTGCCCTGAGTAATTTGCTCCCTTGCACCCACGGGATGAATAGGGGTGGTGACACTCCGTATTCTTAATCCGTCACCATACGGACAAACTCGTCATAATACGAGTGAGGTTTGAGAATAGATAGGCAAATTTTTATTAGGTATCCTTGAAGCAAGGTGGTCTTAAGCGCGCCACAGAATTAGTTAAAAGCGTGTTAGTTTAGCGGTACCGTTTCTTTTTATAATATATATCCAGTCATTTGATGGAAAGTGACTACCACCTCCCATGAACACCTGCAACTCAGGAGTCAAAAGAAGGTCATATGTTCCGGTCCGGCAACACCACAGTCGGTTGTACTTTTCTTATTATCATGTATCTTTCTATGACGGGCTTGTTGGTCTAGTGGTTAGTGACCCTGACTGCTAAGCCGAAAGTCGTGGGTTCGATTCCCACCCAGGACAAATAATTGTGTGATGAGCACGATCATTTGTTCTGTGTCTGGGTATAATTTATCTATAATATGTAAGTATTTAGAAATATATAAGTATGTTTATCAGCAGTCTGGTTACCATAGTACAGACTCTGCCTAGTTTGAAATCAGACGACCGTGTGTGGGATGTGTAAAGTTATTATTGTTTTTGGTGTGAGTATTATCATTACTCTAAAAGCTACACGTAAGTTTGGGATGTATATGTACATAATATACAGTATACATACACAATTTACCAAATAACCGTTCAACTGAAGATAATGGAAAATCTCGTGACTATTGAGTTTTAACTCCCGGTTTAGGAATATATACCATGTCGTGGGAGACTTTAGAAACATACATGAAACGGACACAAGTACACCCAGACTCAGAACAACAATTTGTGGATTAAACAAAGTTTCGTCCGTGTGGGGTTCGAACCCACAACACTCAGCGTAGTAGGAAACGTGACCGCTTACACCACTACGCCCATGCAGTCGTTGCAGGTGTCTATGGGCGGCAGTAGTCTCTTTCTGAAAAAACCTGTGGGTTTACTTACACAGTATCAGTAGTATTAAAAACTGCTGAGGTTTTTGCTAAATATCTTTATAGGAAGCGCTAAATAGAATGATATCAGAATATAAACACCTCAAAAACGGCAATATTAAAAATTACCTGCAATGTATCAGTTAACAAATGTTCCATAATTTGAGTATAAGTACATATCCATTCGTCCATCTTAGTTGTGAGTTTTTCTTGCATCATTTTATTCTTTACACAAAACTTTTTCAAGCTACCCTCAAGCGATTGTTCATAATTTTGAAAATTCGAACGGATACTGTCAGTTGTCGCTGAACTGCCTTTGAGTGGAGTAGTGACTTTCGTTTCTTTTTTAAAAGGAATTAGTTTGGGGACTTTGAATTTATTAAATGACTTTAAATTGGGAGTATTTTTGTTAGGGAGCTTTGGATTTAGGGCGCTGATGATTTTTTCTATGCGTTGTCTTGATGCTGTAGAAACTATGTCTTTTACGCCACGTGAATATGCATTATGATCATCACTTGTTTCATTGGTCTTTATTCCATCCGATATACTCGCACGCAATAAATAATTATCATCTTTCGGCGTAGAATCCAATCTAATTTTACTATTTTGAGAGTTGTTTGTTTGAAAGTATTCAGGCGATTTTGTAATATTTTTTTGAGTATCAGATTTTGTATTTGGAATAAAACTGTTAGCATTAAATGTATTTGGGTCTTGATTGCGAACCCTAAGATTCTCAAAATCATACGTATGTGAGGCACTAGCATTTTCAGTTTCTTGAGTATTAGTCTTGTTTTCAATGTATTTGTTTTGAGACAGACATGGGGGTTGGTTCTCATATTCCTGTTCTGTTTCCTCTAAATTTAATTGTACACGATTATTAGTTTCCAATTGATAAGTTTTGAGAAGAGTTTGATCCATTTTAGGTTTAGTAATATTAACTAAAATATCACAATTCTTTTCTATTTGTTTATCTTTTACAAATAATTGCTTTTTGTACACATCTATTGGTATACTGGCAGGCTCTTGGTTGTCATCGGTGGTATCATTTTTGTTTTCGTTTTCAACTATCACTTTTATTTTTTTTAATTCTGCGAATAGTCTGGGCTTCAGTATAGCTCCGTTTCTTATTTCATCTGTATTAAAGCAGCATATGTTTTGGGTACTCGCTTTTTCTCTGAGATACGGATTGTTAGTTATAAGTATCTGAAATTAACAGAAGTAGCTATTCTGAGTTCGATTCTTGAATCCATGATCCCAAGGACCCATGAAAGACGGCGTAATAGATAGTAAATATCTGCAATACTAAAAACTGAATGATTTAAACATTAAACAATTTAAAGATTTTATTATATCATTACAGTTCAACTTATTTATCAGGGTTATATAACCGCTTACATAAAATTAAACAAAAACTACGCAAAAATATAAAACACTATATACGCGAGCGGTGACTCGGAACCAGAGGGCCTAGTGTGTTTATTTCACATCAACTCGATCGTAACGGTGACCGCGTTTGGTGTTATAATTGGCCTGCGCTGAAGTCTTCATAAATCGTAACGCCAATCGCTCACCGTCGAGAGTGAGTTGATATGAAATAAGCTCACCCTAGGCCATTTGAACTCTTCACTAATCGCAACGCCGTACTCACACTAGGCCCAAAGTAGTGTATGCGTACCTACCTCTTACTAATACCTACGGGAAGTGTACCACTGCTTACCTAGTTTCTCGACTTTTTATCGCACTACCGTCGCATTTGCGCACTCAAGAAATTGTTACACCTCATATTATTAGATAAAGATTCAAGTACTTTTTGAAATAGAATACTATTATATTTTTATATCATAATGGTAATATTATATTAATTTCTACGTCAAAAATTAAAAAGTTGTAATAGAAAAATTGGAGGGAAAAAGGAATTCGAGCAGAAGATTTAGGATCAAATACACATTCAAAAAAGGAAGATTTTTCTCGTCAGAGAAGGTTTTTTTATAAAATCCTTTGCTGACATAACTTACAACTAATTTAGCGACATAGACAAACACTGAGCCTTGTTTACAAAACGCATATGTAATGCTGTTTTATGTAATGATTAACTTAATGTTCTTAACATACATCCCTTATACCTGCATTCAATACCTATATATAATAGAATATATAGTCATTTTGGAGATAATTTCGAAATACTGCCTGAAGAAAAAAATAGGGGTATGTATTTACATACCACACAATGTTGGTTTTCCAAAACCCGCATACAACAGTCCAAAATACCGTCTTTGGTCTCAATATTGGTGTTTTCGTCCAATGGGGGAGGTTCCACTGCAAAAAAAAATACTATTATGAGCTTGGGTTCATTGGCGTTCGATTTATATTCAAAATAGGACCAATTTATAAAAAAACATTATAATAATTAGCAATTCTCACTGATATTCACTTGTACTGATGGCTATATAATAAATAAAAATAATAATTTAACTCATGTAAAATACCCATTCAAATTAAAAGGATTAAATTAAATTAAACGAAACTTCGTAACGAAGTTATTCGACAGAGAACTAGAGTAGTCGACATCGCACAGAGACTGAGTACGCTGCAGTGTGGTCATGTCTCCAGGCGGACTGATGTTCCCTGGCGCCGAGATGTGCTAGAGTGGAGACGGATGACATGGATCGACGATTTGAAGAAAATAGCTGGCAGCGGATGGATGCGCACTGCCCAACGCACTTATTAATTCTTCGCACTGTATATAACGCAGCACTAAAATGAGTGCACACCGCATCGCTGCGATTGGGAATTCGGGGAACATCTGTCCAGAAGGTTTCTCATAAAATTACGTAATAACCCGACTGAAACTTTTGGCTACTTCATAGGTACAATTAATGTTTACCTCTTGAATTTGTCATTCACAATCCGACCCAGATTTATTGCTTTCGCGTGTTTTAAACTTTTGAGTAAAAAGCTTTTTTCTCTCATATTTATTACTAGTTATTGCCCGTGGCGTAATTCGTTCGACCGCGTGACTATTTCTTATTTCGTGTTTCTAACTTTTAAAGTGATGAATTTCCATAAAATTTTCTTTCTTAGATGGATGCTTACAACTTAAAAAGTATCCTCTGCAAAAATTGCAGCTGTTTCATCAATTTAAATTGATGAAACAAGTCAGTCAGGGCAATTATTGTTATGTTTTTTTTTCGGCCCTCTTTTTCTAGTGGTGAGTGACCCTGAGTGCTAAGTCGGACGTAGTGGGTTCGATTCCCACCCAGGACAAATATTGTGTGACAAGCACGATCATTTGTTCTGTGTCTGGGTGAAATTTATCTATTATAAGCATGTATTTAGAAATATATACTCGTATGATTATCAGCAGTACGCTTACCATAAAACAGGCTCTGCCTAGTTTGGGATGAGATTTGCCTTGTGTGAGATGTGTAAAGTTATTATTATATTATAGATTTACTTACCAATATACTGTTTCTGTGGAGTAGAGATTCTTCTAATCAGCTGCCTGGCGACGAACACTCTCTGCTGACCTCGACAATCCCCGATGCACAGCGCTTGCAGTTGACTGTGTATACAATGTGGTATAACCAGCCTACATTTTTCATCTGTTAACAAATTGAACTTATTTCGGCTACATTTAAATAACAAACCGCCCAAGGTTTACCGTGGGAGACATGCTGCAGCACAAATTATCGGCACCATTAACACGACCTCACAGAAAAACCAGTGTTTCGTTGCTTTTAACTGAGTGTTTTCTAAGTTGGTCAACTATTACTCTTTAGGCCACTTTAAACATTGGAACCAAAATTGCATTTTATTTACACATTGGCGTATTAGTCATTCTGTATTGACGCTTTGATAAAGATGGATTAGGAATCTTGCAGCCGCGGCAATTTATATATTACATTTAATTACCTAAATATGAACCAACGTGTGAATACAGTTTGCGGAGTGCGTCAAGATCCTTTGATGTATGCACTAAAAACCGATACTAATGAGTTGGCCGGTCAGAGTTTTCGCCAACTACCAACATACTGCCATGTGGATCTCTACGCGCTGACCCAAAATGTTGGCCATACCTTGGCCCAATGTAGACAGCAGCCTATGAACTAACCGTGCCTTTCTCCTTCTAAATTTGTTTTATAAAATATTATTATCATCACGTTATTTAAGATTCTTCAAGTCAACATTTTTGCTTACAAGTAGATACACACGCATACAAACACACACATACTCAATACACACACACCTGATTTTATGAAATGTATTTCCACATACCTGATTTTAGTAGCTGGTCAACGAGTGCTAAGTCTTCAAGCAGCACATCAATATCAACAATTAAATACCAGATATCTCGAACAGTGTACGAAGGAGATACTGTGGGAGCTTCAATACCAAATTCTGGTAGCTTAACTTCTTTATACTGTGGCATACTCCTAGGTACTTCCTTAGGACAATCATCTGTATTTTCTGTTAGAGGAATATTATTTTTATCTTTTTTTTTGGATATATTCATTTGGCATGAAGGTATATCATTCGTTGTTTGAATGTTATACTGTTTTGATGTCATATTATCTATGGTCATATCGTTTTGGGCATTAGTTACGTCTTCATTATCTGTTGAGATATCATGCTTCGGAATATTATTGATTGTTTTTGGAATTTTATTTTCGAAGGTATTAGAGTCATTTATATTGGTTTGTGAATGCGATGTTCTTATCTCGTAAAAGCTGCTATTGTATTTCGTCGTGGGTATCTGAAAGAGGAAAATCTGTCAGTTAAAAAAAATGATTATGGATTTACACTCGAGAGAAATAACATGGGTAACAAAAATTCTGACAACTAATAATACTAGTGCAGCGGCAATAAATATGTTTAATAGACAACTTAAAACTACTGAAGTAACATTTACATTACTTACAAATTGATTTACTCTTTTTTGTTCATCAGTTATTGTAATAGATGTTTCATTAATTTTGTCCATTTCAAATGACACTCTTTTCTTTACTGGTCCTTGATTTCCATCAATTTTTGGTTTCTTTTCTGAAATAAAAATGACAAACTTAATTATAACTTCACACATATCACACAGGTAGTCTGATCCCAAACTAGGCAGAGCCTGTACTATGGTAACCAGACTGCTGATAAACGTACTTTTATATATTTCGAAACAAATTATCATTCTCATCACACAATTATTTGTCCTCGCGTCCTCCACGATTATTTGGCGTCGCGACAAGACGGCTGTACACGGGGGTTGTCCGGTCGATGGCACTATACGGTGCACCGGTGTGGGCGGCGGCTCTGAACGCCCAGAATAGGGCACGCCTCTGGCGCCCTCAGAGGGTAATGGCGGTCAGAGCCATAGGACGGAGGTGGCTTGCGCGTTGGCCGGCACTCCCCCGTGGGATTTGGAGGCGGAAGTGCTCGCCGAAGTTTATCGGCGAGTGGCTGACTCCCGGGCGGAGAGCGGATTTCGCCCTCCGCCCGAAGACGTGCGCGAGTGGCGCGAAGCCGCTCGCCGAGCCACGATGGCTCGTTGGTCGTTCCGGCTGGAGACTCCACGCGCTGGCTTCGCCGTGGAGGCTCTCCAGCCGGTCATCGCCGAGTGGGCAGGGCGGCAGCACGGGACCCTTACCTTCCGGCTGACGCAGGTGCTTTCCGGGCACGGTTGCTTCGGAAAGTACCTGCACTCGGTCGCTAGGAGGGAATTGAGTCCCGCCTGCCACCACTGCGACTGCAGTGAGGACTCGGTCCAGCACACGCTGGCGGTCTGACCCGCATGGGCGACGTAGCGCCGGGCCCTCACTGCAGTCATCGGAGTGGATCTCTCGGTACCGGCCGTAGCACGCTCCATGGCCGGTAGCGACAGTTGTTTCACCGCGGTCGCAACCTTCTGCAAGGAAGTAATCTCGCAGAAGGAGGCGGCGGAGAAGGCCCGGAAGGACGACCTCCACTCGGACCCGATCCGCCGCCGGCGAACCGGGCTGCGGAGGCGCACTTATCACCGCCTCATGCCGGCCTGAGTGTGGCCGCGGGTGGACGGGGTGGGTTTCCCCTCCACCCGCATTAGTTTGGCCAGCCGCGAGGGGGCGGCGTCTGCGTGTGCCGGACGTCGCCTAAAGAGAGGAAAAAATTTCGAGACGGAGCCCGCAACAGGAGCGGGCCGGCGCTAGGAGGGGTCCGGATGTCTTGATAACAGCTGTTCCCGGATCCCTCCTATTACAGGCGCAGAGTGGCACACTGTGTGGTTTTAGTCGGTCCGAGTCCGACACACCACCCCGCCGCAAACCCCGGTGGGGTGACGGTCCGAGGGGATTTGGGATTTGGGATTCCGCTTCCAAGCGGCTGGCCACTAAAGCGGATGGAGGGGGAAACCCGTCCCCGTCCACCCGTGGCCACACTCAGGGCAGCATGAGGCACGACGATGACGATTTGAGTCCGAGTGGCGGTTGTCCTCCTGGGCCCTTTTCGGCGCCTCCTTCTGCGAGATGACTTCTACGCAGAAGGATGCGACCGCGGTAAAACATTTGTCACTACCGACCATGGAGCGTATGACGGCCGGTAGCGAGGTTCCCTCCGATGACTGCAATGAGGACTCTGGGCAAATTGCCATCGTGTGTTGAGCCGAGTGCTCACTGGAACTGGAATCGCAGTGGTGAATGGTACTTCCCGAAGCAGCCGTGCCCGGAAAGAATCGCGTCAGCCGGTAGGAAAGAGTCCCATGCTGCCGCCCTGCCCAATCATCGATGACTGGCTGGAGCGCCTCCACGGCGGCAAAACCAGCACGTGGAACCTCCAGGCTTGACGACTAACGAGCCATCGTGGCTCGGCGACCGGCCTCACACCACTCGCGTACATCTTCGGGCGGGGGCCGACTGCCTCCATCGGCCCAGAACTCAGCCGTCTGCCGATATACTTCGGCGAGCACTTCCGCCTCCAAATCCCACAGGGGAGTTCCGGCACACGCACATGCTGCCTCCGTTGAAACGGTACAGTAACCACGTATGGCTCTAACCGCCAATATGCTCTGAGGGTGCCAGAGGCGCGGCCTATTCTCAACCTTCACTATAGTCTATTTGCGTTAAGGAAATAGCGACACGATCTCTGTCTAATCCTCCTCTACAGGTAATTTAGCTTTTAGTAGAGTTCAGAAGATTATTAGGACATCATTTGCGAATAATTAAATGTTTTTGCATTTTAATGCAAGTGGACTTGGATCTTTATTTTTTAGATTTAATTATCTGTGGATTGGCGCGCAATTCGATATTCTATAAATTTTATTAAAAAATCATGTTATTTTAATTTAAAACTCACAACTTTTTTCAAAATTGAGGCAATTTTTTAAGTGGGGAAATTTTCAACACCCAAAAGGCAGTACAAAATGCTTTCGCTGACATCATCGCCGTCCAGTAGACTTCTACAGTAAAGGGATTAACAAACTGCCAGATAATTTAGGCCAGTACTTTGATTAGCTAAACTAAAAAATAACCAAAATTTTCATACAAATCTCCAATTGCATAGGTAAAGACCTAATATATATTGATATAAACCTGACCTAATGTAATAATAAATAATTGACCTAATATAAACATACCCTGTACATATATTTAAATAGAAAATACTTACTTTCTACAGGGTCATTTACTTCTAGCAATTTCTTCCTTTTAGCATTCAATAGTAATCTTAAGTCAGATTCATGCAAATTGGTTTTGTTTTCCATTTCCAATTCTTCTATTACCCAATTTTTAGGAAATTTAATCTTACTACAAGGATTCAAAGTAGCTTTTTCATTATCAGATGTCCGTGAAGTTGATTTTCCAAAAACTTTATTCATTGGTGATTCAGTTTCCATATTTAAAACCTGTTCAGGAATAGATTTTGATGGTGTATGATTTTGAAAGAATTCCATTGTTGAATTAGTATTTTTTAATGGTGTGGATGTTGCAAAATATTTTGGTTTATTTATTAGTTTATTTTCTGTATTGAAATACAAAGAAGGTTTTTCATAATTAATAAATTTTTGGTTCAGAGGTATACCACTGGTGTGGACAAACACTCCTCTGTCTATCTGGGGTGTTTGAGTATCTCTATCTATGACAGGTTTCCTATCAGAAGTCATTACGGGCCATTGAGACATTGGTAGCTGCATTGGAGTCCAAACAAAACTTGGCAGACCAACATTTGGCATGGTAGGCATAAATGGGTTTAAATTTGTAACAAAGTGTGGTGGTTGGCCAAACATTGGAGTTTGTTGGGCAAACATTTGATTCTGAAATGGTGTTGGCTTGCATTCTGTCCAAGGGACTGATGGGCCTTTAAAGGTATACTTTTCATTTTGGAAATAGGGTTTTCTGTTTGTTGGCCAAGAGTTTGATGTGGAGGTACTCGGCCAGATATTGGGTGGAGTATTATTTGGACTATCATCAGGGGGTGTAGATGGTTCCGGGTAACTATGGAACCTATTGTTTATGTTTTGGACATTAACACCATTATCTTTTTTCGGAGTGGTTTTCTGAAAAAAACATTATAGTTTTATATATATATGTTAAAAAAATTATAGTCAATCTTATTTAAATTAATACTTCAAATGTTTTTGAATTTGGAATTAGAAAATTACACATCTACAAATTATAATACATATTATTATATGTAATAATAATATACCTAAGACATGTAATGTTTACTACATTATATAAAAAAAACATTATTTTATTTAAAAAAAAATTCAGACATCTAACACAAAACCACCTAGATTCAAACTAAGCAGAGCTTGTACTATGAAAGCTAGATTGGGATAGAATACTTATATACTTTTTTTTTAAATACATAATAATACTATACATAAAAAACATCCATTTGGATGTTTGCCAACAAATATTTGCCAATCATACAAACATTAGGTCTGACCCCGGAATCAAACCCGAGATCTCAGCACAGCAGTTATATACTCTACTACTGCACCACCGAGGCAGTTAAAATATTTGTTTAGGAGTTTTAATTATAGATTTTATAAATCTTGAATGAAAGCCATTTTATGTTTCCCTGTTACTTAATTTTTTAAATCTACATTTTAAAAAAAGTTACAAGCTTAGAATTTTTGATTTTATATAGGTACTTTGATCCAGACTTTTTTATTGTTTGAAACATTTTGTGTTTGTTTAACAACAAATTTTATTTATGGGTAGATAAAATATTATGTGAATAATTAATACAGAAACTAATAATCAGGTTTTACTTAATAACAAATGGATTTTTGACAAGAGTTAAATACTTAGTAAAATTAGGCCGAGAGCCATATTCATTTCGGTTTAAGGAAAGTGTTAGGTACTATACAAGAACCTTTATAAGAATAAAAAACAATATTCTCTAATCATTTATTTACAAGTAAACTAAACACAGAATTAATTTTCTTTAGTTTTAAGTATTTTTTTTCAGTAATAATAAATAGTTTTATTGTTCGGCAACCTGTACAAAACTTTCTTTAAAGTTTTCATAGATTATTTGCTACCAAAAACTTAAAGATTTTACGTACCTCATTACTGTCTAAGGTCCAAACAGCTTCACCGCTAGCAACATTAAAATAATAAAATTTGCCTGAAAAGGTTTTAGAAGGACACAGAATCCAACCATTGTTTAGAACAGCACTTTTTTTTGTAGTGTTCATTTTGCATAATTAATGAAGTTTAATTGAAAGAATTTAGCAACAATAGCTATAAATGAGCAAAAATGATTTCGGAAGGGAATGTTCGACTTTAAAAACTACCTACAATTATAATTTATAGATACCTGGCGTCAGAAAAGTTGTTTTTAATTTTTGCTTACACCCGCGAAAAATACTCTTCTTTTTTGTATTCGCATCTTACGTTCCAGAGTACGTATTTCGTAAAACTTAAATTTATTATTATTTATCTCAAAGAATGTTAGTAAAATTTTAACGAATATTTAAAACAAATGTAAAATGTTTTTCTTTATTAATATGGTACCTAATCTTATTTTGAGGTTAATCTTTGAAAAGTCTGATCATATTTGCTTTGCATATAAAGGAATGTAAATGATGGCAGATTCGGATTTTAAAAATATAAATATAGGTTTGGAGTAGTGATGCGCAAAATGTATCACTGAGCTGAAAAGATTGATATATATATCATTTCGCTCAAAAGATATATATCACTCATCTAGCTAGTGAGCTAGATGAACTCGTTTAGCTCACTAGCATTGATCCGATTCAATTGATTGGTCTCTCAATTAATTCATTTCTTCATCTAGATCGTTTAGCTCAGTATACTCGTATATCACTCACTTTAAGCCTCTCTCGCCATACAAACCTTTCTTTATTTTCATATTAACCTAAATTTTTGAAACTACCTTTTTAACCTATTTTTTTTAAATACAATTTTATTCATTTTGATAAGATTTCATAATTATTAAGACCCTTTTATATAATAATTAAAAATAAGAAATTATTTCTTGTACTTTCTTTTAGGTTGTATAATAGAAATTATACATCGTGGAAGAGTCATGTTACGGCAGTTATGGGTCAGGTTCGACCGGACTGATACTACGGCCTAACAAAGAATCGGTTTAAAGCAGTTTTTGTTGCAAGAATAGGTTTTAAGCATTTAACCAAGTATGTAAGGTCCGGACTTCAAATCCTCCCTATTTTTTGCGACAACCCCCTCGGTTATTACCCACCGGTAGGGTGATTATGTCGGGCTCGAACCGACCACAAACCGCACGCTGTCTCGGGTACCAGTAGCCGGGGAACTAGGTGTTCCCTTTGTGCTCCTGAAAGCGCGCGCGCGCTCCCTGGTTATGGGGGAAGGGACTCAAAGCGTGGCAACACATTTGTGACTCTTGAGTTGCAGATGCAGTAAATCTAGTATTTTTGAAATAGGGAATGGTAGATATATATACAGAATAAAATAATTACTAGATTTATTGTTAAATAAGCGTAATAGGGTTTTTATGCATCGTCTGAAAACAGCTTATTGGCAACAATGCGTGAGTTAGTAGTAACCCAACCTCCGTTCGAAAAAACCGTTCATTCACAGTAATCTTCGATTTTATCCCATCTATAGTTGGTATTAAGGTACATCATTACAAAAAGATGCATGTAGCCGACAGTATCGAGTCATATATTGAAAGTGGACAGTTAATTCTGTCGACTATCACATAAGAAAACAAAAAACTCCTGTACATAGGCTCGCCTCCGATTTTTACTAGCATATTTATTGTTAAAATGAATAGCAAAAATGTTGTGGCCAAGGCTTATTACTATTTAAACAATCTCTTTTTTCAGCCCTTTTTTTTGGGGAATATACACAGTGGCTTTTTATAAAGGATCTTAAGTAGTTAACATAAGATACATATTCAAATAAAAAAGCTTGTCTAGGGTAAGTTACGAGTAAGTTATGAGTTGTGAAATAATATACGTACGCCACAGGGCACAACTGTTTTATTGAATATTGGAATGATTATAATTGTTAAATAGACAAGCGTCACACCACACACAGCGCAAAACGAGAAGGGAACAACATGGCCGACTAGAACCATCTAGATAGTTCCAAACAATGTTGCCACACTTACAATACTTATTGTAATCTTTCACAGTTACTCCACTGCATAGTGCTCCTTACCCCACTCGAAAATACACCACTATTGCCGAACCTATTGTTTTAATCCGACTTTAAAAAGGAGGAGTTTCCGAATTAGATTGCATTATTTTTATATTTCCTCCCTCAATTTTGTGAACATCGTCACTTACAAACTGATAAGTACTCTTTTTTATTTTCTGTTAAAAAATATGAAGAAATTAGGGTGACAAATGAGGAATGGAGAACACATATTATTACAACTCATTACAAAGCAAGAACATTAAAGACGGTGATGTTATTTTAAAAGTTAATTATGAGGTGGTGAATAGGGAATCAGTGATAGGTGATATTGCGAAAGAAAACATGTGGCGATCAGCGCGTATTATCAGTTAGGGCATCACTGCTAATTTCATTGTAAAAAAAGGGAGTATTTGTTAGTAGGTCAAATAAAAGTTCTCATTTTTACAACGTTTTATTTTATAAATTTACATTAAAGCTACCAGTGAGCAAAATTTGATGAATCTAACTAAAATTAGGAACAATCACAGCGTTTAACTAAACCCAATTACAAATAATTAAATTCTAACACCTTGCGTTGGCTTATAAGCCATATTTACCTTGTCTCCATATCCCAAATAAATGCCTTAGCCTTAGCACAAAGATACGAAAAGATCCAGCAAGATTTAAGCATGACGTACACTTAGTACATGGTTTTATTATACAATAAAACAAACAACAATTTGGTGCTTGATTTAGCAGCTACCAACTAAAAGCTTTGTCTATTTTAGATCCTTGACTCTTTCCTCATAGACTTTACCGCTTTATGAAGTTAGCCATTCGGAAAATTCACAATTATTGGAACGATTTTTTTTAAAATAAATTGCATTTTTAAACGTCGTATCAATATAGTAACATATGTCACCTTAATAAAAGAAGAACTTTTGTCTATTGGTCACACTGACAAATATTTTCACCGTTATTTTATTTTAGTACAATTTTATTCAAGAAATCATCAACATCAATCAATCAATCAAACTATATAGTCATAGTGATAACACAATACATTACATATTTACTAACAATTGTTACGAACCTTGCTGCTTTAAACTATATCGACACACGTAGGTACAACACATACGTATAGGCAGAACTTTTGGCAGTAGTCTCTTTCATCATATTATTCTTACATTTGAACTTATGCCTAAGGAGTTTGCATTTGAAATTATTGTCATTATGCCTCAACAAAAAAAATATGTATTGTTGTTTTACAAATAGAGCATATAAAATAGTGCTTACGTCATAAATGTACAGTTCAATCTCATTTAATCAAGATAGTCTTTGGGAAGTCGTTAATACTCATAGTAGACACAAAGTAAGCAGATTGATACTAGCATATAATTGCACCTCAGCGGAAACCATTGAAATGTACATCATGACGTATTTAAAAAAAGGCGATGAAAATTGTACTTGTGTGGAGTTCCGATTAAAATCACAATAATTATACAACATTATTTTGAATATACCAAAGGGATATTGCTTAGTTTTTGATTTACATGTTGAACAGTTGTTTAGTTAACAATAGGGAGGATTCCTATGCGCTAGTCAGATCAGAACCGCGAAACCGCCAATGAATGGGTTTGCGAAGCCATACCTAGCTACTAGAAGACGGAAATAAGTGGATGATTTGTAGAGGTCACAATCCTCTGCAGTGAGGATAACCGCATAAGGAGGAAGAGTAGTTAATAAATTTATCTTTGTGACGAGTGTCCTCTGGATACCTCTTATTAATCATTTTGCTAGCATTCAAACTATGAGACATACTTATGATATTAACAGACATTTTCTTGTATAAACTTTTAGTTTCATGTACGAGTGGCATTCTCGCTCTCTAACATGACCTTTAACTCAACCTCCAACTCAAGACCACCCCTGCAGCCACCCCAATAGAACAATTGATTGTCTATACCCTTCAAGGTATAGACAATCTAAGAATACAAAGTGCCAGGATTCCTTTGTTTTGATTCGTTATTTAAAACAATGTTGTAAATTATTGTTTAATAATTCTAGAGTCGCGGTACCTAACATAACAAGATTTTTGTGATGAAATATGGTGGAAAGATAAAAGTAAATTATTTAAAATCAATTTCTTTTTAAGAAAAATCCCTTACCCTTTGGCCATGTCATGAAATTAGTTATATTCAGTCTTTACACTTACATTGTTTACCTTGTACCACTTATAAAGTTGATTAACAATAGGGGAGTCTGTTAAAAAAAGAATTACCTTTTTACAGATTATCAAGAAAACGCCCGTAGCGTTATCTACGGTAACATAAAGTTAACGATAACTTTTAGTTCGTTTACAGCAGAGTTTTGTGTCCGTTTTATGTAGGTATGTTTATTAAGTCCCCAACGACACATGATACAATCCTGGTGCGGGAGTTTTCTTTTTAACCAACCAACTAACAACATAAGAATTCCTCACACTGTGGTTTATTAGATTCTTTAATAATTGGAAAAGATACACTGCCAGGCCGTGAAACAATAATCTTTTTAACAGACTCCAATATTTGAAAATCTAACTATTAAGACAGTTGAAAATTACCTAGCTTTTAAGAACGTTTCACTTTCAAACGTTAATATTTTATTTTGACTTGCATTGTTACTTTTAAAGAGCAACATAGCTTTGAGACAATGTTTGCAAGAACTGTCCATGTACAAATTTTTAGCTAATAAGTACAAACCGAACAGCAGCATTGATATAGATAATACTAGTGAGAACGGCGGTAAAATTACCACTATAAAGAATATCGTCCATTTTATGCCGTCTGGCAGGCCTCCTTGGTTCTGAAATTAAATAATTTAATAGGATTAAATGATAAATAATAAAATATCAACGTTACATTATAATAGGATCCATAATCGATAGGTAATTATAAAATGTTAAGTTGGTTTATTTACGCTTCAAAAACTCAAAAAGTTCTGCACCGATTGAGCCTCAAAATTTGACATGATTTACAACACGCTTTAAAGATGGTTTTTATCTATCGTTTTTCTGGTAAATGAACGTTTATTTTCATGTGGTAAACCCACGATTCCTAATCTCATGGTTAAGGGGAATATTGGACTCGAACCGACTCAAGCACTCGGTGTTTCCTCACTTGTGAGTCTAGGGTATAACCTAGAAACGAAGTCCCAGAGATCCCAGAGTCCCGAGTCAGAACCGAGAAAATAAATGTGTTAGGTGCTAACGACTTTTTTGTGTGAAAGTGGCATTGTGTTTTATATTCAACATAATATTAGCCTTTATTTCGACTTGAAAAACTGTGTAATAATTAATAAAATGTATTATATCTAGTACTACTAATTTCATTATCATCACACAACAGCCTTCGATCGTCCACTGCTGCACAAAAAAGGTATAGTGGGCCTTAAAATCTCCTTAAAAAGGAGATTTTGGCCCACTATACCACGCTGGCCAGACGGGAATAGGTAAGTATAGGGTTTGTTCCAAGTTTCCCTTATCTTTGCAGTGCTGTTGTCTTGAGTAGTTTGCTCCCTTAGTTGGTCCTTATCATACCCACGGGATGAATAGGGGTGGTGACACTCCGTATTCTCACCACACGGACATTTACAGATATACTACTTATTTAGAACTATTATAAGCGGTATGCATTACTCTGCGGAAATTCTCTAATTTTACTTTGATGTAGGAACCTAATTTTATTGTTGTGTTCGAATGCAATACCTTGCAAATTTTTGGTTGTTAGGTCCTTATGGAACTCGTGAACGAAGATTAATCACAATTTTAGTATTCATAGAATGATTTCTTTTGGATAATTCTAAATCCATAAATTTTTTTAGTTGTGTATGGTGGTAAATGATTTTTGAGAAACTTCAAATGGTGAAATATACTTACATATTCTGCCCAAAACAGTGGCACAACTTGGTTTGACAACTTAGCAAAGTTTGAATTATACGAAGATAAGTCTTGCACTCTTAAATTGCTCTGCAATCTTGCAACAGCTCGAAAAGGTGTACCAGTATACTAAAAAAATAAAAAATAAAATTTGGACTACTGCCACACAACTCCATCTAGTTTCAAACTAAGCAGGGCTTGTACTATGAAAGTTATATTGTCGGATAGAATACTTATTTACTTAGTTTTTTGTAAAAACTTAATAATATTATACATAGTAAACACCCAACCTCTGAATTTGCAGATCGTACAAACATTTGATTCGACCCGGGATTCGACCCCGAGACATGAGCAAAACAGTCGCATACGCTACTACTGAACCACTGTGGCAGTCAAAAGTTAAATTCTGTTAAGTTAGTGTTCTGTTAACTTCTGAGCACCCCGCTGGAACTGCTCAGCAGCTGATACCAATGGGGTGCTCGCACCGCTCCTTTATGAGGCAGTGTCAGTTTCCAACACCACCTTAGGTTTCGCGTTCATTTGGTCGCCGGATTTACCGCTCGTCTACGGGCAGTTTGGACATTTTTGCCCCCCCCCCCCCCCCCCTTCATACATAGAATACGATTGGGAGCTGCCAGATCCATTAGGCAACGGGAGGTTTCCCCAGACGCAGTGCATCTAGGACCCTCCTGGGTAGGTTTCCCTTTTTGTTTATCCATGTCATCTTTTGTAGTTGAGCGTCCTCGACACTGGACTCCTTCCAGCGACTCAGCCCATTGCCAGGCGTCAGAGCGACACACACATACTCTCAAATATTTTATCCCTAAAAGGGTAAACAGAGGCGTATTAAAACGCCCACATTATGTTGAATATAAAATTATCGTCCCACTTACTTCATAGGGGCAAGCCTTTTGCCGACAACCGGGCACATATATTTCATCACCACCCCACTGCTGGACGTAGGCCTCTCCTTAGAAAGAAGGTTTGGCCTACTATACGCTCGCCAGGCGGGTTGGTATAGATTTTGTTTCAAGTATTATAGATAAATTACACACAGACAGAACAAATGATCGTGCCTATTACACAATATTTGTTCTCGACGAGACTCGAACCCACGACCTCCAGGCCCATCATATTTCATTAAGAAGAGTAGGTATGTAAACTTGTAAAAATATGCAAGTCTGTTTTTACTCACCGGTTCTAAGTCTACCCAAGAATTATGTTTAAGTCTGTCTGGTTTGAGGCCAGTTACATAGTAGTCTTTTGGAAGTCCTCCCGTATAGAAATGGGGAAAGGACACCACCATGGGGAAATCTGAAAAAAGGATGTGTCATTATTTTCTAGAACTTAACTATGTCAAACTTTAGATCAAATAAAATAGCCTTGGCGTGTACATACATAATTACACGCAAAACACGTACAACGAAACTACGACTTGTAGCAAACGTCATCAAAAATGTCAACAATATTTACAAGTAAAAATGCCGTTATGAAAGGGTGTAAAAATCAAACCAAAAGAGATAGATAGATGGAATCGCATTTCACACATAAGTAAGCGTAGAAACCAATATTTTAAATAAAATAAAATTATGACGGCAGCACCGGCCCACGCACACATGTTTATAAAACCGGCGTCACTTCGTTCTTAACGTTTATAAAGTTCCATCTTAACTTTTTTATTTGATCTGAGAGTTAAACATACTTTGAACTTATAACATTGGAGTTTTACACAAAAAAAACATAATTGATCAGCATTCCTTCACTAATTCATTCACTCATTCTTTTCTTCATTCTTGGAAAGGGAAGGCTCTTTTTTTATTATAAATAGGGTCGCTTTTTAGTTGTTTTTATATTTGAAATGTCTTTTAAAGTAAGCCATCTGTTATATTATTATATTTGTTATGTATCTATATATATTTTAGCATTTCTAAAAGGTTTAGAGACTTACTGAAGTAGCATTTAGAAGCGTCGCTTATGCCGGCGGGGAGGGACGGCTCTGAGTCGTAACAATCAGTCCTATTAGTTATTCTGTCGAAAGCGCTCTCCGACAGGTTGTATCTGTAGAGGGGCACGTTGTCTATGGTCAGCTCACCTGGAATAAAAAAGGAAAAGAATGGAAGAGTTCTCAGTATGGAAAGACTTAGAGAGGTCTATGTACAGTGGATTCGGCATAATTTTTATTTTTACCCGGTGAAAGAATATATTTGCGAGTACTTACGATGATTTAAATTTAAAAAAAATGACTAAATGATGAACTGTAATAAACTGTATTCTTATTATTCATTCCTTAATTTTCATCCTATGGGGTAAAATATTTAATTACATTAAAATTAAATTAACAAGACCAAAAGGTAAGTATACCCTCCTAAACAAAAAAAAAAAAATCCCATCGGATTAGCAAGCTGAAGTGGCAGTGGGCTGGTCGTTGGGAAAAACGAGTTCTTAAATGGAGACCGCCTCTCGGCAAACGTAGTGTAGGACACCCATAGGCCAGGTGGAGTGACGATCTGCGTAAGATGGCTGGCAGGAGCTGGATGCAATAAGCCGAAAATCGATCTAAGTGGTGTGCAATGGGAGAGGCCTATGTCCAGCAGTGGACTGCGATAGGCTGATGATGATAATCCATACTACATAATATTATAAATGCGAAAGTGAGCCTGTCTTTCTTTCTGTTACCTCTTCACGTCTAAACCGCTGAACCGATTTAGATAAAATTTGGTATGGAGATACTTGGGCTACGTGGGCAGAGTCGCGGGCAAAAGCTAGTTTCCAATATTTTAACTATCAGCTCTGAGCGTTTGCTTCTAACTTCTTCTTATTTCTGAATCTGTGCTACATCAACATAAGTAAATTTACTATTGTTTAGCGACGTTTATCTGATTGTTGAAGGTACTTCGGTGGTCTAGTTACTTGAATTTCAGAAGGAATCTGCCCTTTTCTTTCCGTGCGGCAATCGCCGTGGATAACACCTACCAGTAAGATGGTTATGTCGGACTCGAACCGACTAAAAAACCATACGCCTACTCGGGTAACCTAGAAAGAAATTTCCTGGTATCCCGACGGACCTCGGTCCATCTACGGCTCGTAGATGACTCCCTCGTGTATGCTCGAACAGTATTTCTTTCCTATTAGGGCACGCGGCTTGCTTCTGTTAGGGTGACAGATTGCTTCACCCGTTACCCCCAGGCCTGCGCTTACGGAGGACGGAGGTCGTTCAGCGATCTCTGTCGCCTGCGTTACTTGACTCGTTCCCCGGCCTTTCGACCAGGAGACTTCTAAACCTTTTCCGCTCTTAAACTTGCTCGCAGAGGGAGACGGCGTAGTTCCACGAGCTCTCGCTCCGTACAATGCAACAGGAATCTACCCTAACTTTTGGCAAGAATTCATCTACATATGTTAGGTACTTTCTTCGGCACTCACTATCAAAGTACAGCGGCATCAGCTTGCAGACGGTCTTTCTCCAGTACTGCAGCACGGCCTGTTTGGTTAACCTTTGTGCGTACATCACACCTTCCGTGGACCCAAAGATGCGGTCTGGACACGTCTGTATAATTAGACAAAGAAAATAAATAATAAATTAGATATAACTAATGATCATTCATTCTATCTGAAACAGGTCATTCTGTTTTTCTAGTTGTGGTGATCATGACTGCTAAGCTAAAGTTCGTGGGTTCGATTTTCATACAGGACAAATGATTGTGTGATGTGATGAGAATGATTATTTGTCTACTCTTCCAAATTACAAAAATTGGTTCAAAAACTATTAAATTTAGAGGTGACAATTAAAAAAAGCTAATTGAATAAATTAATCTTAGTTTAAAGTTGGTTAAAAACAATGTATTACGAAATTATTTAGCTACAAAAGATCTATTACGATATAAAAACCGGTTATTTTAATCTACTAAGGTTGACATACAATAACGAGAAAAAAACCTTTGATAATACAAACATATATTGACGACTGGATGGCGTAGTGGTTTGTGTAACGGACTGCTATTCCAAAGGTCGCGGGTTCGATTCCCGCTCAAGTCAAACATTTGTGTGCATGAACATTTGATGTTTGATTTGGTCTGGGTGTTTCTATGTATAATATGTATGTATTTACAAAAAAAAAAGTATATATGTATTTATATCAGTTGTCTAGTACTCATAGTACAAGCTCTGCTTAGTTTGGGACTAGATGGCGTTGTGTGTATGTGGTAGAATATATATATATATATATATATATATATTCCCGTAGGAGAGCATGCATTTCGCACGTATGGGATGGCTCGACTGGAGTCATCCCATACGTGCGTGGCCACGGCCTCACAGAAAACCGGTGAGAAGCAACTGTTTCATTGATTGGTCTGTTGGTCTAGTGACCCTCACTGCTGCGCCAGAGTTCGCGGGCTCGATTCCCACCCAGGACAGATAATTGTGTGATGAGCACGGTCATTTGTTGTATGTATATAGAAATATATAGGTATGTTTATCAGCAGTCTGGTTACCATAGTACAGGTTCTTACTAGTTTGGGATCAGACCGCAGTGTGTGAGATGTGTGAAAATATTATTATTATTATCATTGCTTTTCAACGAGTGAGTGAGCCAAAACAATGCGTATTAGTGATTCTAGGGCAAGGATTCAAAGGACGACCACTCATTTGTGACTCTTCGGTTGCAGGTGTCCATGGGCGGTAGTAGTTCCTTGCCATCAGAGTGCCGAGTGCAAGTTTATTTCACACCGACTCGCTCTTGACGGCGAGCGCGTTTGGCGTTGCGATTGGTGGAGATTTCAGTGCGCACCAATCGCAGCGCCGAACGCGGTCACCGTGACGATGGAGATGTGAAATAAACTCGCACTTTGGCCTCAGGTGACGCGTTTGCTCGTTTGCCCTCTTATTCTATAAAAAGAAACATGTTTTTTAATTAAGCGACTTTTTAACGGCATGTTTTTTATCAAACCTAGCTTTTTTGGTAAAAAAAACACGTTAAAACACGCAAACACTGTGGGAATTTATATTACAATATTACTTTTTTAATTTAACGCTTATTTTACTGGTGTAACGTAGCGTAAAGTTGCTATAAAATCAACTTTAAAATCTTTATGAAATTTGTTTTTATTTTATTAAATTATTATCTGTGGTACTTATCTGATACGAGTAATTAACTTGATATGGTCTCTGTAGTTTTTTTTTGTATCCACCTCTATCAGTATTCAAAAATGATATTCCTCCGTTCGCGAATATTTATTTACGTTACACCTACAAATACATTGCATAAGGCGGACTTAAGGCACGGTACAATTATAATAGTACCGTGCTTAAGGCCATTTTATATTTTGTCCCAGCCAACTTTTGAGAGCTCTTTGTATGGCTGGTGCACAATTGGAGCAAATGAGATAAATTATTTTAAATTGTTATCAGTTGCAAGATGTATAGATACACTAGGTATACATACAATATTATAATTATTAATATTAAAAAGTATACGTACTATACGATCCTATAAATATATAATAAACAAATAAATATCGATCAACGCAATATAAATGTAATACTATATTTATTTATTTTGCCATAACTGATCTATTCTGACCCTTAAGCGTCGGAGTAGCGAAAGAAAGCAACCAGTGAGTAAAAAATCCTCCCAGTGACTCATGTCACCCTACTGATAGCCCGGGTCCCTTTCAGCTCCTAACCTTTGACTGTTCTGTTACATACAAGCCACAAAGAAATTTTTAAGAAAAAAAATCTTATCAACATGTCCAGTGAAAGAGTTAACTCCATTGCCAACTACTGTTACTGCGCTACTTACGTCAGGATCAAATCCGGGTAACTGAGGCACTCCCCTGAACCTGTTGATCTGGAAGAACTCCTCGTGACCCCACTGCGGGCCGATCTTTACAGTCATCTCGTCCTTGAAGTCCGCATATATCTGGAAATATATACATATATTTAGTCCCAGCGATTTCACATGTAATTGTGATTTGGTCATAGACAAACATAAATGCAATCAAAGTCAATCAATTTTTTTTTAGATTTAGTCCTTTCACGATCTGGCGCTAACGTAATAATAATAATAAGTCGCAGTGATTCTGTAACTAAGTCAGAGGTGCTCTTATATGAATTATAAATCATATGATTTATCACAGGTGATTGTGATTTTATTCTTTCTCGTACCTTAGCCTTAGTTATTAGAAGCCGTGAAAACGTGCATTATATTAAACGAATGCTTGAACGAATATCCAAGAATATCCGCATTATCAAATATGGCTAGGCAGAGGGGGTAACACAGCAGATAGTGGAGGTGAGCGTTGACGCGTCGCACGGATTACTCCCTAAACCTACCCCTGGGTCGCAATTGCCCCAGTTTTCGCCATTGCCCCAATCAGAAACGGGTAGATGGGTAGTAGATCTATCGACGGATCGGTTAGTTAAAGAGGTAGTGGATAAAAAAGATAGCTTGCAGCATAGTTGACCAACGTGGCAATAAGTTATGGAGTCAGTAATAACCAAGGGTCGAAACAAGCAGCGTCGGAAAAAAGGACCTCCAACACAACTTATATATATAACTTCATAGAGATTGCAAGTTGATCTTCTGGGAATTTACCAAGAGAGGCCCAAAACCATTAATGTCCCATAGCTGAAAAGATTCAAATAGTGTCAAGAACATTTTTAGTAAAAAAAATACACCATTAAAAATCTAGGGCATTGTGAGCCAGCGTTTTTGACGCAAAAAAAAAGAAATAGCTAGGTACCTAAAACTGTGTCCTTACTCACTATAAAGTCTGGCTCCAACTAAGTTATAAAACACTACTAGTAGTTACCAGACTGCCGTTATTATGTGTTTAGGTATAATAAATTTTCTGTCCTAGAATTTAAAGGTTGTTTACAATTTAAACTGTACACCATGCTAAACATCCAAGGAGCTTTATGTCTCCTATTGTGAAACTTAGTAACTAATAAAGCAACTGTCTGATTCCAAAGTAGGCAAGGCCTGTACTACGCTAACCATATGACTTATAAAGATACTAACATATTTGTAAATACATAAATATTGTGGTCTAGTGGTTAACCTATGGCCCTGACTGCTAAACCGGAGAACGTGGGTTCGAAATATTGTGTGATGAGCACAGTCATCTGTTCTGTGTCTGGGTGTAATTTATCTATAATTATATATGTACTTAAAAGTATATAAGTATGTTTATCAGCGGTCTAGATAGCATAGTACAGGTTCTGCCACGTTTGAGATCAGACAACCGTGTATGAGATGTGTGAAGTGTGTGTTGTGTGTGTGTGTGTGTGTGTGTGTTTGTGTGTGAAGTTATTATTATAGACTAGCTTTTGATCCGCCCGCGTGTATGTCTGTTTCCGCGGTAAAAAGTAGTTTATGCTACTCGCTATCTGTTTTCCTTACCTCCTTTACTCGTATTTGGGGGTGGCAGGCAAACGGTTGCTCATAAAAGACACCAGACAAATGCTTTTTATATTAGACAACACTTTGTCCCCAAACAAAATACGGAAAAGAGCCAGGAAAAGATGATGTTGGCGGTGGATGGTTAAGAAGGCGGTGGTTACTTACCATTGGTTGACCTGTCTGCCCTTTCGCCTTACTATACCACAAAAAAAACAGATACAGGTATACTCACTCTATCCAGCATCCCAGCATTGTTAACCGGCACAAGGCCGGGAGCCAAATTGCTGGATGCTTCAAGAACAGGATCTTTGAAGTTCCATAGGTACTCGTAGATTGTCCTGTTGACGAAGGGTTTTGCTCGGTGCAAATTCACTAACCCCCGAAAGAGGGCACGTACTATGTAGGGGTAGTTGTAGAGGTAGGACATCATACCCTGGAAAAAATAAATAAAGTTACTTACAATTTATTTTTATCCATCAAGTACACTGTTGGTAATAGGTCCCTTCCAAATTGCGCCATTGTTCCCTGCACTATCTGGCAATTTTCGTCAGATCGTCAGCATTTCTGGCTACTATACTATGTGTCTTTTGTTTAACGGGCCTAATCCCTCCTACACGCTAGCCCCTTTCTGTACACCAGGATCAACAGCAGTTACCCACGAACACACCGAGAAGTCCCAGGAAAAATAAAACTGTCTTGGAACCCGTAACGAGATTAATCAAAAGAAAATTTGAGGAGTTGGAAATAAAATGTGTTAATCACCTCTTTCGTCGCTTGTCAGGGAGTGACACACACTGGGTAGCAACGTTAGTTTAGGTTGGCATAGTGCTGTTGTCCTGCGTAGTTTGTTCTCTTAGTCGGCTTGTACGACACCCAAGGGATGAATGGGGAAGCGGCACTTCGCATTCTTAATCCGTTACCACACGGATTCACATTATCATACTCAAAATTAAATTAGCTGATACATTTTTGCCGGCAACATGTTGTGACTCCTAAGTTGCAGGCGTTCATGGGCGACGGTAGTCGGTCGTTTGCCCCCTGGATCATAAAAAAAAAAAAAAAATTGAAAATAGAATATTCGGATAATTGGCCAAGTTGTTTTTATCATATTTTATCGAAACGATGACATAATCATTTGTATGTTTTGAGGAATTCATTACATCGTACCATAATGCATCTCAACATTGACCAATATTTAAAACAAAAAAACGATAATTGTAAAATATAGTACTGAAGGTTAAATCTATAGAAATTAATAATCTGTGGTTCAAATGACTACAATCTTTAACACGCAGCTACCGCATCTAATCGTAAAACTGGCGGATAAATAGTGAATTAGGTATATGCAAAGAGTATTCATTGATTAAATATTCTCTCATCTTTTACCCGCGGCTCAGCCCGCGTGTTTGTCGGTTATCGCGGTAAAATTAGCCTATGTTACTCACTGAAAGTGTGGCTTTCCATTGGTCATTTAATTTTTAAAATCGGTTTAGTAGTTTAGGCATGAGAGCGTTACAAACAAACAAAGAAACTCAATTTCACATTTACAAATAGGTATGGATTGTTAATTTTGCATTACAACTTTATTTTTGTAACTTTAACAATGTACACTTTACGTATTATTAAAGCTGTGGGGTTCTGTAATTGTTTTTAATCTGTGTAATAAACGATATTGTGTATGTATTTTTGATGATAATTAATAAACAAACAAAAAGTAAATTAACTTTTGAGTTATAATTTGAATTAAGACAGTAGGTATTGTAGATTTGTTTTGAATTTAAATTCCTTAGATTATTTATAATCTACCTAAGTTAAATTCTTTATTCCAACAACACAACAAGTATTCAAATTGGACATTTTCGCCTATAGAATAAAAAGTTTATATATTTAGTGATCTTATGATACTAACACAAAGTAAATTAAAAGTTATGCAAGAAAAGTTAAGTTAGGATTTTTTTTAGGAGATAGGTAACCCACAACGTCGATTTTTTTAAATTCGCTTATATAATTTGCCAACGGAACTCTGTCAAATATGGTTAAACCACAAAGTCAATAAACATTATTCACTGTTTCTAATACTACTCTTGACTTCTTCTTTCTACTAATTTTAATAATCTTTTTTTTCTTTTTTAAAAGACATCTCCCGCATTAGGAATAAATATCCTGTGTTGGAGGTACTTCATAAATATACACAAAAAACACCCAGACTTAGAACAACAATCTGTGGAGGTTATCCCATGTCGGGATCGAACTCACACCACTCAGTGCAGTAGAAAGCGGCGGATTTGAAAAACAGTGGACTTAGACATAAAAGTCGTTAAACTAGTTTGAAAAAAATCTATTAATTAACATTTAACAATATTTTTTAGGTGCATGTTTCAATATGTTTAGTGTAACATGGTAAAAAAAATGTAAACGGAAAAAATGTATGGAGCAAAATTGTTTTTTTTTTCTCGCTATGTTCAAAAGTGTTAGCCATGGAACCTTAAGTGAATTTTTGTATTTCATATATTCTTTTACAACATAAATAAATCTTCAGTAGCGTAGTGGGCTACTTGATGATGAAGATGATAGTAATTTGAATATTGTGTATTTATTTATGTGTTCGTTTTTTTTTAAATTTCTGTCTTTCTTATCGGTCAGGCGACCCGTGATGGTATAATTTTTTAAATTAAAACACGAACTTTTTTCTCCTATCTCTTTATTTTTCGATGACAGTTCTATGGAGTTCTTAAGACCTAAAAACAGTTCCTGATTAATTTAGAGCTTATACGAGTAGTACAGCCCTTGGCCGTTGACACGAAAATTTCGCATAGGTTGTGAGACCTTGTCATTGTTTGCTAGAATTACGTGCACGAATCTTTTTATATGTTCTTTGTCGTTTAAAAAGATCTGCACAGATTTTCCCACAGAGATAATAGTAATGATATTTAAGTAACTTGAATGTATTGTTAATCAAAAAGATATTTTTATATTTCAATTTCTTCTGAATGTGTGCCTGTCACTAAACTTCTAAAAGGCCGGACCGATTTTAACTTGCCATCCAGAAAGCGTAACCAAGAAAATTTGATACGACCTTCCCAAAATCACACATAGTCTTCACATTTTGCCAACTGTGTCTGTAGTCTTGGAGATCAAGCGCAGTTATGCCTATATCGAAGTTATTGAAAAGGGCTCGAATATGGTTAGCGATGGTTTCAACAGAGCCGTGTTATGGAACAAATGGGCACGCTAAAAAAAAGAATGGAACCACGGTGCAAGTAGGGCACTTGCCCTACTCTGGATAAGTACAGTAATGGATAACATAATACATTCAACATTAATTTCGAAACAACCGAAATACGAGTGTGCTGCCGTACATTAACCGTAGAGTACACCTAAGCGCCTCGTCCCATAATAATAATATTTCGGACATCTGACACAAAATGCTATATATTTTCAAACTAAGCACTATGAAAGCTAGATTGACTGATAGAATACTTATTTACTTTTTTCATGTAAATACATACATATTTTACATAGAAAACCCCCCAAACTCCGAAACCGTGTTTTAATAATGTATCAATTTTTTTTTTCAAATCAAATCAAATCAAATCATTTATTTGTGATACATGGGTTACATATAGGTGTTCATTACATAATTATTAATGATGTTCATTCCATGATCTGCCATTTGGGCATACAAATTATTAAGCAATATATTGATTAATATTTAAAATTATAGTATTTAAAAAATATGTATATATATTAAAATTCTGATTATTTGATAAAAAAATCATTAAAGATTATATATAAATTCTATTATTACTGTAGGTCATGACATACGCAAGAAATTCAACAAGAATCAACGTCAACATTAAACTTGGACATGAAACATTAAAAAAAATCGAGTCTATAAAAATTCATCAACAGAGTAATAGCATTTTTCTGTGAGAAATTTGAACAATTCATTTTTAAAGACATAGATGTTGCCACATTCTTTTATATTGTTAGGAATCTTATTGTAGATCTTTGTGTACATAGCAAACACACTTTTCCCAAAGAGGGTAGTTCTATAGTGACAGGTAAGGTTATTATACAAGTGACTTCTATTTCGCGATTTAAGCTCTAATGTAAACAGTGACGGATTATGTCTAATAAACAATGCCATTTCAAAAATATACAATGATGGTACTGAAAGTATTTTAAATTTTTTTAAATAATTCTTGCAGCTGTCAGTTCTTTTAAGACTGCACATAGCTCGCACGCACCTTTTTTGACATTTAAAAACTCTATCCCAGTTGGTAGTCTAAACTTTATTAAAACACTATGGCCCCTGAAAGTGATCACAGCGCTCATTTTTGTGGTAGGCGAATGGGTTTACTTCTTCCTACGCTAATAAACAGTTTGATTTGATTTGATTTGATCCATTCTTCTTACTTAAAAAAATATTGTTAATATTATAGCAACTTACCAGAACTGCAACATTAGGGACTGTTATAGTAGCGTTCAGGTCTATTTGGTTTTCGTCAGGAAGGTAGATTGGAAATCGCTTAGCCGTGTATGTCATTGTACTGTTGTCGTTGAAAGTCACATTTGAGTGTAGGAGTTTCTCCCTGGAAGAGATTAAATACTGTATTATATATTAATCATCTTCAGCAACAGCTGTTAATAGTCCACTGCTGGACATATGTATCTCCTTAAAAAGGAGGTTTTGGCGTACTATACCACGCTGGCCAGACGAGTTGGTTTAGGGTTAGTTTCAAGATTTCCTTCTCTTTTCTTTGCTGTTATCCTGCATAGTTTGCTGTCTTAGTCGGCTCTTACGACACCCACGGTATGAATATGGGTGGTGATTCGTATTTTTAATTCGTCACCAGACGGATTGATTAGGTATTTTATATATTAATCATTATTTACTTATGAAATTATGACTCCCGCTTAGCAGAACAGCAGTTTCCGTCGTTGTGTCTTTTTGTGTAGCTATGACTATGATATGACAGACCAAACTTAGTTTGGCTTTTATAACATTACCAGCTAGTGTCCGCGATTTCGTCTGCGTATCTAAAGTATTTTTTTTCCGGATTTAATCAATCTCTACATTAATTATAATTACTAGCTATTCCCTGCCACACTTCGCTGTGGCACATTCTGGTTACATTGACGACAAATGAGGAATAAAAGTAACGCAAAAAATTGATATAAAAACCATCTTTGAAGCATGAACATCGTTTCAAAATTTGAGCTTAACCGGTGCAGAATTTTTTGAGTTTTCGATGCGTACACCAACCAACATAATATTTTATATAATAGCGTATATTAATACGCTGTGGCATATTGTGGTTATATTGATGAAAAATGAGGAACAAAATTAAAAATAGATAAAAACCTTCATTGAATCGTGTTGTATATCGTGTTAAAACTTGAGCTCAATCGGTGCAGAACTTTTTGAGTTTTTGAAGCGAACACAAACCAACATAACATTTATATATACATATAAACTAGCTGTACGCTTCGTTGTGGCTTATTGTGGTTCCATTAATGAGAAATAAGTAACAAAGCTGATGTGAAAAATAGATAAAAATGATCTGTGAAGCGGGTTGTATATTGTATCCAAATTTGAGCTCAATTGATGAAGAACGTTTTGAGCTTTAGAAGCATACACAAACCAAGCTAACATTTTTATATTTAAGTTATAAACCTAAAATTAAGTCAATTGTAATTAAAAATAAAGTTATTTATATTAAATATAAAGTTATTAAAAATAAAATGATGACATAAAATTTATTAATATTAAGTAAATTTTTAATTTTATATTAAGTATATATATTAAGTATATATTATATTATAAATATTATATTTTAATTGGCTAAGAGTATGCTACAAATATTAATTAATTATTTTTCCAATTTATTTATTTTTAACGTGTGGGACAACCCACATAGACCCGACCCACGTTCCTTAATATAATAAAATAAAATAAAAATAATTGTATATTGCCTTTTCTATAATAAAGTAGGGAAATGAGCAGCCTGAGGGTCTGAGGATTGGTGAAGAATTCGGTGCTGGCCAATCGCAACGCCGAACGGGGTCACCGTGACAATCGAGTTGATGTGAAATAAACTCACAGTTGGCCCTCAGAAGTGGGGCATTTTCTTAAATTTTGGGCAAACGAGCAGAGGGGGCCCTTGAATGTAAGGGAAGGTAAGTGGCTACCGTTGTCCATAGACACCACTAAACGGACACCAGCGACAGTAAGACAGGCCATGAGTGATGACAGTTACAAGTTATAGGTACTTGTCAATGAAAGAAAATAAGAAAATAGACTAACTAACATAGAATAACTAACACCTACCTATTTATCAAATACTAGTACCACGGTTTAATATAATTATTATCACATAAAAAAATAAAAACAAAATTAATTAACCACATACTTCGGGAAAATTGGATTGTCCCGTCACGTCTCTAACGACGTACGTAATTATGCATAAAAACTTCGTGATAAAAACTTATTTGACAACTGATTGTATTTGTTTTTTACTAGTGGTAATCGTTGTAAACATTTATACTCAACCAAACAGATGCACATTTATACATATTAAGGAACATCGGTTAAGATTGCTCATTCATATTCTTAATGTTCATTTCCTGGTTTTCTGTTTAACGTTAGAGTATTATTATTTGTTATTCAATACGTTATGGCGCTGCAGTACTATGAGCTGATATTTATATCTTGTGCAATATTGATTTGTAATTAACTTTCCTAGCACACCTTTTAGTTAGAGTTGTGGTAAATAAGCAGCTACGGTTGTGCCGCCCCTGTGTGCGAAGTGTACGGCGCACACAGGCGCCAAGACAATAGGGGCGCCGCCATCGAAATTGTTTTTGTTACAAAACAGCATATTCTTTGAAGAGAAGTATCGATAAGTAAGTAGGTACAATGTTGTTCAAGTCTCCCAAGAAGTCACGAAATAAAAATAAATTTAGTCTGTTTGTAATGTCAAAATAAAAAAAAAACTTTTTTTAACTTCTGTCTGTCTTTTTCTTAATATTCGAAACGCCTGCACCTATTTAGATGATGCGGATAGATGACGTGACTGTATTTTTTATTCAAGTAATCGCTTCCGGAGGTCATGGGTTCGATGCCCACAAGTGCTTTGAAAAAAAGCCTTTGTGTTTATGTATATGTAATATGTATTTATTTGATATAGTATATCAAATTCAAATTTAAAATGCTATACATCACTTTTGCACGTCAGTTGTCTAGTAACCCATAACACAAGCTCTGCTTAGTTTGGGACTAGACGGCGGAGTTTGATTGTCGAGAAATATTCATTTACTTATTTATTTTATTTATATTTGAATGATAACATAAAAAAAAGTTCTGCGAGGGAATTAATGATTGGCAACATCTAGCTTTGTATTGCCGCAGACATGAGAAAAGTTGTACTCATATCAATAATTATAATAAATGGATAGATTTGTGTCACGCTCTTAAAAATAAAAACATGTAGAATACTTCATGAAAAACTTTTAGAGGTTGAAAAGCAGCGCTGGTACGATGGAATCAAAAGAATAATATATGTGATCCAATTTCTAAGTACATAAATATGGCTTTTCATGGCCAAAGCCAAAAATGATACGACCGAATCAATGGTAATTTTTTAAAATATATTGTTGTGTTGAGTGTTGAAAATTCTATCTTTAAATGACTAAACATATTATTCGTAATTGAATGATTGATTCGGAATGATTCGGATTTCAAAAATATTGTTTATTAAAAAAATATGTCATAAATCTGAACTTAAAACCACTGTCTGAAACAAGATGGTCAAGCCGATTAGATGCTATCAAACCGCTGTTTACGAATTTACCAGAAATTTACGATGCCTTTTATGAAATATAAAACGGTATATCATATGATTAGAAGGCAAAATATGACGCTTAATTTCTATCAGAACAAAATATGCAAAATATATTTATTTGTTCACTAAATATATGCCATATAATATTGGCAAAAGTAAATTTTGTGAGCATAATTCTGCAGTCCATCGATATGAATATGCAAGTTGCTTTAGATGCTTTAACGGAATTAAAGAAGATTTTAATAAAAATGAGAACCAACGCAAATTTTGAGCAAATTGTAAATGATGCCATGAAAATTGCCGAAAAATTAGTTGTAGAGGCTGAACTTGAAACCCCAAACCCCAGACGTCGTAAGACTCCAAAGAGACTTTCAATGATCAGAAAACCGCTTTTAAAATTAATGTATTTTTTTATATTGGATCAAGCTTCATCCTCCGTAGACGGAATATTTAATTTTTTGAATAATCAAAATGACGTGTTTAATTTTTTATTTAAACTAAGTGATGACCAAGATCAAAGTCGATTAAGAAGTAGCTGTCAAGCACAACTATCGCTTCTGGGGCACCGAAAATTCACGAGTGATGCACGAGGAGCCATTACCCGCTCAAAGTGACTGCATGGTGCGCTGTTCACGCTGGAGGAGTCATCGGGCCATTTTTTTCGAGGACGCCGCTGGTCAAACGACAACAGTGGACTGTGCGCGCTATAGGGCCATGTTAACCGAGTTTTTTCTGCTGCAATTGGATGAATTAGGACTGGAGGACATGTGGTTCCAACAGGACGGAGCAACGGCACACACTGCGCGAGCCACAACCGATATTCTGAAGGCAGCGTTCCCGGGTCGCCTCATCTCTCGTTTTGGCGATTTGCACTGGCCCGCAAGATCGCCCGATTTAACCCTTCCAGACTTTTTTTTGTGGGGTTTTTGGAAGTCCCGTGTTTACGTGAACTAGCCCGAGACCCTGGAAGCCCTCAAGGACAACATTAGACACGAGTGCGAGAATCTGTCGCCCGAAGTTCTCGCCGAAGTGATGAAAAATGCCATAAAACGAGCCCGTATAACAATCAATTCTGGCGGCGCCAATTTGGCCGATATCATCTTTTCGACTTGACCAATAAAATTGTAAAGGTTCAAATAAACATAATTAAAAAACAGAATTGAAGTTTTTTATTCAGAAAAAAAATGAGAGCCAAACATTATTATGACTTCTTTTGGCCCACCTTGTAAGTTGAAACAAAGATTATAAGTAGTTTGTCAATAGCAAAGTGTGACGTCATCAACAGTCAATTTTGTCTGTATATATGTAATGTACATATAGGTATATGTATAGTATTTATACAATATATAGGGTGTAGTTATTTGTGTATAAATTTACGTGCGTAGTGTTGCGTAGTGTATATTTTAGTGATTAATATTGTAACCTATGTGCGCCTACCACTCACGATTTCTACTCCACCTAAAGGATTACTGAATGAGAATGCTTTGGGTTATAACGACGGGTCCGTCGATGTACAAAAGTACATAGTCATAAATAATTTTTTTTATCGCATCACAGTTATCGCTATCAGTGAACAACAGACTTAAAGCCAATAAACATGAAAATGTGTTAGTGCACCATTGACCTTAGGTACCAAAAGTCCGTCATCATAACCGACTATACTTAACCGATGACGTCACGATGGTTACCGGTACTTACCGAATTATACAGTGGTTAATCTTTGTATTTATTTTTGGGCCCAAAGTGAAGGTATTTACCGAGGACAAGGTCTTTCTTTCAAGATGTTTTTTTTGTGGTCGTTAGATCTTTTAACTCTTTGTTTACTAAACTCCTACGTTTGGGAATAATAATATGGAGTCAAGATTTTACTATTTTTGCATAAGTATTAAAAAGCTTTCTTTTTATATTGAGCTACTTAATTTCAAATATATGTCATGTTATATATAAACGTGGTTAAGTTAAGGTCATAACATTACTTAGTATAAGTTTGTACAGAATGTTGCAGAAAGCTGTGATTTACCGCCGTAATTTTTTTAAATATGGAAATATTATTTAAAACGAAGAAATTGAAAGATATTAAAGCCAATATTTAATATGAGAGAGGACTGACATGAATGTACTTATAGGCTTTTAATAGAAATACTATTTCAAACGAAATTATGTTTTACAAATACAACAGTAACAGCGTTTGACAAGTACATTGCATTGCCAACAGGCTTGACTGTGTGTATGTGAACCGCTGCTGCAGGCTTTCTACCTTGGTTGTAAGGTTGTGGTAGCTATAAATATACATACGTGATGTAACAAATATAGATTAACATAGTTTGTTAGAAAATTTATTATTACTAACCAAATGAGTCAAATGTAACTTGAATAAACGATCATTATTATTATTATTGAAATTCAAATGAGAACTCAGCGCCTATACCTACATGTAAGAAAATAATTGTACGGAATACATATTAAATTAACATAACTATTTTTTGGCCACACATAACTCTCCTAAAACCAACAACTTGTACACCACAGATAAATAAAAAAGTATTTTTTACTAGCTTACTTTCTAGCTGGCTCGACCGGAGTGATATCACGGCCTCACAGAAAACTGGTGTTCAATAATTATTTTGTTGTTTTAATGAGGCTATGGCAACTCCAACCCCCATCCCCCCCCCCCCTCTTAATTCTGTGAGAAGGGATTCAAAGGGCGACAACGAGGCTGCAGCAGCTCGCCCCCTCTCCTAATTCGGTGGGGGGAGGGGGGTGGTGGTATTCAAAGAGGCGGTAAGAGTCGACTAAGGGAGCAAACTACGCAGGACCACCGCACTGCGAAGAGAAGGAAAACTTGATTCAAACCCCTATACCAACCCGTCTGGACAGCGTAGTATAGTAGGCCAAAACCTCATTTCTAAGAAGAGGCCTATGTCTAGCGGGGAAGTAATAAAGACTGTTGATGTGAATAAAGATTTCTATCTTTGTCTCTGATTTTAAACATCATAGAACGTTTATGAAAGATGTTTTTGGTAGTATGGTTTCACTTATGTGTACCTACGAGTACTTCGGACATGTCTGAGTAGTTATCTAATTATCTAATTCTTCTATTTCTTTATTTTTAAAAAGACGACTCCGGCACTAGGAATATATTTTTTGTGCCTTTACAAATATTCTTGAAACAGACTCAAAGAATACCCAGATGATGATTTAGATGAAATATGTGGATATATATAAATATGAACAATACTCATCAAGAAAGATGTCATTCCATAATAAAACATTTTCCAAATGGTCATATGCATTTAGTTACAGTTAAATAAATGACAACTCTAGCACAAACGAACAAAATTCTTGAATCTTCAAAATCTTAGTTGTCACCCATGACAAACTAAGATGGGCGATTAACAGCTTCCTACCATTCAAGGCGCCAGGACTAGATGGTGTCTTCCCAGGCCTACTGAGATGGTCTGATACGACATTACTGGACCATCTTATAAAAATCTATAGGGGCTGCCTGGCGCATCAGTACATCCCCTTGAAATGGAGAGAAGTTAAAGTAGTCTTCATCCCCAAACCTGGTAAAGGTGACTACACACAACCCAAATCACACCGACCTATTAGTCTCACATCTTTCCTACTAAAGGTTCTTGAGAGGCTAATAGATAGGGAAATCAGGGAAACTGCGTTAGTCAGTCACCCTCTACACCTCAATCAACACGCATACTCGATGGGTAAATCAACAGAATCTGCCCTACATCGAGTTGTTTCATATATAGAAGACAATCTAAATCACAAAAGGTCAACACTGGCCACCTTTATCGATATCGAGGGAGCCTTTGACAAGACCAACTTCACCAGCATTAGCCAAGCTCTTTCTAGGCATGGTGTTGATTCCACAATCTCAGGGTGGATCGACAGCATGCTAAGATATAGAGCTATACAATTCACTGTGAGCGAAGTGACTAGAGGAGTGGTGGCTAGAGGTTGCCCCCAGGGCGGTGTACTCTCCCCCCTTCTATGGAACATTGTTGTGGATGAGCTCATCGCACAACTCAATGACCAAAGATTCCTCACAATAGGCTATGCAGACGATCTTACCATTCTCATCAGCGGTCCTTTTGAGAGCATTACATGCGATCAAATGAGACTTGCACTGAAGATCGTGGAACAATGGTGCGCAGCACACAACCTGACAGTGAACCCATCCAAAACAGAGATGATCATGTTCACAAACAAACGCAGCCTAGGAAATCTCAGACTTCCCAAGCTATTTGGAACACAACTTACTCTTACCAAAGAGGTCAAATACCTAGGAGTAATACTGGACAGTAAACTCCTGTGGAATAAGCACCTCGATGAAAAACTGAATAAAGCCTGCATTATTTTCTGCCAATGCAAGCGGCTACTCGGCAAAAGCTGGGGACTATCACCCAAAATTACTTTATGGCTATACAGGACAGTCATAAGACCAATAATCACTTACGGTGCTGTTGTCTGGTGGCAGAGAACAGAGCTAAGCACCGTCATAAACAAACTGCAGCAATTCCAGCGACTCCCATGCTCCGCGGTCACTGGCTGTATGCGCACAACGCCTACTGCCGCACTGGAGGTGGCTCTTGGTCTGCCACCCCTGGATCTATTCATACAGCAGGAGGCCGCCATGGCGATCATTAGACTCAAACACCTGGGTCTATGGCACAAAAGGGAGGGATCGCACTCTAAATTATGGGATCAATTGGTGGAATACGAACCACTGATAGCAGCTCCATGCGATAGAATCCCAAAACACCATATCTTCACAAGAAGATACTACATCCAGATACATGGAAATGACCGTGATCAATCCGGCATTAACGAAGTCCGAATTTACACGGACGGTTCCAAGACTAGGTCAGGAACTGGAGCCGGAGTTTTCTCGCAAGACCTAAATATAAACATATCACTAGCGTTAGGCCAACACAGCTCCATATTTCAATGTGAATGTGTGGCAATAACTTACGCCGCCACAACGGCCATGTCAAGGGGTATCAAGGACTACAACATCCGAATAATATCCGACAGCATGGCCGTCTTAAAGGCATTGGAGGGCAACACAATGACCTCTGGTGTTGTCCTCGAATGCCACCAAGCACTGGAACAGCTCGCTATATTCAATGGGGTACTCCTCCAATGGATTAAAGGGCACAGTAACTCACACGGGAACGATGCCGCAGATGAGTTGGCAAGGAGGGGATCGGCAACCCCAACCTCTGGCCCAACCCCACTTCTGCCCATATCGTTCAACCAAATACGATGCTGGGTCAGGCAACGGACCTGTGAAGCACACAACCGGAGGTGGAAAAACTCACCCGGCTGCAGACAGTCCAAACTGGTGCTGAATCAAGTCACGCCACGACTCACCTGCAGACTGATCAGTCTTAGCAGACCGGACATCAGAATGGTTGTCGGAACTATTACAGGACATCTAGCCCTGAACCGACAACTATTCATAGTCAATGCGACGGACAGCCCCCTGTGCAGGGGGTGTCTGGAAGCTGAAGAAACGGCCGCCCACGTAGTCCTGGAATGCGAGGGAGTGGCCACACAACGGGCAAATATCATTCCTGATATAAAGTCGCTCCTAGAAGCCTGTGAACGCCCCAGGAGGCTTCTGCGCTTCTGGAAGGAGCTTGGCTGGCTCACCTAGTCAGCCAATCCCCGACGCATAAAGGACCACTCTGAGTCTAAATGCGGAAACCGAGGCCCACAACCAATACCAATACCAATACGAACAAAATTTAATTTTAATCACGAGTCAACATATATCTACAATCTATAAATCCATCAAAAGGTCAATATTATAGTGATTGCCATAAATTGGTAGTAGTCTCGACGAGTTTTGGCAGTCAACGATCACCTTAGAGTTTATAATTGTTGCACGTGACACCAGACGCTCGCGAGTAGCCGTATTCCGTGAGCCATCGATAGGCTCTTTCTCGTAATTAAGTCAAGAAATGTGAAGTTATCAGTAATTCCCTGTCAGGACCGTTCATTTTTAACATCAGATTAAAAAAAAATACTATAGAGGGCTGAAATACTTGACATTATTGCTTAAGGCAGAAAATCATTTTTTTTTCTCTTGGCTCGTAATGAAATTTGTGACTTACGCTAGCAGAAACAGAATTGATTTTCGAACAAACGGTACTCACAAGTATACAACTGGTCCGATCTCTTGAACGTTGAGTTTCTCGTCCAAACCCTGGAGAAACCTCTCGTGGTTAGTGATATTGAACACGTAGGCGCGGAGCTTTACTTCATCTGGCGGGTCTATCCACCACTCGTATGGGGGCAACCCTGTAAAAGAATTTAACGAGGTTTTTACCACAATTTTAATATTAGGGGCAACCCTGGACGCAGAACGACCTCCGTCCTCCATAAGCGCAGGCCTAGGGGTGACAGGTGAGGCCATCTGTCACCCTAGCAGAAGCAGGCCGGGGTGGCGGCAAGCGCGTTGCGAAGCGCGCTCGCTTCCAGGGAGCACAGGGAACATGGGGTTCCCACACGGGGGGGGGGGGGGGGTCGTCTACTCGTCTGTAGATGACCCGAGGTATGTCGGGGCACCAGGGACTTCCTTTCTAGGGTATACCTGGTTCCCCGGCTATTAGTACCCGAGACGGCGTGCAGTTTTAGTCATGCCACCGACAGGTGGTATCCGAGGGGATTTCCGCACGGAAAAAAAAGGGGGAATACCTTACAACTATTTATATGTAACTTTAAAGTATGACTGTAAGGTAGGACCAGATAACATACTTAAAAGGAGAGTTTTATAAATTTCAGTCCCAAAAGACTGAGTTAAATTTTATTCAGCTAATACGGTTCTTAACTAAGTTTGATAGCTAGCAACAAGGGCCAGCCTATTGGTCTAGTGGTCAAACTATCCATCGTGATTATCATCAACAGCCTTTAGTAATCTGCTGCTGGACATGGCCTATAGATGGCTGCTAGGCCCATGGGTATGGGGGCGCCCGTACAAATTGTACTGATCAAGCTCAGACGTGGATCCCACCACTGATGCAGACCCTGGACCTAGATTTTGTGGGCAGAGTGGTAGATGACCTCATCCCGAGATCATCTACCACTCTTCCCACAAGGGCGTGAGGGGCGGAGGGCGTGGGTAGTCCCTCACGCCCTCCGTCATCCTCGGATTACCTGGTTCGGTGACACATCACATCGGAACCATCATCCGGGTTACATGGCCCGATTACATTATTTTTAAAATACATTACATTAAATACCGGTTACATTATAACAATAAGGATTGGGCCGATAGGCGGGGGAAGCCTGCGGCTTGCCAGGGATAGGAATTTACTAGGCGCGGTGACGATCCTCGGGGGGGGACCGTAAATAACAAGGTCCGGGTCCTCCTAGGAGTAGGGCGCCTGAGACCGGCCGTCGGTGTGGTGTTTAGTGGACACACCACATACTCCTGGCTCCTACATCCCCAAGGAGCCAGAGATCTGAAGGGACTTTTCACGCCGTCAAAAAAAAAGGCCAGTTCCATCCTTGTCCTATTGACTAAATATAGTCATTTTTCGTAAACTAAATACATATTCGACAGAACATAATCTACGGTGCAAGGGTCAACCGATGTTAATCCGTACAAATGTGTCCCGCACCTGAAATTACAAATTCACAAGTGCGTTGCGTTTGAGTGCCTCTCAAAATTAGTGGGAGGTAGGTCCTCCGCTAAAATCGCTTACGCTGTGAAATACAACGAAAGAACTGCTCATCGGATTTATGTAAGGCCGTGATATTATTCCAATCCCACAGATGGGACGGACCGTCCCATGCTGGAGACGGCCTATATTACTCTTCCATGGTTAAGTTTATCCGTCGGACTAAGAATACGGAGTGTCGCCACCCCGTGGGTGCAATAGGAGCCGACTACAGCACTGCAAAGAGAAGGCAAACTTGAAACAAACACTATACCAACCCGTCTGGCCAGTGTGGTATAGTAGGAGAGGTCTATGTCCAGCAGTAGACTACTAGAGGCTGATGATGATGACAGTTAAGTATATAAATTAATCTTAAGTAGAAATAACGCAACACATAGGAGAAGGCTCGTATGATCGTAATAGTAATAATACAAAGTAAAGTAAAGTAAGTAAGTTGTCCGTGTGGTGACGGATTAAGAATACAGAGCGTCACCACCCCTATTCATCCCGTGGGTGTCGTAAGAGGCGACTAAGGGAGAAAACTACGCAGGACAACAACACTGCAGAGAGAAGGAAAACTTGAAACAAACCCTATACCAACCCGTCTGGCCAGCGTGGTATAGTAGGCCAAAACCTCCTTTCTAAGGGGAGGCCTATGTCCAGCAGTGGACTATTAAAGGCTGTTGATGATGATGATGATGAAAGTAAAGTACTCAAGTTATCAGTTAAAACTCACCAGGTCTCATGTTGAGCTTCTCATGCAGCATGAAGTCTAACGGTGTGAATATGAAGCTGCCTATTGATAAGAGTATTAGTAGAACACCCCATACACATTGTACTATTGGATCTGTAACAAAACAAACAAAAAGATTCATAAATATTCTGTAGGTTAAGTTGCTGGTAAGAAGTGAAATATAGACTATATTTCACAAAGGCAGCGGTTTCTATTAGTAATTAGGGTTGTCAGAGCAATGTTGAAAATGGGGAATACACACAACTGACACCAGTGTTGCCAGTAGACACTGGACAAAAATTACTACTTATTACCAATAGACCTCTGAAACAGAAGAAGACAGGACAGAATATTCTAATTACAGTAGTTTTAACTAAAATTACTTCAGCGTGAGATGTATTTTATTTTTAATGATGAATAGGATTACATTTCATTTCGTGAATAAGTGGTGCACTAGCGCGCTAAAATGTCCTTGCATCTTCTCTTTCAGTGGATTTGCCACTATCAGAGGAAAATATATATTTGTTTGATAAATTATCGTGTCTTGTTAAGAATTGAGGATTAGATTAATACTAGTTGAAGTCTTCTTAAGAAACTTGTATGAAATAATAACTAATGACGTCATATTTGATATTTACAGAGTAAGCTCATTCTTAATTCAAAAATTAAGTTTTTTTACGCAAAAACCTTTCATTCAAATTTTGTATGCTTTTGTTGTACTTTTAGACTTTGATTGAATATAATTCGATACAAGTAAAACAAAATATTTATGAAGGGCGTTCAATGACTTTTTTTATAATCTTTATTGAATTATTAAACTGATGATAAATGGTGCATTGCCTTTAATTTTTTGAAGTTCAAAACGCATCACTAAATGATGGTATGTTTCTTATTCATTAATCGCAAGCACATATCATTAATAATTCTCAGTATTTAAGTCATGATTTAATTTAGGATCTACTAAATCATCATCATTATTAACAGATCTACTTAGAAGTGCATAATTATGTCTAAATACTAAATTATATTACACGCAATCTACGTAAACGACAGAAAATAAAAGAAATCATGGCAAAAATCATGAAGGAGGCAACACATACGACAGCGACAGCGCCTAGGACTTGCGACCCAGGATTAGGTTTAGTGAGTACTCCTTGCAACGCGTCAGCGCTCACCTCCACTGTCTGCCGTGTTACCCTCTATACCTAACCATATATTATTTGATATAAAGCTAACAATTTCAAGAAAATTAAAAATGTGGTCTCCTCAATGGACACACAAGTTACTTTTAATAAAATGATAATTTATAATTTAAATAACTTAAAAAAAATGTTGTCATTCCTTACTACACCACCATTTATAGCTGTATTTTTTTTCTTTATATTGGAGTGGGTCATGTATACTCTTCCATATAAAAAAGAATATTTCCAAATCAGTTAGTAAATAACGGAGTTCTGAGATAACAAACGAAAATAAAAATGTACAGAAGAATTTAAAACCTCCGTCCTTCTCGTCCTGCGCGTTCTTTCAAGGTCGATGAAAAACTATTTTTTTTAACACACAACATATTTATTTGATTTGAAAAAGACAATTCCCGCACTAGGAATATATTATATCCTGCGTCGCGAGGGACCTTACAATCATACGGACAAAAAGAACACCCAGCAGGCCGGGGTGGTAACGAGACGCACTGAGAACCCGCGCGCTTTTTCCGGATCACAAGGGGGACATGGGGGTTCCCACACAGAAGGAGGTCATCTACACGCCGTAGATGGCCCGAGGTACGTCGGGGTATCAGGGATTTCCCTTCTAGGGTGCACCTGGTTCCCCGGCAACTGGTACCCGAGACGGCGTGCGGTTTTTGGTCGGTTCGAGTCCGACATAATCATCCGACCGGTGGGTGGTATCCGAGAGGATTTCCGCTCAGGAAAAAAAGAAAAAAGGTGCCTTAAACCACTACGCCATCCTTGCAGCCATGTTCTATGTGTATGTTTCGCAGCCTTTTTCAATAAGTGGACAATGTTTTTTTTGCAAATGTGACACACAGCTTGTTTGTTGGGTTTTTGTTGTCAAGTATGACAATTTACTAAAGAGATAGGTACTAATTATAATATTAAATTAACATTAGTAGTTAGCACTGTGCGTCCGCGCCACGCCACGTCTAAATTATTGCACGCGCTGCCCTTTGGGCTCAAGGTTAACACAACGATCATTATGAATTTAAATAACTATTACTCTAATGCTTTTAGGGTGAACGCACACTATTAGTTTTTTTCTTTTGCTACATTGTATAGTCTGTAATTAATGGATTTTGATGAAACTGGCGTTTTTTTCATAAACTGCGTATTCTGCAAGTCAAAATCATTATAAATACCAGCTGTGCTGTTTCTTTTTGTTTATATTTGATTTTTTTTGTGACATTATACGAACTTAATCGTTGCAGTTTTCGTAGTAGAATAATTGTAATTATTGTATTTTGTTATTATTTGAGTCGTTTATATTATACCACTGTCTTATATTCGTCGGTCCAACCGAGTGTTAGTTAAGGAGATTCAACTTTTTTTTATACTGGGACTAATACCACCCACACGCCCACCGCTGTAACTCCTGTACACCAGGATCCACAGCAGTGATCCACGAACACACCGAGTTATGACACTCGAAGGAGATTCAACTATTAAAACATACGCCTGCGTCGCAATTCCCAGGCACTGTCACAGTCGCATGTGTTGCCGCCATCTATCACGCGATAGATCCGGCACCCGTACGGTGAATTCCATGAAATGCTATAGAAATAGACAATACGATTCTCAATAATGGAAACAGTCTCCTAGATGATGCATCAATAAAAACCTCGTAACGGTTCTGTTGTTGGTTAAGTGACGGTGTTAATAAAAGAGGTATTATTGGGATCTGGTGCTTATTTGCTTGGGTGAAGGTGTAAGAAATACCTATACTAACAACAACGGCATTGAGATGAAGAAAGGTGTTAAGCCAGTTTGTTGCTTTAACGGTAAAGCAACAAACTGGCGAGCGTGTATAAAGGACGAGAACATGGCAGAGAAGTGAGCTTTATGTCAGGATTATGGTCAAGGTTTTTATGGTATATGCGTTGCTAACCTTTCAGCCCCTCCTCCCAGAAAAAGAGGGAAGTGGAGGGTTTTGGCTCCGTAACTTCACTCACTTGATGAAAAGAACGAATGAACTGCTTTCGGTTTACTGTGAGGGTATCATTGCGGTCGAATCTGGCCCATTTGTGTCGAAGCATGAATCTCCCACGTTTATAATAATAATGTCATTTTATTAGAGTAACCATGGACTCATTGATTGTAATTAATACATAAAATGTATCCTAATCTGTTTATATTCTGTCCTCTCCGATTACCACAATTGGGGATGAAGCGTAAGTGGATTTATGTATACGGATACGTGCATTTGTATCCGGAGGTTAACCGGACATACGAAAAATTTAAGCAGAATTGAATTGTCAGTCGAATGAACTCACAATATTTTATGTTGTAATTAGTTAACAGCCAGTATGTGTCCGGTGTTCTTTATGAATCGGCATCACGTCTACCGAAGTGACAGATGATGAACTAATCACGTACATCATCAATGACAGCCATTAGGGTCACAAATGGGGGAGAGTTGAGGACATATTCGTAATAATTAATATAAAAATTATTGCTCTGGATCACCAACCACTACCCCAACAGAACCAGTCAGGCAATAATGTAGGCAGTATTTATAAGACGGGGGTAAGAGAATAATTACTTAAGGGGTGGGTACACACTTATGTGTTGACTTGCAGTTGTCGATGAGCGGCGGTAGCTACTTACACCACCAGCATCACCTGATGGTACTACGAAACAAAGTAAAGGTAGAAAAATGAGCAGACCCATCAGCATAAAAAATGAGACAGGAACGGTGGCTATTCAGGGGAGCGAGGAAGATAATCTCTTTAAAAATCATTGTGGTTCATGGCTTTTCTTTATAGCTACAATACCACAAAAATCGTTATAATAAGCCAAGTGTCTTTAAGAAATCGTAATAATAAGACAAGTTTTTATGCACAATACCACGGTACTATCATAATACAGTACTGCAACTTCATACAAACGGACGAAACGGGAGCTATACCTACGCGCCTCGATCTCGGGGTGCGCTCGGGGCGCAGACAGTCACGGCTGTACCGCAGTGTCGAACGGACTGCGTGTTGTTTTTTTAACAATAACCGCGCGATTTTTTCTCTAAAAATCAGTTAATATGACGAGTAGGAAATATTGTGCTGTTTTTGGTTGTATGAATTCGTCAATAACGCATCCAGACATAAGTTTTTTTAAATTACCTGGAAACTCTGAAAAGTAAGACTATAAAATAATTTTACTTACTAGTACGTAGGTACATAATGTGTGTCTTTTTAATGGATAAGTATTTCCTTTTATCTCACGAAAAAAAAGGTGTTTGGATGAATAAATAAAGCAAATAGAGTAACGGAAAGTTATTGAGACGAGTGAAATAGGGAGTTACATGCGGTTCTGAATGAATCATGATACGGTAGGTACCTACCTACTTACGCTTGTGTTAAAACTTCGGTGCATGTGTGTTTTGTTACTTTGCATAATTCAAAGTAAAGACGTGGTATTTTATTATTAATAATATTAGTTTATTATCTGTGTGTATGAATAATACTAAAAAAAATTTGTTACCGTCTGTGTGTCATTAGACAGTTTTCGAAATTTTCACAAAGTGTTTCTGCTGCTACTATAACAACATATACCACTAAAAACTGGTTTTATTTTCTCGGTATTAACAACAACAGCTAGACTCATATATAATATTTAGATGTTTGAGGGTTGTGATTTTAAAACATTCGTAGTCAGCTGTTCAGCTTTTTAATAATTAATTAATTGGTGACCAAAGAATTTTTGTTTTGAGTTGTTGCGAGTTGTAGGTTATAGGTTAGGTAATTTATAGAGACGTTAATTAGCTGAGATAAAAAGTTACTTACTCGTCAGCTGTTTCTTGCATTCTAGTTGAGTAGGTGGTAGGTGTTGGAGTTTCTAAGGATTGGAGTTTTGTAACGCGTATGGAGAAAGCACATTTATTTTATT